CGCCACAGGAGGACACCGGTCTTGATGTTTGTCCGTCTGCGTTGACCATGCCCCTCGACTCTCTCCAAAGCTTTAGTAAACACTTTTCAGCGGAAAATAATTCTTTGAACTACTGGAGGGTCATGTGCATCATTGAGCAAAGTGCACATATACAAGTCCGTCGTCTTACAAGCATTTAAGAACTCCAATGTTTTCCATTCGAGTTTCGAAGGAAATCATGTCTCCGGTCGCGGAAAGGATTTTCAGGGTCATTCAAGATCAGAGATCTTCCTCGTCGACTTTTTCCGGCGAAATTCGTTCAGTCCACCTGAGAGCCTGCCAAAACGATCCATCCGGGGAGGGAGGGGGCAGAAGCCTCTATTCGGGAGACGATCGGCTTGCTGAGAACTCCGTTCCCCATCTTGGCCCCCCAAACCGGGTGAGGAGTTTCAGACGTTTGCTCGACAATCGTCGGCTCCACTCAATGCCAAATCGCACTGGGGGACTCTCGGGAACCGCCGGCACGACGCTGGCGGAAGAACGGAATGAAGCTTGTAGAGGAGAACGAGTTCCATCGTATCTCGCCCGGAGATCGAGACCAGAAAAACTATGGATATCGTGAAAAGAACACTTGTCGCGGACATGAGAAGGGATACGATACCCGGTGATAATTCTCGATGGCGAAACGGATATGCGTGATCAAGATTTGCTCCAGTGCAATGACGACGGCTCGAATTCACCTATTCGGCCATACGAGTGTACACTCGTCATGTTTTCGCTTGCCCGGTGCATTCCGGGATATACTCGGCTGCTGGAAGAAGCTTTATCGGCTCTTGTCGCTCACGAGCAGTCGGTCGCGGAATCAGCGAGGGATGCATCGATGAGAATTTTTTGAACCCATCTCCGACGATAATTAGAGAATTACCTTGAAGTCACCCGAAGTCGCCCTCGAAGCCTAATCGGTTATCTTGAAATTCGGTTACATATCTCCCATCCCAGGCGATTCTGCTCCGAATCGGGTCGATGCTCTGGAGCACAATAAATTACCGCAGCATCCCGGAGAACCCATCGCGGTAAAATCATGTGTTCCCTCGGCCGAAATTCTCCGCCGTCCCCGAGGCTCAGCGAGGGAAGATGAATTTATCAATAGCTCGTGTTTGAGTCCTGAATGCAATTACAAAATCTTGCTGCGAGAGGGGCGCGGGCTCCTACCCTCGTGAACGCGCTCATCATCTCGTCAGCGGTGTTATCCAGTTTATTTAGCAAAGCGCCGTCGGTTGCGACCCGTTCGTCCGGAACGAGATCGCTAATCACCGAAATTCAAAAATGCCCTCGGGGGTATTTTTGTTTTGAAACCAGCGAAAGTAGGAGGATATATTCAAATGATACCCCTTCGAGTCTGTTCTCTCATTCCGACCCTTGAAACAGTTTCCCGACCCGCCGTCCGGACCCAGAGCAAGAAGCAGCGTCCTTCTGTTGCCTTTGCGGGCAGCATTTTTGAGCTTGCATCCTCTCGCCGAGCTTCGTACCTGAGCTTGTTACGTGGACATCGGGAACAGCGAGTTCAACGAGCCGTCAGCCGGGGGGGCCGGCGGCTGACCCTTTGTCTGCGGAAAGGATTAGGTTCCGATCCGAAATGATCAAGAATGGAGATCCGTAAAAGTGTTCGACGGGCGAGAGTACTTTATTTGCTCTCCGAACAAATATCGTTCGTCGTGTGGGATCCTTATAGCGGCGGCTCCAAACATGACCCTGATGAAACATCAGGGCAGCAAGAGAACTCCCTTGTACAAAAGCAGTGTAGCTACATCGAAGGTACATATTCATATGGGGTCAAATGTTGTGTTCGATGTCCGTCTCTCGTCCCACCATCGGGGACCTCCCATGATTTTCTTGACCCCCTCCAATCGAGCACGGTACTGGGGGAGTCCAGCCAGTTTAGCTTCTGAGGGTGATTCTATAGAAAATTTCGAACAAGCAAATGTCAGAAGCAAACCTATACCCGGGATTCGAGCGGGATTTCGGCTCGAGATCCGCGACCCTCGAGACTCCAAGACCTGTCGCGTCACTCGAACGGGCTTGAACTCATGGAGTTTGCCCCTCCCACTCCACTCTGGAAGGGGAAATTCCATGGTTATCTGTCAACAGGAAGCATTTTCCAAGTGAACGGCACTGTGAGAGTGTCATCCAAAGTGATGACACTCCATATTTCGCGGAAAAATATCTAGTTTTGCGAGGCGGCCTTGCATCGACTACGCGACACCTTCTGTGCAGGAAGTGCCATGCATTTCCGGTGATAAGCCTTCAGGGGCACCCATCGCTCTACGTTGTCTCCGCTGTATCCTCATACGTTCAATGGAGCACCTCGAATGGAATTTTTCCCTCAATATCGCTTCACTTGCCGATTGTGCTTCGCTGAATGAGTTGGCTCCTACGCTACTTGGATCAAAATCTGCTCCTGGAATCCCTCCTGCTCCTTACTCACTCCAGATTCGCGACAAGTAGTCGGACCATCTGATTGAGAGTACGCCAAATTTTCCAGCTGTGCGTCTTCTTTTCTTCTCGCTCGCCAGATTTTCGCCCGAACGTGTTCACAAACGGAGACGATGATCAAGGCACAACAGTCTCTAAAAACGCCTCGGTCAGCATGACTTTCCGCTCTCTCTGAAAAAATCCCGGATACAGAACTCGGGTCCCGAGAGCTTGACTACATGACGATATCTGGTGTGTGACATATTTGCTTTGGTCCGATGACACGCAGGTCTCGTACTGGAAGCGAGCGGGCGAGTGACCGACTGAGCGCTCACTCGTCCAATCCAGCATGATTGGATGCTGGAGAAACGAGTCATCTCACACAGTCCACTGGCGGACGGGATCAACAATTTAGTTGTCTTTCTCTCATTGTACGCTCCTCCGACCGGCCATGGACATTTCCTTTTCACAGAATCCGCCGCGCAAAGACGCCGTTTACGTGATTGAGCAGCTTTGCATGCTCCGGCTTGGCTCAGGCTCGACGGAACGTGAGTGAGTGAAGAGCTCTCGACCCCTAAGAGAGCGATCTTCCAAAGCTCGAAGAGTATTCAGCCCTCAGGGCTATCGATGAAATTATTTGAGCTCGAAGGTCCCTGTCTTCCTGGATCGCTCTTTTGGGGGAAAACCGGTGCCAGACTTCCGGGCTGGAATTTCAAGGTGTCTCCCTGATCCCGGTCAGCTTCGATGAGCATGCAATGCGACATACTGGGTGTTGCAAACCGATTTGATTTTCCATCGAGATGTTAGCCGACAGAAGTTCTCGCAAGGTACGTCCTCGCAAGTATAACACTCGGAGATCGCAGAAGAGCTTGGGCTTCGCTTGGAGGAATGAATTGTCTGGAGTTCGACACCGTCCGACCTCCGCTGGTGCTCGTAATTGAGAATACAATTCATCGCTTGATCAGGGGGCACAAGGAGGTCACCGGATTTTCCCGGAGCAAGCTCTCCCGGACAGGGTCATTATTCCTATATCACTGAGCTCCCTCATATCACTGGTTCGAGCAACCAACACGGAAGCTAATGGAATGTGGCTGGAAAATTCGAGAACATTCGATTACAAGTCTCATGCTTCCAGGAACTTGTGCAGTCCGGAACCACTTGAATCATCCCATTGAGTCACAAGATGATGATAGGCCCATTCCAGGGCTATCGACTAGAGATCGAGGTTTCGAGAGGCAACACCGTATCGCGCGCTGATTCTAGCTCGACAGAAAAGGATTTCGCGCTGCGAGCTTGGAATCTGAGTAAGCTTCCATCGTCAGCGACAGAGAATTGTACGCAGTGAGTAGAATCGATGCTGCATCCACTTCCGCTCGAAGCGCAAGGCGTTCGTAGTGCATCTTCGAGGGCTCGAGCGATTCGTCGTCCCGTGATCCGGGCGCCCGAGATGTTCCAACTCAGTGACGCCCTCTAGCGGAAGACCCACGGTCTCGCTGAGGTCATCGAGCGGGATCCCTGAAGATCTGTGGAAGCAGTGATGGATCGGAAGAAAGTCTCGCGCGGGACCTCCTCGAACAGATGGCCAAGGCCTGAGACCTACCTGAGCTCCGCCTTTGTCTTCGTCTAGCGATGAGACCCGGTCGAAGAATCTTTCCGGATGGAGATCAAGTTCTCCACTCAGATTTCGGGCCGAGCGTACGAGAGTTCCAATCCCATGAGATCTGTGCAAGACACCACAGGCTCGTAGCGCTATAGAATAGCTCCGAGAGGAAGACTGGGCTTGATAATTCTGGATTTCGGATACCCAAGAGCCGCTATCACTCCGACAGGGCGTTTCCTTGCTGTTTTGACTTATTCTGCATGATCATCCGTTCTAGAGTCGGGTTGGGGCAAGCAAATCAATGTGGTAAACCATCGATCCGGATCTACCGTATAGCTACTCGGAGTCCGGTCTCATCCCCGAAACCGGGTATTCTGCGCAGGCCTGTTGTACATGAGTTCCTCTCTCGATATTATTCCCAAGGGCATGGCGATTTGAGGTCCTTTTGTCCTCCACAGCAAATGCTGCGGAACTAGGTTTGGGTCTCGGCTAGAGTAGGAAATATTCCGATCGTTCGGATTCATTGGAGGAAATTCCGGAACTTTTCAGGAACTCGGAGCTCGCGAGCTTGTTTGTTCATCGATGCGAAAAAACGAATGATCAATCGCCAGGGCGAGGGAAACTTCCGTGAGATCCAGCGAGGTAAGGGGCTAAGGAGAGAAATATGCCGACACTCTGACGTATTGCTCCAGTGATGCTCCGAAAACCTGAAGAAGGTAAATAAAGACTTCCGTTACTTTTATCGGAGCCATACACGAACATCAGGCAGGCTCAACGGAGAAAACGGAGAGTTATGCATGAGCGTCTTCATTTTCACATTCATGCGATGAATGGGGTTATTTATATGTGAATGGGGAGCCCTCGACTATTCGGGGCAGGTTGTGATCCCTCCCTCATTCGAGTCCTCGCCCAACTGCATGCCTCCATACCCCACCGAGCCCACGGCAGCACTTCAACTCGGTTGCCCGACCAAAAACGATCCGAGTGGTTCAGTGCGGTAGAAACCTCCTCGTTGGTTCGTTCGAAAGTTTCCCACGCGGCCCGCTGCTGCTCCAGTTCGTCACCTCGTGGTGTTGTGAACTTCTCAATCGGATTAAGTCACGGGCGACATTTGAATTTTTGGCGCGCGCTTCGGATGTATTGCGTCGAGACACGCAGGACAATGATCTAGACATGCCGCATGATACCATCGGAGGTCACGCCGATGATTGACGCTTGCATGTAGGCCGGGGACTCGACTTGTTGTGGAACGGATAATCGCCGCCCAATCCACGGAAGCCCGACCGGTTATGGAAGGCTCTTACTTGAAGAAGCTGGGGTCATTGGCGGTCCTGGTCACTTCGATCCTTATAGGTGAGAGCGATGATCGGAGAGCATGCCTGAATTTTCCCAGCATTAATTACTCACGCTGTCCTGAGTGTCCTGATGACCTGAGCGGAGCGGAATGAAAGTGGGATGAGCTGTGAGGGGAGCCGTAGACCTGAAGCAGACGGGGAGGAAACGATTCGTCCATTGATTCGATTTTTTCCCCGCAAGACCCGGTCTTGACGGCTCGAATTTTAATCGTGCCCCGATTCCCTCAATACCCATCGAACGCAATGGGTTTTCATGGAGTCGTAGAAACCAGACCCCTCCACCAGGTGTTCTCCGGAATGGGAGGGCCTGCTTTCCTGTGCTTCTTACACAACCACTGAAATTCCAATCAGAACGGTCAATCTCTTTAGAGCACAGCATACTGGAGAGTTCGATCAATTCGACTCTCTGAGACGGATGAGTCTCTATTGACAATAAGTGCGAGAGAAAGTTTGCCGATGGGAATCCCTACATCCTAAGGATTCTTCGGTGTCGAAGACTCCCCTCCCTCAAGGATTTAATGTTATTGGGTTCTCGAGTTTGTATGGGTCTTGAAAAAACTTCGCTGATGGGGTAAGTTCTACGCCGTTGGGGCGGGACGCATCGGAACGAGTATTCGAGTCGACGCAGCTGTCTGACAACGGGTGCCCGGGGACCTAGAGGATCTCCGATCTTCAAATAGAAGTCATGATTCAAATAGAAGTCTGGTGTGCGTCTTTTGAGACCGGTAACTCTTCCTCCCGCGCCGGGAAACGACCGCAAATCTCTGCGATTTTCCGACCCGAAGTCGGAAAGCGAGTCTTTTCGAGCATTACATGAGATGCGTTCCTCGCGAAGGCCGACTCCGTCCAGTGGTGCCGCCCGCTCGTCGTCGCCCTCAGAGCAAAGGATTATCTATATTGTTCGCTCTTCCGGCCATTAGAATTCGGTGACATTCGGCCTCTGCCGGCCTCAGTTCCTTATGAGTTCCTTTATTAGCAGAACGGAAAGCTCACAGAGGAGGTCGCGCCGCTCCTTGCTGATCTGGAACTTCGTGAAAAAACTCCTCTGTTTCCCTTCACCGACAAAATCCGGACAAACATGCATATAAACAAATCACATGGGTACACCCCGGTCAAAGTGCCCTGCCACACACGCGTCCGACGATTGAGATAATGGCCAGATTCGTTTACCACTCGTATCTGGTCAACCTTCGCTCACCTGTGGAACTAGCATGCGCTAACGGCCCTCGGGTCGGAACACGTATTTTGCACGTACTTGCATTGTTCGTCCTCTGTCTCTGGATATGTGTGCTGACTTCGGATGGCCGCCCGGTCCAGACGGCATTGCTTCAGCGATCATGAGGGCGCTTTTTTCTATTTCGTGCTGCTCCATCATTGAGAGTGCTGACAGCGGCACAATTAGTAACGCGTTTGCGGGTTGAACACATCGCCGACCATTTGACTGCCAAAATATGCGCTTCCTGCTTCTACCGTGAGTACAGACTTGATACATGCTTCGAGACTCTAAGGCAAACGGGCCTTGAGAAAATGAGTCTCCGAAAATTTCTTGGAGGACGAAAATCAGTGCTATATCTAACTGAATAGCCTGATCATTTTCCGGCGAGACATGCATATCGGGAATATCGAGGATCTGCACTGTTTTTCGTCCTTCAGATTTGATCGACTTTCAGTCGGGCTCCGGATGTAGATCGTGATCCCCCTCAACAGTAATTCGGTCATCTTTTAACCGGCAGTTCCCCTTTCCGCTCCCCGGAGGAGCAGAAGTTCCGATATTCGCCGTGTGTCGGCGACCAGCAGAATCAAGGGAAGGAGTGGGAAATAGGGCGGTCCAGGATCGGCTGAAAATGCTCGGCTCGACAGTTTCATGCGTTTCGTCAGTCACGCTTTAAGTGCTACAGGCACCGTTATCAGCACAGACGGCTCTATAGTTCCCGTATAGTTCAGACCGCTGCCCGCAGTATCGTATGCATTGCACGGATGGGGGCGAAGCTGGCTTCGCCAAGCAGAGGCACTTATCAAGAATGCAGTTTGGAGCGGAAATAAATCGTTGATTCAGCAGACTCGGATTCCGGTACCGTAACAGCCGAAATCGTGGGAGGACTCCGATCATGGATAACTCCCAAGCCTATCAATCCTCCGCGATTGAACAAATTGTCCGTCATGTGGTGGTCCGTGGAATTCCCGGCTAAAGCACAGAGTTCGCGATTTACGGAGTGTGAGCACCAGGACTGGCCGCGAAGAGGGCGTTGCGTTTGAAAAGCGATTCACGGCAGAGAGCTACCCAACCGCGCAACGAACAAGACACTAAATACGTGTTGCCCAAAATCAACAAATGTTGCTGCCGAATGGCGCAGCATATTTCACCGCGGAGAGCTCCTGTAGCAGCTCTCCTGCGAGCGATCTCGGTCGTCCGTCGGTCACTCGGAGTACCGCTGTCGTTTTGGTGGCGAACCTGCGATGACGGGTATTTATTGAGTCTATTTAAGCGACAGACGTGCGGCCCGGGCTTCGGAAGCCGTACTTCACGGATACAGTCCGACTTGCCCGTTTATCTTTCAAGCCGTGGAGCCGTCGCCAGGAGTCTTGCAAGGGATTCCTTGAAAAAATGCCTTCAGCGAGACTTTCCCTCCCAGGAGACGACGCCGATCCGAAATCCAAACCTCCGAAGCACATTCAGCAAACGCGGTACGGAAGAAGGTCGAGACGTAGAATTTTTCCTGCATCACTGACACCTCTGCGCTCATTGCAATCGGTTTCCACCCGAGCTGATCCGTAGGTAAACCAGAACGTTATCTTACGGTCAGGGACCACCTTCATAGATACGTAAGTAGTGTTGTATATGTATATATGTATGTATATTCTATATATTCCGCAAATCTCAAATGACCGCAGCGAATGAGGTCCGGATACGAGCTCCCCTTGGGGTAGAGAGAATTGTTGGCCGAGGAGTGAGAACGGATTTCGCCATATCAGCTCCCTAATCGAGCCCGGCTATTAAAAGAATCGCCTCATTTTTTTATCAATTACATCATTCCTCGTTCGGCGGCTCAGTCGAGGAGATTCTTTTTACGTATGATATACGCGCCGAAAATTTCACCTGCATCTTTCTTTTTAGTTCGCTCGATTCTGCATCCATCTGTGTGACCGGATACTTTCCCTACGAGTACTTACTTTCTCCTACTCTCCACTTATTTCGTCGATTTGAGCATGGTCGGGTTTTTGGGGTCTGAGCCACATCTTAATTGTTTGCGAGATCCGGATCGGATATCGAGTCGGAATCGGGTCGCGGCAAAGAATCCTGGCGCCGTGACTCTCAGCCGACACCGACATGTCGTGCGAATCGCAGAGCTTCCTGAGCGACCGGGCTCCTTTCAATGAGTGCCCTTGCCCTGGATATTCCTCCCCTCTTTGCGGGATTCGAACACCTCGACCAGCTTGTCACGGTATAGTCTACCTGGGCTGTCTGGTCGCTCTCACCCCGTCCCTAGGCCCGGACTGGAAGTCGTGTGCATGCTCAATGAGCTCGTACCGCTTGACACGGTCAACCGCCTCAGAATGCGACATGCTCCCGAACGCATGAATAGATGGTCACGGAGACATTTCGCCCCTCAATCTAGAACTTCAGCGACCGATTCTGCATGATGTGGATAATTTAATCGAACACGATGAAATTCACCTGAAATAATCCTCGAAGCGGAGGATGTATCGAATTCGCATAGAGAAACATCACGCTTCAGAATCAGCTTTTGTGACCGCAGACCGATGGCACGAGACCGGAACAGTCGTCTCCGAGCCCTATAGATGCTGCCCGAATATCCAGCGCGAGCAGCAAAGATACTTCCATCATTCCCTACGAATCATGAGTCATTTCCATCAATTATTAATCTACACGACCGAGACGCGCGGTTCCGTCGATGTCGACCACACCGATGGCTCTCTGTCTGGGAAAACGCTCGGAAATGAGTTCTAATTCATCCCTCATCGTGGAGCTGAATTATGGGTGCTCTGAGAAGAAGAAAAAAAAACGCTTTGCTCCTCGCATTCCAAACGTGGGGGGCCAACGAGCATTAGGATTCTCTGGGCTCTAGGCAAAAGCTCGTCCTGCGAGGGGCGGTTGGGTGATCGGCGCGTTCCGTAAACTAGACTGCCTCCCGGTGAGTAATCTCAGCGTTGAGGTCGGGGAGATCCTGGTACGCACGGGACGCGACTCGGGAATTTCGCGTGCAATTCCGATCGACCTCGAGGAATCAGAATGAGGAGGTGAATAACTGATACAGTAGACCGTCACGACTTGGATTCAGCGGACACGCTTAGAACAGACCGCTTTGTCGGTCCCGGACAAGCCTATGGGGTTTTCAATGTTGAGTGACTCGGCTGTAGCAGATCCGATGACGGACTTTTGAATATCACAGACTAATTTCCAGGCCCCGGTCATATGTCTCCATTGCTAATCGAATCGGTTATGACGGACCTATTTCCGCGAGTATGAAACTCAGAAGCGATAGCCTATTGGACGATTTGCGAGGTTTCTCGCCCTCATGTGCTCCGTCAGATGGGCCGCAGCAGTGTCTCCGATGGTTTTCACGTTCCATTCCGATTCGAGACCCTTTTTCGTTTGAAACGGACTTCGCATATGACGGACCGTTCCGGCCGGTCCCTCATAACGAGGTTCTAGACGTTCTGACGAAGACTAGCTCTCGCCGGATCGCTCCTCAGATTCCTCTCGAGCTTTTCGTTCCTTCTCATCTCCGCCGGGAGAATCCCCCTCGAACGGAAATTTCTCCGAGGGAAGTTTCGCGGGAATCACTGCAGTGAGCGCGAGAACTTTCTCGACGTTTTCTGCTCTGCAGAGCGTTCTCTCCACGATCGCTATCGTTGCTGTCACCGCCTCCGTCTATTTCTTCTTCGTCTTCTCCTTCGTCGATGCTGTTGCCGCTGGGATGATCTGTCATTGCCGCTGCTCTCCAGTTGGAGCCAATGGCCGCGTAATAACAGATGATCAACAGCTAGTCAGTCAGTCAGGCAGGCACGCTGCCAACGAAGCTTCACTCCACCGCGTGCTGCTGCATTGGTAGTCTTTACTGTCTCTTCAATTGGTGATCGCATCGGCGGTGGCGGAGCCGAAAAGCCAATCCATCTCAGTCTCGAATGTCTCCTCGGATAGCGGGCTCGCAAAGCATCGAAAAGTCGAGACAAAATAGCCGTATAGAGCCCGAACTAGACTCGGCACCTGGACTGCGAGCCCGACGGATCATTCTCTTATTCGGCCGTTTGGGCTGAGACAGCGTTGCGAGGGGGAGTTTCTTCTCCCTTCTTCGCTTAAATTCTTCTCGCACATGCTAGATACGCGCATTGGGGAGCAGAGCGCAATGTCTTTGAAATCTGAGGCCGGGAGGATTCAGATATCAGACAAAGTGTTTCTTGTGAGCTCTGGTCACTTCTCTTCTCGACCTCGCCTCTCCCGGAGCTTTCAGCCTTCGAGGCACCGCGTACAGCATTTTTTCCTCGCCTTGCCCGTCCGAAATTGTATCTGCATCTCGGAACCTCGAAATTCGGTTCAGTAGTTCGAGAATAAATTCTCATGGGAAGCAAGTCACGGACTACGTGTAATAGTTCAGATGAGTGCGGGTATTCATGCAGTCGAGCCCGCTCAGCAAAGACTCCTCAGGAAAAGCAAACAAGTTTCTGGCGGATTTCCTCCTATATGCGGAGTTCTATAATGGCGAATAGTGGATAGTGACGCTCCTTTCTTATTTGCCGTCAGGATTCGCATGAGGCGCGCCTCATACGGAGACGGAATCAAAGAGATCGGATCTGGAGTGAACGTGCTCGAACCGGTCTCTTGGCGGCGAATCCACCAACATGGCATCCTATGGGGGGGCTTCTGCGTCGAGCCTCGCACGAGCGAGTCGCTCCTTTAAGCGAACTCCAAGTTATCCTGAAGGCGAATTATTCAGCATTAGAGTCTATGGGCTCGAAAATCGGGAATTTAATGAGATCAGTCGTAGGTCTTAGGATCGTAGGTTTCTCATATGCGTATTTCTTATCGTCTATTCCGACCGTATTCACTTGAGAGTTATGCTACCCGATCTCGAGGATTGTGCCGGAAGACTGCAACCAGTCTATGACTTCACTCGCTGGGAAGCCTCTGATATTTTTTGGAACTCAGTCACAGTTGGGAAAGAGCTCCATGGAATCGCTCTCAGCAGATTCCACGTCACACCTTAGTCCCGTACTCTTGACAGGACTCTACTGGAAGTCCTGAGGTCTCTCGATTAGAGTTGGTGCTGGAAGTCCACGAGGAAGCTCGCGTACAATTATTACACGGACGACTGTGGTCCCCGATGCTCTCACGCTCTGTTCCGATCCCAAGAAGCATCCTCCCGTAGGATTGCATGGCCCGAACTTCGGGAGTGCGTGCTAATACGGCGCGGCGCATTCCAAGAGCCCTGGTTCACTGGCTGATTGAAGTGATGCTCATGAATTAAGACCCCCCTCATGTTTCGAGTCGCTCTAATTCGCGAGGTGAAGTCGAACACAAATCCCCCGAAATTGATAAGCTTCCCGATTCCCTTCCTCCTCCGAATGTGTGAGTCGTGTGCTGTGCCCCCCGAGCTTCTCCTGCTCCTGCCGCCTCAATAAGTGCAAGTCATTTAGTTGTGGTGGAGGTACGGAAGCAGCGGCAGGAGTCTCTTCAGACAATTAATATCGATGAAAAATAGATCGCTCTTTTTCCTTCTGTTCCTCGCTCGTTTTGGCGAGCTGATCCCGGAGTTACGGAGCGGATTGCTTGCTCTCTCGGAGCAATTGCGCGTTCTGAACTCCTCTCGCCCTGTGTCTCATCTGCCTTCGCTGTAGACACTCCATTAGCGATTGAGAGCTTGGGGCTCTGACCGCTGCCGCATTCACAACAAGCTTCTCCCGTCCCCTTGAATCGGCCCAGCTCCGAAGTCGATGATCTCGATTTTTCCCGCTCCGATGTTATGCGAGTAAACAGAGTGGATCTTCGTATTCCATGTGTCCCGCCTCCCGAACCAGAGAATATCGTCGCTGAATGGGAGAACGGAGATTTGCGCGGAGCCGGAGAAGTCGACCGAATATGATCTGAGAATATTATGAGTATTAGTCTTCACTTTTTCTAGCGATGATTCGGAGCACCTATTTCGCCGCGTTCACCCCCATACCCACCCGCACCTAGAGGGGGAAGCGTAGAATTCCAGCAAGGCCCCCCGTTGAGCGAGCGAGTGTAGTGTTCATCGAGGAGTGGTTGGAGTCCAATCCAGACCTCGTCTGCCGGAAGACCTCAATGGCTTAAAATGGGCCGGCGATCGGGGTATCGTAAACGCGACCGACTCGGCTACCGCGAGCGATGCCATCCAACGATGATTCGTTGCAACAGACGATTCGCGCGCTCTCGTGCTTAACGTTTAGGTCGGGTGGAGCAGCTTGGCTCGGACCGCATCTTGCCGTAGCTGCGAAGGGAAGTAGCATTCACTGCTGTTCGTGATAAACCGAACCTATTTTTGAGATCGGTGATGAAGGAGTCTGCTAGCGCAAATCGGTAGGCTAAACTGCAGCCACGAATGGGGATAAGTGCGAAGCGTTAAGATGAACAGGAAACGCCTCATGTGGTACCTGTACGTAATGTTTCTCTATACGTCACGATCGCCCGGCGAGGGACATCGAAGAGGGCACGAAAATACGTAAATGACTACGATGGAATGCCCGAGGGATGCGGTCACCATTTCTCGCCAGTAGCGTTCTTTAAACTCTTAAATATATTTATTCCGATTAGTCCGATTCCCGTAGGAAGCTCAGTGAGCTCTTCGAATGGTTGAGTAAAAACTCCGATCGAAAAGTCAGTGACCCGTTTCTTCGTGGATCTCTGCGATTGCCAGCGACTGAGCCCTTCCCCGAATTTATCAATTCGTACCACTCGATATTCCTTACGACATCTGAAATGGATTTATTGAACTCACGAGCCGCACCTTCGGCCCCTAAGCGCTCATAGTAGACAGTTGGAGAATCGAAGACTGTCCCGGTCCTGGAACTGGCGATTCGAGTACACATTAGAGGAAAAGTCGGCGGGAGAATGCGGTAAAAAGTTCACACACATGTCAATATTGCCTGATAGATGACTCGAATGTCAACGGAGTCTCGTGACACGACTGGCACGCCAGAAGGGCGGCTCCGCTTCATAAACACGGGCAAAGCGACTTCCGAATGAATACTAAGAGAATCCTGAGTATTATTCACCAATCTACGGAATTGGTCCCAAGCTTACTCGTTCTATCATTCGATTGCTCAATCGAGCGGCGGATCCAGGACCTGAACTCGTCCATCAGGCGAGCTCGACTTAGGGAACGCACATTTCGATCAATCCATAATTAATCGGATTGTTGGGATTCATGAAGCGGCTCTCGAATCACATTCCTCTCGCTTCGTCGAGACCGTCGTGAATACTTTTCTTAGACATTGATGATACCGGCGAATACCTACATCAAGTCGCCCCGAAAATCGGGCTGGCGCTGATATCCATCCCCGACTCTGTCTCCGAAACCGAACGATTCTCCATACGAGAGCAGGCGCGCTGAATCTCGATCTGATGTTCGGGAATGTTTGCATGCTAATCGACAGTTTCAATATTGCAGGTTCGACCAGCTGCCTCCGATTGCACCATCTCGACGTTCCACGGAGTGCACAGGTTGGCGATTCCGTGTGGCTCAACTGCACATATGACCTCGAAAGAGATGATCTTTACGCGGTCAAATGGTACTTCAACAATACTGAGTTCTACCGATATTCGAACAATAAAGCCGATCACTTCGACGTTCCCGGAATAACGGCTGACGTGAGTACGAACCGACTTATTATTTAACTTGATCCGACCGTGTCCGTGCTTGACGCGGACGCTCTCCAATTTTTCTTGGCAAAGCCGAGCCGTGAATTCTGAGACTTTGAGAATAGTAACGTTGAAGCCCGCGGCTCGACAAGGATCCACCGAGACGCGGATTCGGACGGGCGATCGCGCTTTCAGTCCACGACCATATCGATTCCGAGTACAATATTAGATTTCATTTGATCATCTCGTTGAAATTCAACAGGAAATAATAGAGAGTCACTGCTGGCTTTGTTCTTCCGAATTGTTCCTCGCTTTCTTTAATTACATTCGAACAAGCATCGATCCCGTTGATCTCCGCGGTCTCTGGGATGTTTCGTCGTCTCACGGAACTCGTGAATTATGCAGCCGATGCCAAGAGATGCCGATCGTTAAGCAATCAGATGAATCCCATCAATGCGTCTGGTGATGCCCGAAGTCTGTTTCTGTGTAAGACTCTGTTCCGATGCGAATTTAGCTCCCAGTAATTTATCTCGTAGTCCGTGAGCTTTCATTCTACTCAGCATGGACTTCATCATCGATGGCTCGTCGTCTTCGGGGAGCCTTTCTCATCTGCCCTATATTTACATACGTCTGACACGGGATGATATAAGTTTTTTGTCACGCATTCCCCTTCAGTAAGAGATGTTCGTTCTGGATTCTGTCAGGGCGGAGCCGTAAACGTAAGGGAGGAGGGCTCTGGCTCCGCCTAAGGCAAGTGTCCTCACCCTTTGCCAGCATCACACCCACGCTCATCGAGGTCTACGGGCAGCGTCGTAGGTTGATTCTGTACCGACCACGCTGCAGTCTAGATGCTCGAGCACCAAATCGAGATAATGAAGATGAAGACGTGCCCCCCCCCCCCCCACTGGAGCGAACGGATTTCACGTCTCCATAGATACAGAGCTTCGCTGGATTTTCTGGAAAAGATACGAGAACAACTCGAAAATCATTTCCTCGTCGGGTTTTGTCTTCCACTTGCTAAGATCGTCGCCCGCCCCACGAGATCTACGATTGAATGAGTGGCGGACGGACTTCGGACATAACGGAGCCTTTCGGCCGGCCCCTCCGAGCCCGTTTTTGCGATGATCTTGTGTATTGTCGTTACGTACCTTCGTTGGGAAACTCGAGATCAGCTGACTCATCCGTGGCGGGGAAAGCTCGTAGCCGAAAAACTCCTAACTTGACTCCTCCGACGGTCCGTTTACCGCTCGAGGTACTAAGTGGCAAACTGATGAAAATGCTCGACTCTCTTCTTAATGGTCTTTATCGAACTTGGAACCAGTTGAATGAGCGAACGAACGAGCAGGCAAGCCGGTGATCGGTTGGAGGAACCTGCCTAATGATGGGAGCGGGCCGAGAACCTCAAACTTTTCCCACCTACCGCATGAAAATTGTTACATATAGAGCGTCCGCACTTCCTCCGTTCGTCGATTGAGAATGGGTCCCCCCCCCTCCCGATGTCGGCGTCGTCTCCAACAGATCGGTATGGATTCACTCCGATAGACGGCTCGCATTAAATTTCATTTTCGGAGTCTTCCAGACTGAGAACGACTCCTGGTTTGACAGGCGCCCCTCCTCAGCTTCGCGTTGAGTAATGCCGCATGACTCAACGCGAGATCTCTTGGGCTGCGTGGAACATCCACGGCAGACGGTCGACGTCGAGCGTCAACGGCCAGATTGAGAGGGAACGGCCTTGTAGCATGTCAAATCGGGGACACCAAGACCTCCCGATCGACCGGTAGCGATGCATGGGACGAAGGAGCTAATCGCTTCTGGATCTAAGTCTTCCGTTGGGCTGGAGCCGCTGTTTCTCCATCTGCTTCGCAGTCATCCCACGTCGGTCCATGTATAGTATCACGGGGCCGGGGTGTTTTAATCACAGATTGATTACGAGCTTAGTGGGCCGAGACCTGGCTGCCCAAAGGGTAGCTCCAAAACGGCCACAACGCATACTAAAGAGAGAAGCCCCGATGCCGCACTCGCCTTCGCGTCGTATCCCGTGCTCCTCATATGTGTCCTGCCCATGCATTCTCGGCGGGGCGCTCCGCTCTCTTCGCGGTCCCCGACTCGTCCCCTTCGACTGGCTTGTGCGCCGGTTGGCTCGTCGATCGCTCTCGTTGTGATTCGGGTAGCTGCACGGTGTATCGCTAGCTATCGGATAGCACCGACAGGCTCTGGAATCTGGAACTCGCTTACGTGGGTTTCTGGGTCCATGTGGATTTGCCTCACATTCGCTTTCGATATGAACTAACTCGACCCAAGAAACAACCCCGAGGGTCGTGCTAGATGTTTCCTTGAGGTAAAAAAAGGGATTCCGAGCGAGCTCGTGATAAAATCGTAGCTTGTCCTATGACTAAGTATTTTCCTCTCGATTGGAAACTACCAGCTCTCGCAGCATTTTCGATCTTATCGTTGTCGCCGCTAGCGCTGGCCCTCCCTCGCAGCGAGAGACCACAACACCGAGTGTGGCAAGTGTTTCGTTGCGATTCGGAAATCAATTTCAAATCGACGGGAGCAAGATGTGGGTCTAGGTAACTCTTCTCTCTGAGAGGAACAGCGCGATCTGAGTACAACGGAGCAGTGCCAGCGGTGGGAAGAAAAATGACGAAAGAAATGAGATACAACAAAAAAAAAGCGATGGCGGCGGCGAGCTCGGCAATTTTGATTTGAACCATGACCTCTTCGATTCTCAATTGGTCTTCCATTTTGCAGCGTCACATATCACTCGGAGGAAACGTGTATCTGCTCAACGTCAATCTCCAGGGCGAAGGGATCTACAAATGTGAGGCAACGGCTGGAAGCCCCACCTTCCAAACTGTCGATATGGAACAGTATCTCGAAGTCTACAGTAAGAATTTTATTACACTTGCTCGCTTTCATTCGGAAGTTGGGGAATCGTTCTCACGCAGCACGGATGAGGATCCATCGGCTTACTAAAGGATGATGCGCTTATTGTGATTCTTGCATAGCTGGGCATCTTCCTTTCACTCCTCAATTTCATATATGACTTTCATGAGAGATTTCGACTGGATTGCCTGCTGCTTATCGCAAGACTTATGCTGCGACGCGGCTGGATGCTTTCTGGTAATAGATGCGAGTCCAGGATGTTAGCACGAAGCTTGATTTTGTTGAGGCATCCAAGGTTCAGGGAAACGATGGATTTCGAAAGGCGATCACCGCATTCATGGAAAATCACGTCGCATGCTCAATAATGGCGGTGTTCGTTTCCTCCACAATTCCAAGCTATCGTCTTCAGATTAGAATGAGTGTGGTCACTAGGTTGCTCGAGGATGCGCTCCCGTAGTGACTCCACTGTGCAATGTACGAGAGTGCTCGCAATGTGCTCTTTTAGAGGTTTCTGCACGACGGTACTTCTTCCCTAACGTCCGTGGCAGCGGCGGTTCTCCTGGCTCGTGGTAGAAAAGGCTGCTGGAGCATTGAGACCATACGGAGGCTCTGCTTTCCTAGCCTCATCTAGTATCTGCTTTTGTCAGTAAATGCTTTGAAGTCCTGTCCCAATCATGAAAAATTGAACGCACAAAGAAGTCCACAGTCTCCGTCTCGAGATAGCTTTCCATGAAAATCAGGTGCAGCGGAGAGATGAGATCCACTGGTTCAGCGTTAATTTACCACTGCAGTGATGCCAGAAGAAAATCCAGCGATTGCGGGAGTCAAACATAAATACGTCATTGGAGACGTCGTCAACGTGACATGCGAATCTGCGAAGTCTAAACCAGCCACCAGACTCTCGTGGTACATCAACGACAAACCGGTGAGTTATTGACTGAACTCTCACCTTGAGCTCCGACGGACCCCAAAAGCGGATCTTTGCTTCGGAGAGATGATCCCTGATGTAATGAATGCGAAAACTCGGCCGGGAATCAAGATCAGCTCTCCATCGGCATCTTTTGAGAAACTCCAGAATTCGAATCAATGAAGTGCCCGAACCTCGTGAACGATAGGGACGCGCAGTCATGCATAGCTCCAATTAGAATGTCGGCATTCTCTTGAGTGGTGAACAGTGGGCTCTCAGCCTTAACGGGCGCCCTCATGGCCCCGCTCGGATAGCGGCCCCGCGAGTGGTGTCCAGATATTGTAGCTGAATATTCATACACATTCAGTTTAATGGCCTAGAAGTTGGTGCTCCCAGCCCGTATCCCGGGTCCGGTGTTTGAGCCCATACCAGATAAGAGCGGGCAGGTGCTTAGTCTGCCAGCCCAATACGGCGTTCCATTTGACTCATACCTTGATCATTCGATTGAGCGGGGTTTTTTGCCACCTCTCGGTTTGAAATTCCACGGATACACAGGAGACTCCAGGAGTCCAGGAGACGTATCCGATCAGATGGGACTCCACGAAATCTTCTTCCGAACGAGACACGACTCCGCTAGACTCTGAAAGTCCGGAGTTGCGACGGGCACACACACACGACATTCTGTATCAAGTGAGAGTAGGCTTTCACGTGAGGACGTGACGAGATACAATCGTTTCGGAGTGTACAGACTGTTGTTGAGGATTCTGGCGCCGCCTACCCTCCCCCCTTGAGCACGTAGTTGCGCTTGTGCTTCGCATTTTGACCCCTGAACGAAAATCCTTAATTTTTCAGCGTGAGCGCACCTCACCTTAGGGAGGGACTCTGGCTTCCGGCAACTGCTTTTTTTTCAACAAATCGCACTTGCCTCTTCTCGAATATACATCAATGCATAAAGACGATTCTACTTGATATTCACTCCCCCGATTCGAGGAGCGGACTAGAGACCCCCGAACATTGAGGTTCCCCCCGAAACGCTGCTCTCCGCGACCATCTCGAAGGGGGGAGGGCTCATGGATCGAGCGATTCAATTCGAGCTGACACCCTCGATGACTTCCCCTCCGATCTTCCTGACGCAGCTCAGTGACTCGCGATTCTCATCGACCGGTTGGCTACGCTCGTGCTGCCATCGGTTGACTCGGCTTCCCCGAGTTCGAAATTCCACCAGAGAAGTAAAAGCTTTCCGCGGAGCATCCTTAGCTTCGAGATCGATCGGCACTTCCGGAAAGCTTCCCCTGGTCCTATTCCACATTCGAGAAGCTCACAGATAGGAACGCTGATCTTTGGACGAGTTCTGACCCCATCCGAAACCCAACCTCAACACCCCGGATCTCAACAATTAGGATACAATATCACGCGGTGACGCTCACCTTACGAATTTTTGGAATTTCCAGGCTCCGGTGTCAGCCTTGATTCCTTACGAAGTTATCCCTGGCTACAATGGATTGGAATCTTCGTTGCTAGGCTTGCGTTTTAGACTTGACTCACCGATCATCGAGTCCACCGCAAATCATTTCAAGTTGTCATGCGGCGGCGAAGTTCGCCGAGAGCGCTTAGTTGAGCAGCAAATTAGAGTGACCCGTGGCAAAGGCTCAACTTCAGGTTCGTATCGATTCGATAATTGAAAATATCGGGAGGTATCGCCATTCTCAGAACTCCGGGCGGTAATGAACATGTGAATATATCATCCGAACATCAGTGAGCAATGCTCGTGTACAGAACGACAAAGCGAAATTATAACGAGGGCAATCGTCCCGAATCGAGAAGTTGGGAGTCGATAACTTCTCCCCCAACCTCCCATCTGCGACTCCCGTTACCACTCGGCATGCGACGACGTGCGAGTCTCACAATGAACTTCCTCAATCATAAATCATGATCAACAACTTGCTCCATTCAACTTAAATACAATGGCCCTGCTGGAGATGGAGGGCATATGGCTCTTTTCCCCCATAGCAGTGCTCCCGCCAAGTCTACTTCTCCTCTGGGGACCACTTGAGCCCCGGATTCTTCCAGCGGGTCGTGTTCCGTGCTTTACGGATCGAGTCTGCTGACATCTCGCGGAGTCATTCTCGTCCGGTGAGAAATCGAACTGCCGTTGATCCACCCTCGGCTTTCCCGGAAGGCCGCTACGATCGGTCGGACTTCGAGACATCGCGTATTCTCACAACGAGGGAACCGTTACGCAGGACTTTTAGAAACGATTCAAGTGCGTGGCATGCTGTCTAAATACTTCGGCGTGAGTTTCCGCAGTGCTAGCGAACTAGCAGCAGCAGCAGCAGGTTATCTATCGGCGGTCGGGAGCGGTGATTCACGCTCGCCTCGGTGTGCGCTATGGGTCCCTTCACGGGCGGCAGCGTCCGGAGCGTGTTACAGAGATAGCGGTGGTCTGTGCTTGTGGAAGAGAGAGTGGGGAAGAGCTATGGGGGCGTCCCATAAGATAGACTATCAGATGAACCTATGCGTCATACATACTACGTCTGTACTTGAAATGGACGAAGAAACACAAACCCTGAGCTCGAGTTCCGAGAATCTCCGAGTTTGAGTCTCCACAGTGCTTGACGGAACTCAGCTCCCCCTCGAACGCCATGCCCCAGGCCTATTGGAAGACCTTCGGGCAATCGTCCTCCGTCTCTGCGATGAAGATTCCTGGACCCAAGCTCGACTCACTCAGTCCAAGTCGGAAAGACGAAACTCTCAGAAAAGCAGCAGCGAGGCTATAATTAATTACCGTGTAGCGGAATCTTGAAGGGTAAAAAGCGTCTGAGAATGTCGAGGACAGGCTCACCATTAAAAATCGTAATCAAACTCCGTCTGAGGCTTGATTCAGTGAGCGCAGCTATGACCTCATCGTCTCACTTCCGGAGACGCTTCCGGGAATCCGAGGGGTAGTCGGCTAGTCCTTTCTGGTGGGGAGATCGCTAAAGGCTCAACTGGCCGACTATCAAATAGTGTTGAGTCATCGTCCCGAGCGAATGACCGAGCGACGGACGAGCAGGCGGTCCCCGTCGTCTCCTGCAGCCTTCGTTCGCAGACGGCGGAGATATCCGATACCCCTCCGTTAAGCTTGCGGGAAACGTGGATGTAAGCTTCAGAAAGAAAAAGTAGCATAGCGTAGACTTACGTCACGCTCGCGTTCTCGACTTCTACTTGCGAACGTAAGGCATTTCGCAATCGCTCGAATCACACAGAGATTATTCACAATTCGACTGTTCGTCAAATGGTGTTCTATTGCGACACGCACTGGAGGTTTCGGATATCCGACCGCGTCCAACGGATAGAGGTCAAAGCGACACTGGTTTGTTCGCCTGACCGTTCTCGTATCCATCAATCAATCGATCACGTCGACCACGTGAGCATCGAACGTGACGTTCATGCTTTATGGTTTTCCTCGAAAGGAGAAGAATTTCCCACATGCGCCTCGAACGCAAAACGTCGGCTCGACGTTTTCCCGAAAGCCCAGAAACGAGTCGTCCGTATTCGGGGCAAGTTGTTTCCTTCCGTACACAGGGAGAAAGCCTGTGCCTTGGGGACCTGCAAAGCGGCCCCGGCAGCAGCAGCAGCAGCAGCAGCATCTGTAGACCGTGGGGAGAAAGGATGGCTGACTGGCTCGTCGGCAGGGCGTGAGACGAAATAAAGAGACCATACAGCCGGACATACAGCCGGAAGGCTGATTAATGTGTTAATGATGTGTAGTCCTGTAGATTGGATTCAATTGCGAATCGTTCTCAAATCGAATTGGCTCGCTTCTGCTGCTACCGCCGCCGCTGCGGTATTATTATGCTGCCAGGGCGGAGCTCTGACGTATCCGAAAACGGCCGACGTCAGGACGACTACGATGATAGATGCCGCTGTAGAGGCGATGGAAAGATATGTTGCCCCCATGCCCATGAATCGCAACTCTTGCTCACGAGCCGACCTGACAGAGGATAGCACCCGCCGAGCACCCTGGCGTGGTCGGGCTTCCTTCGAACGATGTGGCGCAGGCGAGAGCGGTCGGGAAAAATAGGGAGGAATGGAGCAGCGGCTGTCCACTGTTTGTTGGTCTCCGGCGACACATTGTCTCTACTTTTAGCTCGGGACTTAGCCTGTTGACAGCCAGTATTCGTCCGGGTATGTATAGCCACCCTCGGCGCTGTCCTCGAATGGACGGACGAAAGTTATTGTGGTAATGGGCCGAGGCTTCATGAATTCATGTCGCACCCGTCGATGTCAAATATTTACGTCGACGACGGACTCGGCGCCACCCATGATCAGACAACATACACCGAACCACAACAACAGCGGCCACCGCAGCGACGACATCGACGCCTGACGGTTTGTATTGGCATATGGCCAGAAGAGTCGACGACGAATTTTTCCGCAACCCCCCCTCCCTAAACTCCATCGCTCGCCACCGTGTCGGGGAGCGGCTCGTGGACGGTGGTGACGGACGGGACAAATGCGAACCGTCGCCGTTTTTCAACCTTTCCTTATTCAAAGCAAACGAGCGAGTGGACGGGAGCGACGAGCCCTTGGCGAGGTCGTCGTAGCTCAACTTGCCCCGAACAAGCGGGCGGAGCAAGAGAACACTTCTGCCCGCCCGCCCGCCGTTCCTATACCTGCCACGGCCTCTCGGAGGGTCCTGGCGGATTTCTCCACTCTGGCTGAACCCTTCGCAGCGGCCGTCGTTTCGGTACCGGTGTCCGCCGCTCACGTCACCGAGCGACGTCGAGCAGCTGCTACCCTACCGTCGTTGTTGGCACTGGATGTATCTAGCGAGTAAAATTGTACACCCTTATCTCACTTAAGAGTCTTTAATCTCACTGGATGAAGACTGGGGTACGAAGAAGGAGCATCGAGTGACGCTCTGGAGAGAGGAAGGGGGAAAAAATCCAACCACAGCGCCGAGGGAAAAAGTTGGCCTGAGGGTCTTCCTTCTAGTCGGGGCAGGTTGTTGTTGTTCAGTGCTGGCTGGCTGTAAACATCGGCAACGAACGAAGACGGATTGTCTTGCGCTTTCATGAACTACGCCAACGACAAGCCAGCGCGCCGACGAGCCCGACCGCCTGGCTGACTAACTGACTGACTGACTGACAAGCATTGGCATGCTAATCAAGCATTTGCCAAGTGCAGACGCCCATGCGCAGCGTCGCTATCAGGAATGGGCCAACAGTACCTTTTTTATGGTGAAGATTATTATAATTAGGTATTTAGGAGCAGGGTTCCAGAGTTTGAAAAGATTTAGCCCTATGCCCTCTCTCTCCTGCAGCGGATTCAAACCCCTCCATAACGTTCACTTTGCAAGGCGACTTGCTCAGTGCAACGTGCATTGTACGGAACAGTAGCGACGCAAACCAGGTAACCTGGTACATCAACAATAGAAAGGTGAGCTCCGGAAAATCGCCCTAAGACGTGAGCTCCACAAGAGAATCGCACGGAAGACGATTCTTGGGCTATCGCGAGCCACGAGACTCGGAAGTATCCGCGTTGAGTTGAAGTGTTTTCTCCATGGAGCGATCCCCGACAGATTATGATGATACTCGGACTAAACACCGAAAAACATGCTTCCAGGTCGAAAGCAACGACACCCGTCGCATGGTCCCGTACACACGTACGTTTCCTGTAGTGAGCGTCTACAGCGAAATCGTAGTGCAATTGTCCCGGCAGGATCGCAGTCGTCCCGTACTCCGCTGCGTCGCGATGCAGTCCCATTTGCTATGGAACGGCACCAAAGAGCGTATCCTCAAGCTTCAAACACGCAGCGCAGGGTACTTTTTTCTAAATGGTGAGTCAATACAATGATCACTGGATTTGGATGATTCGCTCTGAGAGAAGAGGATTTTCTGCTTCCCGCAATGTTCATATCCTTACTCGATACTCTTTTGACGTGGGAACCTAAAGCTTCGACTCCTTCTCCCGCAGACGCTCCGTATCCGGCTCGTTCAAGTACCGCCACATTATTCATGGCGCTGAGCCTTCTCCTGCTCGTGACGGAATTCCTCGGAATTTGAGCGATACCGTTGATTATCGACGAACCATTCGTAGGCTAACATCGGAACGGCAAATGATTGAAATTACAGGGTGTTTGATCGGGGCCCTCTGACGAGGAAGGTGTCTGTACCGATGACGATGTCGTGGTCTATGAGGTCGTCAACCATATCGCTGACGCCGATGCGAGGCGTCAATAGATCGCCCCGTGGGCACCTTGCTCATTCTGTTCGCCCTGACTGGGGAAAGAAGAACACCGGGAAACTTAGGAAGGATCGCGGAAATCGGAGGTCAATTTCCCCACCTGAAACCGCTTTGACTAGCTTCTCTCTATCGCAATGTGATATAGCACACAAACAAACACACTCAGACAGCAACTCCGCGGGACGTCCTCCACGTATGATAACGCCGACGAAGAGCGACATTTCGGCGGGCGAGGATTGATGCGAGGAAACGAACAGGCTGCGAATCGATCTTACCCGTATGGCGTAGGCCACCGTTTCCCCGGGCGAAGGGAAATCTCGTTTTTTGTCTCGGGGAATACGATAATTGAGCGATGATCCCCTCGAACATGACGCTGCCTGATGTAACATAAATAATTCCGCAAAATGAAAGTCACGAATCGCCCACGACATTTATGTATCTGTTTCGTTCCGCTGGGAATCTGTCTCTGAAGCCATCGGCTGCGGAGCTTCCGAAGAAGAATTCGATGCAGTTGAGGTCTGGCGTCCTGTGGATGAGACTTAGACTTACGTTCTCGACCGTATGCGACATACAGCGAAGCATTAGAGACAATTGAACAAACTCTAGGTAGAGGCGGGAAAAAAGATCGAGTACTCTGAGACTGTCGATATCGATACTCGACGCTCCTCCGCGGGGGGATTAGGTGATTAAATTGGGACTCGGAAGGATTGCAGGTGGCGATGTTGTCCACGGAAGCAGTTACGCAGAATCTCTTTGATTGTGGCTATGAAATCTTGTACAGCGACGACCTTGCGAGGCGAGATGATCCAAGCTCGATACCTTGATTGGATCGGCGGCGGTTTTGAAATTCCTCTCTCGTCAACTACAGCAATCGAATGGTATTTGGAATCCGCTTTTGGGCGAGGATTGATCGGTTCATCAGCTCATCAATCGACGGATTTATTAGGGAACCGAAGGACAAGGGATATTTTACGTAAATAAAGTTTATTGATAGTTGCGTTGATTACTGACAGGTGTGTTTGCACTCGCCTTTGAGAAGGGGATTGCGGGAGAGCGGCGAAAGAAAAAAAATCTCGGGAGAAGCGATTGTCCACCCTGCCTGAGTAAGTGAATGAGTTCGAAACGGAAAAACGCATTCCCCTAAGATTTCTGAGAGGCCATCACGTTTTCCGGACTTGCTCAAGTCGCTCGAATCTAGGACTCGGACATGATAACGACTTGGAAATTATTCTCGGCTCGGTCTCCCGAGAGACCATCCGCCACCAAATAAGATCCTCATATGGAGACTGACCAGCCACAAAATCCGCGGAATCCATTCCGATCGGATCTCCGATCCTCTCTCGAGATCGGATTCTGCGGGACGCGAATCGTCCACCAGCAGTGCGCTTCAGAGGACCAGAGTATCGACTTCGACAATCCTCTGCGACTCGATGGTAATCGAATTATTTTCGTCAAGATGCAAAACACATGGAGATGCGGGGTATCGATCCCCGTACCTCTCGCATGCTAAGCGAGCGCTCTACCATCTGAGCTACATCCCCTTACAATGATTGCACCAAGAGAGAAGGAGTGATACTGCGAAGTTCTCGCAGCCGATCCTTCAAGCCGACAACGGTCCTGAGCAAGGTCAGCGTTTATCAGCTGACCGCACAATCTGCGCAGATTTCCGAAGTGCTCGACCTTGACCGCAATATATTGATGTTCAAGCCGTCGAGCGACCGCTGCCCGTTTCGCTGGGACATGAGCGAGTGGCGTCGAATCAGCCAAGGTTTTGTCCGGAAGCTATCGAGAATCCTCAGGGTCGATCTCGATCCTCGCGGGCATTATTTTTCTCACTTCTGAAATGTGCTGTCGAGCTCCTTCCTCTCGATAGCTCCTGCTGCCCAAACACATCTGGATTCGAATCGCCCGCTAGCAATGACCCTCTCCCCTCCTGAGCGAACAAACAAGAGCTCTTCTCCTCTGGACTGGTCTCCTCTGGTCTTGTGTTATACCACCATACACGCGGTCAGCTGATTGAGACTACAAGGGCTCTTCCGCAGCAGGTCCAGGCACCAGCTGCGGTCGCCGGCCGTCCCACCTGCTGGAGCTTTGGTGTGTTGTGTTAGGAGATGGGAGCCGAGCTCCCTTGACAAACCGGCTCCGCGCACTCGACAGGAGCGCCTCACCTGATTGATTCCACAGCAACATGGCTCGTTCCCGCGATGCTTGGGAGCCACACAGGACGGGAGCATGGCGGGGTGTGGCAAATCCCTTTCTGAGGAAAGACTCGATCACAGAGCAGGCCAGGGACAGGAATCCGGCTCTACGGCACCGGATGACTGTTCCTCAGTGAGACTGGAGCCCGTGCCGTCAGGCGCGCCATCAACTGCGTATCATCATCCTGTGCAATCTTCGTAGGAACATATTCGTTTCCTGTTGGCTCGAGTTGAGGTGGAGTCTTTATCCTGACGTCAGCCCGTCGACCATGTGAATGCAACGTGTGCATCCCTCACCTATCACCGATAGGATAGTCCACGGCTCTCGCGTCCATTTCCCTTGATCCTCTCGCAGCGGATCCTGCGAAAACGATCTAGAGATGGCTCGTGCACACGCACTTGCGGGGCCTCTTCTGAGAGAAGAGGCCCATCTGAGCTTTTCAGGAGGTGGTTTCCTTGGAATTTACCACGTCGGTGTCGCCTTAGCATTCCGTGATTTCGCTCCTCATATAGCCAAACGGAAAGTACTGGGAACGTCGTCGGGAGCGTTGGCAGCCATGTGTCTCGTGAGTGACTTCCCGATGGACAAAGCTGTCAACAATATCGTCAAAATGGCTAAACACTGTCGGAGCTTATCACTGGGGCCTTTGCATCCGAAATTCAATATTTTCGACATCATGCGAGGTGATCTCGAAACGTACATGCCGGAGGACGCTCACATCCGATCCTCGGGCAGACTCTTCGTCACAGTCACCAACGCCCTGACCCTGGAAAGTGAAATAATCACGAACTTCGAGTCGCGTGAAGAACTCATTGACGTTCTGATGGCTTCGTGCTTTATTCCATATTTCCTAGGGTTCGTTCCACCAAAAGTGAGAAATACTCGGTACATTGATGGCGGTATCAGCTGTAATATTCCTGTGTTAGACCAATACACTATCACTGTTTCCCCGTTCCCGGGCGAGAGTATAATAGGTCCTCGGTTCGGTAACTTACCCAAAGTGGCTTTCATGCCAGAGACGGCTTTACGCCTGTGTAAGACCGTCTTCGCACCACCAGCATACGTCCTCGAAGAGCTCGTTCACCAGGGTTATGATGATGCTATAAACTTCCTACAGGAGAGTAAACTGATTTCGTGCAGCGAATGCTTGACTCAAGACGTCGGCACCGGGTCACATCGGAAGCGATGTGAGAAATGCGAAGAACTCCTGAGACTTTCCGATATCACGAACGTTCCGCGATCACTCCTCAGATCCTTGGAGTTGACGGCGATGCAAGAGCAGGAAGAACGGCGTTTGCACCCATACTTGCACACGTCGTTGGCGAGATCAATGAGAATCGCGGTAGGAGTCGTAGTCCTCCCGTTCGAGGTGTCGTGGGCGATCGCAAGAAAAATGTATGAGACAAGAGAGCTCTTTCTGAACATTTTCCTCACTGTATATCGCGGTTTCCTCGACCTGATCAGAGGACTTGGTCCCGCGAAAGATGAGTGCAGACCCTGTGGGCCATCACGCTTGGAGGACAGTTCCAAAGCAGCTTCGAAAGATTGTGAGCACAGGACATGCTCGAAACAAGATTCAGGGAGTCGGGCCTGATCCATTGGATCTTATCTCCAGCTCCCGTTTCTCTCAAGATGGCACTCCGCTCGAGCAGAAATATGGTGATACCCACGATTGATTACTCCACCTTATTTATGATGGGAAGAGAACCAATGTGAATTTATACACATAGGTATCGAAAACACTTATTCGGCCTTCGTCTGTCCGATCCGAGTTTGCGAAGGGTCCACCGCACGCCACTATGTCGCGGAATGCATGGAGAAGCGGTGTTCCCGATGTTGTTCCTATTAAGCTATGCCCCTGCACGCAATGGCTGTATTCACCGTGAGACTCTGAGCCAGCACGTTCGGAGCAGAAAATCACTTATATTCCGAAATTGGTGTCAAAATGGACGAAGAATGACCTAGTCATTTTATATTTGTTAATAAAAGCACCGCTCCCAAATTGTACGATTTCTCCTTCCTTGGGAGGAGAAAACATCCGAAACAGTCCGATTTCAATGTCATAGCAACGTCTTACCCGTTTAAGGGTAAATGCATTGGAAGGTATCAGCACGCGGTATCGTCACGATTCTGTTGTCAGACAGAGCTCCGGACAGACGCTTGTTCCGGAGGTTCTCGGACAATGTCGAAATACTGTGCTACTCGATAATGAAGCGAATTCCGGGAGGACTCGATCGGTCAGAAGACGGAGCTTCGCGGATCCTCGTACATTCGGGGAGGAAGGCTAGCCGGGGAGCTCAGCCGTCCCAAATTTTCCGTTGGCGCAGTCGCAAACCGTCGACTTGAATTGCGGCTTCATGGATGAGGGATGCCTTCTCGCTGTCTCTCTGCAGTACCGGGATCGACCTACAGGCGATGAGCCAATCGAGGTCAGGCTCCGGGCGATGATCCTCTCCGTAATCAGAAGTTCTCATACATACTTGTCGCCGTCAGATGTCCCGATCGGGTGTTATGCAGGAATCCATGAGCACCTCTCCAGATCGGATTCGGCAGTTTGGCTCAATGATTCATGAATCTCCCTGACTCGTCTCCCACTGGGGTCGCGCCAGATAAACGAGCTTCGATGGCTCACGCTCGACTGAAGGAGTAGAGCAGTCTCTCTCCCGACAATTTTGCAGGAATATGAGAGGCTGGATACGGGACACGGGAACGCCTGCGGCTAAGGGAGAATCCTAGCAGTTCCAAACGAGCCGAATTATGCTTCCCTATCTCTTTGCACAGTCAGGTTTTCAGCTTTCCGGACTTAGTTGCGGAAGCATTGCCGACGTTCATTGCAAGCGCTGACCCAGCGTTCTGAGGCGGCAGCATTCCATGGCTGAATTGAGCTCTCGGAAAAGCGCCGGCTCAGCCGGAGTCCCCGTTCAGGTTTCCTGTAGAGATGAGCTCGCGCACTATACGCAGTGCTCGAATTAACAGTCCGGAGCAGTTGCGTTGGACTGGCCGCACCCTCTTCGAACGAACCCTGCATATGCGTCTATAGTTCCGTATCCTTAGCGATGCGCCCAGGGAGGAGATGAAGGATTTTCGTAGGTAAATCTCGAACCGTTCCGCTCGTAGATTCGCTCCGGGCTGACATTTCTGTAGCGTGATCGGGCCCCCGGAGACTGGCGATAGATCGGTGGCCCTCACGCTGACGAGCCGCGGTGATTGCGCTGTCCTTCGGATAATGATCATAGAAGTTACTGGCGGGATCACCATCCGCATGAGACGTCGACTTTTCCTCATTATATGGAATCACATAATTTTTCTCTACGGTCGCTCTTCATTCAAATCGCCAACGGGTCGTCCTCCGCCACGACTCTCACTTTCTCGGCAGGAACAAGGAATGATTGCCGGTGCGATTTCTCTCCTCCCTTTGTCCTCCGATTCCGATTCACACTAGCCAGTGTCTTCCGATTCCGCAGTTGGAATCACTACCGACATGTACCCCGTCTTTCCCATCGCCGTATAGGTACATAGGTAGCACCCAGTGACTACTTCGGCTGATGCATGGGTGCTAAAACTTCCTGGACTGTGGCGAAATTCGGCATCATTCGGGTGAGAGTTTGCTTGCGCAATCGGTGCTCCTCATAGGCGATTCTCTCCCGGTGATCAGCACCGCACCCCCATATATTTATTAGGCGAAGTTAGGCGTCGGAGAATCTAGCGAATGCTAAGCGAGCCCGTTCCCCTAGAGACGATCGCAATATCACACCTTTGTTCTATAGATCAGGTCGATCGGGGCGGCGGAGGTTAACATCCTTGTCCTCGAAAGGCCCTGCATCTCAACGTCGACGGACTTAGAACTCTGGAAACGGACGAATCCGTGACATACTTCATCCAGGACCCAACCACTGCCGGAATCAGAAGCCGCTTCCGTATTCTCCGATGCGAAGGAAGAGCAGAGTTGTCACCGGACCGCTCTCGATGCAGCGTTCCGCGAACTCTTTCGAAGATGACTTGGGGCCCCGGTCAAGGGTTCCCTCTTCAAAATCGCTTCATGATCCATGAATGTCTTCGGCATCAGGCGCGCTGCTGTCTAGGGTTAGAGAATTGTACGAATCGTTGGCAGTGGATGAAGCGCAGAGATGGCTGATGTCCGGACGATCAGCAGCGTCGGACTCGGAACCATCGAAGGAGGCGAACATTGTCGTTTGAGGGGACATGCCATGTGAAGTGCGTTCTCACGAAAACTGGCGTCCTTAGAACGCTGTGCCCTCTCGCTGTGCTCACATGTCTGATACTGGGCCCGCTGTGGTCGAGTAACTCAACATTGAAGACACCCTGGCTTGTCCGGGTCCGGGACCCAGCAATCGGTCCCTTGGGAGTTATATTTTTCGACGAGGCTCTATTATAGAGCGATTACGTCCACCGTAGGAGACCCCGTCTCCAGGCTCTATTCCGACACAGAAATCGCCGCTGCCGACCCATTGCATGTCTGCATCTTGCCTCGGCCGTGTGAATTGTTATCCATTCATAGTCGCTCCGGAATTGGGCCCTGTTGCTTTCTGGGGGATTTGAGTTTATCGCGATTCGGGAGTGCGAATGATGGGGAGCACTCATTTTATCATCCTTGAAGGCACTATCAGTATAAGGAAAACGGTCGCCCCCCCCCCTTAATGACTGGAAAAATCCAAGCGGAGTGGTCAGAAAAGGCCTATACCGTTCCAAGAGCAAGAACATTCCGCTCAATAAGATTCGTGGAGAAATTCCCCCGTGAAAAGTTCGGCCTCGCTTCCCTATAGCCCGATCACCATCTAAAACAACTCCATTCATAAGCAACGCAGAACGCATCCAGAACAGTGGAACACCTCAAGTCGGCGCGTAGATTCGCCACGCATCTCCGCCACCACGTCTCGCGCTATGCGAACTTAGTGAGCACGTTGCCCATAGTTTTCCCACGGGCGGAAGCTTCATTCGGAGAGCAAGGGTCGCTCAATCAGAAAACTTTTCTCTGCTCGATTGTGTGCGTTTGGTCGAGAGGGATCGCGATTACAATACGAAGTGAAGGGCGAACTACGACGACTATCTTGTAATTTCAAAGGCTCTGAAGAGAGATCGAGTGCGGTCTCGCAGGGACGAGAGCTGTTCGAAGAAGCCGAGCGAGCGTTGTGGAGTTTGATTCGGCAGTAGCGCCCCGGACGAATTTTCGGTCAGTGCCGTATTCAAGACTCGCGTCCTCAAGCGGACCAATTTCCGATTATGGAAACTGTGAAGGAATGACTCAAGGTCGCGCTCAATTAGGTGCGATATTCATCGGATCATGTCGAGTAAGTTCATCGATTGCCATTGGCGACCTCCTCTGTGCTCGGATCTTCGAAGCGGATTCTTCACATCAGGGTCCTGTCCCCCGATCGAAGCTCTCGAGAGTGCGAGGTCCCTTGGGGGAGGCACAGACATTGATTCCAATCCTCATTGTTATTTCCGATGTTGACATTCTCGACGGATTCGCAGAGCCTGGAGGGGACGCCACCAGATCTTCGAGAAGCGTGAGATACGCGTAAGTTGAAGTTTCCTCCTGACTAATCAATTTTCTTCCTCCGGAATTTTCTCTCGTATTGCCTGAATCGATTCCTCGGTGAAGGATTTTTGAGATCACGAAGTAGGAATCAGTAACCACGCGCAACGCAGGATTTCCGATGCGATCCCTGCGCACGAGAACGATGGCGATTGATTCATGCTTTCCATCCAGATTATTGGACGTGGACTCGGAATCATCATGGTGTCGCCGACCGCGAATGCTATTCATCTCTTCGTTAGGGTTCCTCTTCTTATTCGTTCTGTACCTGTCGCTCGACGCCGAGCGCTTCCCACTGGCTCCTCGACTCAGCTTCCTGGCGGAGACAGGAGCAGGAATGAATGGAAACCAAGAAGCGCAAATGTCCGCCCCCGATAGCATCTCAAGCCTAATCAACGGCCGCATCGGCGCTATGGGAGGATTCAGTTCAATCAGCACTGCCGCGCGGCGGGTGACGAAGCGCGAGACTCCGACGATCTATCCCGATCACGCGACCTCGGTAGCTGCTAGGACGCATTCGATGCTTTCTCCGACTCTGAATACAGCTAATGGGGAACACTCCCGACCTCCCACTGGAGCATCATCTGCACCGTCTACGAATGCCGGGACTTCTGCTCCTCCCGAGAATACTGCGGGAATCCCGCTTTCAGTCCCGGAAGCTCCGAGCACATCTGACATTTTCGAGCACTTCGCCATCTACACGGAGAAATGTCGAATACGAGATTATGACTACAACGACCCGATAGTTCTGAAAGAATACTTCTCAGGCGAAATAGCGCACTGCAAACCGGATGCGAAGCCATTTGTATTCCGCCCGGAAATGAATCTTACAGGAGGCTTCTCGTGTATCGGTTTCGACGCCGAAATATCTCGGCTACACTATAACGCAACGACTGAAGACTGGAAGTGCATATACAAGGAGTGTATTCGAGGGGAACGGTATCAAATTATCGACGGTCACTTCGACTACGGTGCAACAAGAGCTTTCGTGCCTGGTGATTGTCCCCCTTACGAATACCTCTGGATAGAATGCATCTTGGAAAAACAGAATATCCGGAATTATAGCCAACCATTGTTATTGCCCGTCGTCAAACCTGCGAAGAAAAATATACGTCGCAATAATCTCAGAAGGAAACCGCTGAATGTTCTCGTGCTCGGAATGGATTCGGTTTCCCGACTCAACGCTCACAGGCAGTTCCCAGAAACCCTGAAGTTCCTGCAAACAAAGAAGAACCTTGTAGAGCTTTTCGGCTTCAACAAGATCGGGGTGAATTCGGCTCCGAATCAGATTCCTCTGGTGACGGGAATCAAATACCTCGGGGATAACTTGCAGGCCAGAGTCACTAATAAATACTTCGATAACGAAACGAGGTATCTTTGGGACGATTACGAGTCTCGCGGATACCGTACAATGTTCTTCGAGGAGCAATGGAAGTACGGACTCTTCATCTACCCATCGACCCATGGCTTCAAGGAGGTGAGAGCGATAATGGGGAAGGGGACATCCCGACGATCATGTTCAATTTTCGACATTCCTCTCCGAGAATCTTACGGAATTGAGGACTTATTTCAGGTCCCCACGACGTATTGGCCGCGACCTCTAATCCAGGCTGTGGATTGGTCCGACTTGAAACGAGATGGTTACGAATGGTGCATCGGTACGGATTTTCCAGCGAAGTACTATCTGGAATACACATCGAATATGTTTCGCATGTTGGGCAGCGATCGTCCCCTCTTCTCCTACTCATGGTTGAGCGAAATCGCACACAACGACCTCAACGGAGGAATCCGAGCCGATGGCTATTTCCTCGATTTTTTCAAGAACATGGACAAGCACGGTCTGTTGGACACGACCGCCATTTTCTTCATTTCTGACCACGGTTTCCGCTTCGGGTACTTCCGTCAAACCGAACTCGGCAGATACGAAGACATGCTTCCATACGGGTTCATATTGATGCCGGACTCGTACTACGAGCAGTATCCGGAGGCCTTGACGAACGTGAGAACGAATGCGCGCCGCCTCGTGACCGTTTACGATCTACATGTCACCATGTTGGAGCTGGCAGACGCTTGGGACGAGGACAGAGTTGTGCGGACTCCCAACGGTTATAGTTTGTTCAGTACCGTCATCCCGGAGAATAGGACTTGTCTCGACGCAGGAATCAGCTTCCAGTTCTGCTCGTGTTTCGAATCCCATCCTTACGACGTGGGAGGCCCCTTAGCATTAGAAGTCGCCAGATTCGTAATCGATACCATCAATGAGATCGTACGCAACAACTCGGCGACAGAGAAATGTTCTTATTGGGAATTGAATGCCATCGAGACCTTCTCTCAACTCTCGGAAGGCAATCACTGGACGAATTTTTTCAAAATTTCTATCAAAACAAAACCTGTGGCGCAGTTCGAGGCCGCAGTAGAGCTCCTCTCGAATAAGAGCTGGACTCTCTTGTCGGAGATCGATCGAACGGATTGGTTCAGCTCCCATGCGGGATGCGCCAAAAGCACTGACTATGAGCGTTATTGTTACTGCAAGAATAGCTGACGAGTTTCGCTCTTAAATATACTGATGAATTCTCGAGCTTTCTGTCCTGTACACTTGTAACCCGGAATATATGTCCACCTATACCCTGATCCCTCGCCGTCTTCTCATTGAGAAAAGTTCAGAATGGAGGTTGTTGAAGGCATAAACTGACTAGAGATCTTTTCATTTTTTATTCACGGAATTAACGAAAATTCAAGGTCAGTGATACGTCGGAAAACACCAACTTTCACGTTGCTTCGATGTGTCTTGTCCCGAAGTTTTAGGTGGGCTGTAAAAGTCATTCCACAAAGCTTGTTGAAGCAGGGTAGAGGAGCCATCCGAGGAGAACGGAGACTGTTTAATCGTTTTAATTTATGTCTTCTATTTTTTTTCTATCGTTTTTTCTTGTTGATACTGAGAAAAGCCTGGTTAGCAGTGAGTTGGGGTCTCAAAACTTCACCACGGAATGCGCTTTCCGAAGGCATGAGTAGCGTTGTCAAGCTCCCAACGAGTTTCAGAAGTCACATCTTAGAAGGCGGGCTCTTCCCATGCGCTACTGAGGTTTGTTTGAGGAGACCCGTCTGAGAGAGATTCAATTTTATATCACAAGTTCCGTTTTCCCCTCGAGACATGATGGAGAATATCCGATGGATGGACATTCTTTTGTTGAGGGCACGAATCAGGTAGTCATCTCTGGGAAGATATACTGGGTACCGACCGGGGTTGGACTTTGATGGGTGAGACCAGCGCAACTTCGGTCTCGATTCGCTGGATCCAATGCTTATGAGCATTTTCCAAGTTCCCACGTCTCCACGATATTCCATCATCCGCCTTCACATGCCTATCGCATCGATGCCCGAGCGGCTGCTACGGGCTTTTCACTTATCACGTCTCTTTCGGGGATTCCGCGCAAGCGGAGTCCTTTCCTAGCGGACGAAGACCGGCGGCGAGATTAGCGAGAAGCCGACATTTTCGACGCAATCGAAGACCTTTGAATACCTTGAGAGTTCCAAGGCCTTGTTACTCATAAGTTGTCAAGCTCGCCGGAAAAAGCTCCGACGAAGATTATTCCATCCGTGCCCGCGATTCTCGAAGTAAAATGCCTTCAGTGCCTTGGCCGAAGGTTTCTTGTGCTTCCGACCGTATCGTTCGCGCAGGTTGAGGATCTTCGGATGAACAGGCCGCTCCTGCTGATGTGGAAAGTCGTATCGAGGACCCCATCCCGGCTGCTCTCGAAGGCTCCTGACCCCGTCCGTGACAAGACGCACGTCGTCCACCCGCCTCTGTCTTCATCATCATCATAGCGCACCAATCTCTGGGACGGGCTCCGAGTGCGTGTTTCTCATCATTGGAGGAGGAAACTTACCCAAAGTCAAGCTTCGTCGGAGCTTCATTACTTCCAAATCATTTGAACAAGCAGATCATTCTCCTGACTTGAATCCTGAGGGGCCACACCTACGTCTGAACCGCTCACGGATTGAAGTCGGCGGATCCGACAGGGGGGCGCACGGCAAGAAGCTATGGAGTCTGACACAGCAGTCTTCCCGCGAAACGGGAGTCCAAGTCCAACTTGAAGACCTGAGTTCCCTTTCGCGCGCATAGAGCCAGTATCGTGATGAAAACCGAGATTCTGCGCCCAGTTTTCTGGAGCTCGACTTCCCCTAGCCGCACTTCTCTGTCAAAGAGACACATCTATAGCGCCATCTCCTCCATTTATTCGGCAATTGAGCAGATCGACGTGCCCTTTCAACGTTCTCCCGATTCGGGAGAAGTTTCTTCAATCGTGACGATGGGAACCGGGCTTGAGCGCTACCAGCTCTCGAGTCGATGCTTGGTGGTCCTTCCGATCGCTATCCCAGGATAGTTACTCATCCTCCACAGGAAATGGAATCCTTGGATCGATACCCTTTATTCCATCCAAACGAAGGATCAGAAAGCTGTGGAGAACGCTCTCCATAGAATGCCGGGAACGGTCGGGATTCTGAGCGAACGAAGCTTTGTTGGCCGTATGGCAAGCGAGAATCCAATATCTCTCGCTCGAAACAAGTTTGAAGAGCTCGGCTGCTACGTGGAGAGCCGAATGTGGAGTTATCGAGAAATATCTGTGTTCGATCTTTCATTCCCCAAGAGCGGGAGAAATATTAGAAAAAAGTCGAATCTCTGCATGCTCTGATGGGCCGGGTGGAATGATGGAGATCGACTGACTGAGAAGGAATGATTGCAAGCATGTATTGAATGGCTCACGAACGTGAGAGAGCATACCATACATTCATTACGAGCGATTCCGATGAGTCTGCAAGTGAGCTGTCACGCAACAACGTTTGATGTCGCTGTTTTGTCAGAGTTTTTATTCATATTCAACGGACCGTTGGACGGATTTTGTGCGCGTTTGATACTGACGCGTTGCTCTCGACAGATTGGCGAACCGATTCAGAGTCGAGCTTCTCGGCACTACGCCGCCGTCGTGACTCAGCCGATGAACTACTGGTGGCAAAAACAAGTCCCCGTTTGAAAGCGCGTGGAACTTCACGCATCAGTACGTGCGATTCTCTACCGCCAGCCGTAGGAAGTATGTCGCATGCTAGAATGTCTGGAATTTGTTCGGGGAGTCTGAATTCTCGTGGTATGGATGTTCCAGGCCCATTGTTCGCGGCAGCGGCAGTCATTTCACGAGCAGGTAACAGTTAACGACCGACGTTCGTGGATGCTTCCCGGCGATCGTGATCCGGTGGTAAGATAGTCCGGGTCGAGCGGACTCCGTAAGTAACTCAACTTGTCGACTTCCGCGTCATGTTGCGGGGCGTCCTTCAAAGATATTTATCGATGTCCATTCGGATCTCCCGAGCGAGTTCGACCTTGTGTTGCCGAAGGATCGGAAGAAAGAGCCTCGCGGCGCTCGGAAACGGCACTATGGACCATGCTTCTGTCTCCGGATTCACAGTGTCTGTTCACCATTGAGATTCGACTCAACACTGAATTCTAGCATCGTCAAAATCCTCATGATGCAAAGGGTGCTCGAAGCTCGGGTGAGTTCCCGCGGAGCGGGAGAACTCCTCAGGTCCTCCTGAGAGCCCCGCGCCGACTCAACCAACTCATAATTCTTTGACCATCCATAACATACAGCGCTGAATTCGCTGTCACAAGCTCACGACGTTAGCCTGGCTGAACAGGAAGTCGCTCTCTTCCGACGATCTCCTCACGTGACCGCCTCTGTACGACAGTATTCGATTATTCCTTCCTTAAACCGGCGCGCCGTAGTTCCTCAACGACTCAATCTTGCTCACAGTCTGCTATGGGAATCGGAAGACTCGCCGAAAAGCAGTGCCTTCGACGATGGGGCTGGAGGAGCGTTTTTCCATCCCCCTTGTGGTAGTCGAACGCTTGTCTCGAGAAGTGCTAACGAAGTGTCTCTGATTAACGCGTGAGTCTCTTCGCTCGCGGCCATCGATCGTTGACCGGAAGACTTACTCCGGCGATTCGAGGAGAACCTCGAGGTACTCGTGCGCGGAGGGACGTCACTTCGGAGTCCTGTACAGACTCCCTGACAGTGCATCGAAGTCAGACGTTGAGCGTGAGTGTTTGGTCCCGATCCGAGAATCCTCGGGAGTCTAAAAGGGGAAACCCGTCAATCTATCCGAGAGCTCAATATTCTAATGTTCTTCGATGAGCTTATTTTAACCGGTGGATTATTCTTCGTGGCGTGAATAATTCATTGATGGGGAAATACAGAATGATGACGGAGCTGGAGAGTAGATTCGGGACTAAGATGAGACTTTTCATTGACATCTACGATGCGGCTAGTGTCCCAGCCTTGAGTAGAGCGGAGACAATCGACCAAAGTTCGCCCAGAGACACTGTTCTAGATGGTTGGTGACGTGAGCAGTGGCTTGCCCACCACCGAGACCACGAACACTTTCTCCGACGGAGACTGTCAGGCAGCGGAGCCCTGTTTAGAATGGACTCCAAGATACCCTTCGGAGATCTTGTGATCGTATGGATTGAGCGTGTGAAAAGTAAACTGTTCTTACGGTTGTGAGCTGCTGAACCTACTCGAAAGCTCCCGTTTTCGTTTCGTTCCGTGAGTTCATGTACGATATCATCATAGTAATACTCCGTTCCATCTCAAGACCCTCTGCGCGATTGAGGATCGAACCATAGGATGGGGAGATTTTCGTGCTGCCAAGGCGAAAAGAATCCGACGCAGACCCTGCAGTTGTCTAGGTCTCGCGTGTCATCGGTTTCCCTTGTTTGATCAAGGAGCACGAGCCTCGATGCTCAAAAACATGGTTACAACTTTCTCCATTGAGTAAACTCTTAGCGCACTATTTGCTCAGACTGTGAGAATCGGCGTCTGAAGCCTGTTATTTGAACTAAGAGCTGCCTGAATGTTGTTTAACCTCAGGGAATAGGGAGAGTGACATGCTAATGTACGACTCTGACTGCATGTGAATCCCCTCCGCGAGGCACACGAGCGCTGATCTGACGCTTTGTCCCCTCAGATATCGGACGCCGGAGTCTGGTACCGCAACCTACGGATTTGAAACTTCAGCGGAGAAAAAGCCTCCCCCACGCACAGGTAGGTGGATGAGAGGACGAGAGCGACGGCTTCTGTTCCATCGAGCAATGTTCCAGACCTTACCTAGCACCGGGGCAAGATCAGGGGCTCAGCTGGCAGCCTTGTCGGAGAATTCATTATGCATATCTGTATATATAAATTGATTTAAGCTTTGGTTTTATTATATTGATGAATGAATGGCGCCTCCTATTTTAGGTAAAAATGGTAAAGCTCAACATTATCTCGAGGATCCCTTCAGCCTTCAAAATTAATCATGAGAGCACAAAGTCTGATTTGACCAAATCGGTGCCATATCCGACATCGGAACTAAGATCATGATAGGCACGGGGTCCGGATCAGGATCTGTAGTCGCAGACGACCTTCAATGTGTCAGGCTCACGGTTGCGGGGAGCATGGATCATATTCGGTCGATTAACCGATGGACAGGGCGAATGTTCAGGCATGAATGAAATCACAATCGAATGGGGTTACTACATACCTCCCGCCATGGCTGGTATGACCTACTCAGTCAGACGAAATTTCATGATGGGATCCGCTATCGGTTGTGTCGTGACACCTATGTATGTGCCAATTGGTGCAAAAGCAGGCGCACCAGGTCGCCTCGTGAAAATCGTCCGCAAAATGTCCCGGCGAAATGGAATTGAGCTCCCTCGGAGTTCGAGGGAGGGTGAAGAAGTCTCTCTCGAGCTAGAGCAAGAGCCACGTAAGCCGAAGGTGTTTGATTATGGGCTGTTATTACGGGGCAATCCGGTCGATTGAGTTCCGGCAAGATACACGTCCGTACAACCACGAGAGGCCCGATACCAGCTCGAGCGTGCGACAAGTTGTCGGGTTTCATATTTATGTTCCTTTCATATGTCGAGCGAGTGAAACAGGCGACTTGCTCCATCGAACTTCCAGGTTAGCGCTGCCGTGACTGTTTGCATTCTGTGGTTTGCAATTTGAGCTCGACCTAAAGTGTTTCTCGAACTGGGATCCCGCGTCAGGTGTTATCTTGGATCGTTCATCATCGGCATACTTTATTCCGATCTGGATTGAAGCTGAAAGAAGGTTCATGTGAGAGAGTTGGGGGAGGGCTGGCTGCTGTTCTGAGTTCGCGATGTGAGCATTCTATTGTAGGCAACACTCCGGGAATCAAAACATCGCCAACAGTGAGCCGTGGATGTTCCTCCACGGACCGTGAGAACGACATTGGATCATGGAGTGACAGACGGTGGGTTCGATTTCTCGATTTTTGCGGTGTCAACCTGTCAGCCCCTCGCGTGTCGAGCGTGTCGGCCGGCTCTTCCCAAGGAAGTACAGGAGCAGCTGAAGCGCTCCTGCGATACGTTGCGCTTCGTTTCAAGGACGCGATTCGACGAAGCCACCTGAGGAAACTCCTCAGAATCTTCTATGATTGGGAACACCTGCGGCAAAGTCGTGAGCTGGTGATGGATATTTCCGAATACTTACCGGTAGATGAGTCCGTGGTGCCGGCATCGGTCTGTTTCACAAAAAACGGTCAGAAGAATAGTTTAGCGATTCAAGCACTCGCTTGGACGATACAAGACTCCATTTTGTGGTTTTCGATGGAAACCGCCGCACGCTTCACCGGCTCGATCGTCGGATCGAGTGAGTCAACTCGCGGATCTTGGAATGTTCTCAGAAAATACTCAAGATCAACGCAGCCGATTCTAGGCTCCAACGAATTGCTCCAAGCACTGCATCATGGTATCTGAGGACACTCGCCGCGGGGACTGAGAGATTCCGGGACGAGTAAGTTCCTCCAGCTTCAGTTATGCGAAGAACCAATTCTCAATCGGTGGCGCGTCCAGCGGCGCATCCATTTTTCTGTCGCGAGGGGGGCGCTTAGCAAAAATGCTCGTCCCGCTCCCCAGGTCCCCATCCTCCCCTGTCTGAATCTGCCACGTTCTCCATTTGACCTCGAATCGGACGTGTTCTTATGCCCGCGGAACTTCTGAGAGGACGGTTCTAATCCCGCGCTCATGTGGAGGGCATCATGAAATTCCCGGGATCGTGTTCCTAGTTTTCGACGTTCGCGCCTTGACACGAAGCCAGGATTGAACTCCCTCTCCCACCCAGGAGGTTGCTCAGCCTCGCTCTGGATGGTACACTCCCGACTCCCCGGATCGCATCTTCCCGAATCGCATCTCCCCGAACCGCATCTCCCCGAATGAATCCTCTCCTATTCTGAGCCCGGCGCTGGCTTGCTTCAGGCCGACCGAAGCTTCTATGATTCTGGGAGAATTGTCGTGCTCTGACTGACAGGTGAGCTGGGACTCGGGTGTGGACGCCGGACCTTGGCGCCATGTCCCCGGGAGCCTTTTTTCATTATGACGAGCGGTTAAATTATAGTACCAAATACTGTGAGAGGTTCACGAGGGAACTCCGTTTTGCCGTTCCGCGATGAGCTCGGGAACTCTACAGATAATCGCTCTCGCAGAGCATCCCTCCTCGCGCTTCCTGATACACCGATAGTACAGCTTGTCCCGGTGTTTTTTCTCGACCTCGTACAAATTGTTGTTCACAAGAAACAAGGGTTTCCCCCACGTCGAAGTAATTTTCTGTACATTCATTTCTTCGTGAGATTCAGATCGTAGTCGACTGGTGATGAGAGCTTTTGACAGCAGGGAGTTGACAACAAAGAGAGCAGGTTTTCATGCGACACGTACATCATGAACAAATTCTAGATTTGATAGAAGCTCCGCTCAGTCTGCAGGGAGCAAGCGCTGCGCCTAAATCGGGGAAGGATTCACTCGGGGAGATGCGATTCGGGGAGAATCGAATTCCCGAGATTCGAGCTCCGCGGGTCATCGAAGAATAACAATAGTGATTAGTGTTTCCAATTAAGCTGTAACCGGAGGCTCACGTGAGCCTCACGCTTGATTGATCGCGCTGCTCTTTGTCGGACTCCAGTGACATGCGTCCGGTACTGAATATCCGATTTGGAGTCGCTCGGCCTGAAATCGTAATCGCAGCGATTCCTCGCGGGCTAGCAGAATGCGGCGCGGTGGCTTCCAGACTCTACAGAATTGATTGCTGGGGCGAGATTGAACGACTCATTGACAAAAAAAGGATGATTATAGGCGTGCGTGACAGAGCCTAGAGCTCACAGGACGTAGGCCATGATGGGGCCGATTGACTGACTGAGTGAGAAGAGTCGCATTGTTGCAGTGAATGTAGTCGCGAAAGACCTTGTTGTAAATTTCGTCGCCTTGGAGACCTCGGTTCGATTTTCCTTTTCTGCCCGAGGTCGTCAGGCGCCCACGAGCCTTACAGAATCGGAGACTCCGACGTGAATTGGACTCCGCTCGATCGAAGGTACTCGCTGCGTTGCGTGAGCTGTATCGCTGTCAAATTAAAACCGCTCAATTATACTGACGGATTCAGAATACCAACGAGTTGTGCGTAGCGTGATCAGGGGAAGAAGTACCTTCTGAATAATGGATGATCCGGTCTCCGTGAGTGAGATATCCATGAATCGGACCGGTTTGTCTCCTGTCGGTGTGCGAACGATCAGTGTCCGATCTTACACATCGGACGTGTTTCCGGGGGTTTACGGTCCGAGGATTTTTGCGATCGTGTCTTACGTCTTACAAACTCCGTGACGTATACGCAGAGTACACCACATGCTATTTTAGGCGAGTGAGCCGATGTTTGTGTTGTTTTTGCTTTGGATCGATCTTCCCCTGATCGGCTTCACGCTATCCGAGGCACCTAGAAGACTAGAAGCGACTCCCGATCCTGGAAGAGGGCGGCTCGCACGCCCGAGTTAGAGGCGGTGTGAGCTTGTATCGCTGTAGGTTGACCTTGGCTCGCTAAACCGAGGAAAAATTCTTCTCCAGGATCCTCTCGGAGGAATCTGATAGCGGCCTCCGACCGCGCTCTTCCGCGACCGATCGCTGGACCGAGGATCGCTCCCGATCGGGATCATCATGAACAGTGAGTTCGCGAAATTCGCTAGTCGTAATCGAGGAACCCAATCTTAGTGAGCCTGAAGATTTAAATTACAAGGCGAAGTTAGATTAGGTATCCAACCCGTAACGGATCACAATTTCTGCTTGTTAAAAAACAATCCCGTAAATATTCATGATTGTTCTTCGCTGGCATCGAGTCGGAAGATTCTGACCACCATGCGGCAGAGTTAAGCACATCAGAAGCTGATTCGGGCCGGTCGGGAATGCCCTGACAAACCCGGAGCCCACTAGCGCGGGGAGGAGGGGAGCGAGTTGCGCGATTCGGCTAGTCGAGACATTAAACACGCATAACAGCAGTTATAACAATAGTAGATCGATGTCGTACATATTTATCGATACGTTCCTATATTCGTTGATATAGCCATTGATAAAATTCTCACTCGAGTTGTCATATCTTGATTACAGAGCATGCGGAGAGCAACAGCAGACCCGGAAGCGGCGTCAAATACTTGTAAGGATGGAGTCTGACTCATTCAGTCAGCTGTCTAACCTAGGTGAAGCGCGCGCGCTAGGTATTGTACAAGCAACGAGAGGGAGAGAGAAGAATTTATAGCCCGACATCCAGGTCATTTCATACTGAGACGGTGTCATCCTCATTCTTGTGAATCATGCTCATTCGAAGATGGACTCGGTGATCGCCGGAGAAAATTCATAGCTGAAATCTGCTGCTTCGAACGGGAATTTTAAATTCATCATCATCGTACATCAACTCACACGAGGCGCTGTCTAACGAGCATGCACCGAAATTCTCTCCCAGTTTCCGTTTCTCGGAACTCGAGCCTTTGGGGAAGTCGTTTCATGCGCGGGGAAAATTTGAAAACAAACGGGAGAAATGAATCGAGATCGCTTCAAGGTGCAGAGCCCTTGTACTCACCTCGGGAAGGCGTCGCGGTTTCATCAAGGTCTGCGCGACATCTGGAACGCATGTCCTCAGTTCACTGATCGTATAAATTGCCTGTAGCATCGTGAGCGGATCGATTTTCGATTCAGCCAGGACGAAGAGTGACGTTCTCGCCACTCATTCCAAATTCCGATCTATCGACCTTTTATGTATCTGCTCGACTGTTTTCTCACCCGAGACCGGCGCCATCGTTTGCTCCGAATCCGTGAGGCAGATTCATGTTTCATTCTTCATGTTCAGATTCACGATGATGCCTCCGTGATCTCAAAATATTTCGTATTCTGTGATCAAGCACGATGATGAATGATCATGGACATCATACTGACTGCATTTTTCCTAATTTTTCAGAAGATTGGGTTCAGAATCAGAGTCGGCATGGAGTCGACGTCCCTACATGATGTTCGTCACAGCCATGGGATCGATGATCTTATTCGTTCTGTACATGACGTTCACTGCACAGGTCTCGACGTTAGCGGTTCAGTCTGACTTATTTGCGGTCACAACAGCAAAACTGAACGCTAGCCTGGCACCGGAAGCTTCTTACGAGAAAACCTACGGCAGCGACGATCACAATGATTCGCAAAGCCCCAGCTACGATCGGACGACAGAATCGACTCTCGTGCCAGACATTGTTCAGCGCTTGGTTCCTGGAGTTCCCGACACAACGAATTTGTACGACAAATATGCCGTGTACACCGACAAGTGCCGTATCCGACTCTACGACTCAAACAACAAGGCGGTCATCAAGAGATTCTTCAAATCCGTGCCCACAAATTGCCCCAGAAACGCGAAACCCTTCGTTTTCGTGCCTGATCTAAACGTGACAGGAGGCTATTCGTGCATAGGTTTCGACGTTGCAGTCTCCCGGAAGCACTATGGAGCTGAGGAGAAAGATTGGAAGTGCATTTACAAGGAAGTAATCCGAGGGAAAAAATACGAAGTTCTCGACAAGCACTACGAGTACGGAAGGGTTGAATCTTTCGTGCCAGGAGACTGCCCCCGGATGGAATTCCTGTGGATTGAGTGCCACTTATCGAATCGAACACAGAATTACACTCAGCCCCTCATGCTGCCCCTCGTGAAATCGGTGGTGAAACAGATACGGAAGAACAATCTCCGCAAAACGCCCATGAACGTTCTTGTGGTTGGAATGGACTCCGTATCACGGCTCAACGCGCACAGACAGTTTCCGAGAACTCTGAGTTTCCTGCAGACGAAGAAAAACCTGGTTGAGCTGTTTGGCTACAACAAGATTGGACTGAACTCGGCTCCGAACCAGATTCCCTTATTGACAGGAGTGAAGTACAGCGGGGATAACCTGAAGGCGAGAGTTACGAATCATTTTTTCGACAATGAAACGAGATACCTCTGGGATGATTTCGACTCTCGAGGCTTCCGGACGATGTACTACGAGGAGCAATGGAGCTACGGACTTTTCGTCTACCCCTCAACGAATGGCTTCAAGAAGGTAAACATTTACGTCATCAAATGACTGAAATCTTTCGTGAGATAATTTAGGTTGAGCATACTCAGGGACCTCGAGCTAGAAAACGATGAAAAACGATCCCCAAGCTGTAATTCCTTCTAAGATCCAAACCGTCTCTCCTTTCAGGTTCCCACCACCTACTGGCCTCGACCCATGTTCCAAGCGATCGATGGTTCGAAACTCAAAAAGAAAGGAAACGATCTGTGCATAGGACCGCATTTCCCCGCGAAGCATTACTTGGACTACACATTGAATACGCTACGGATTCTCGGCAGCGAGCGACCTCTTTTCTCCTATTCTTGGCTCAGTGAGACCGCTCACGACGACCTCAATGGAGGCAAGCGAGTCGATGGGTACTTCTTGGATTTCTTCAAAAAAATGGACGGCGAAGGGATTCTGAACCATACGGCCGTGTTTTTCATCTCCGATCACGGATTCCGCTTCGGATCCTTCCGAAAGACTGAACTCGGTCGGTACGAGGACATGCTTCCGTACGGTTTCATCCTGCTGCCGGACTCTTACTTCGCACAGTATCCGGAAGCCCTAACGAACTTGAGAGCTAATGCGCGGCGCCTGGTGACCGTATACGATCTCCACGTCTCGATGCTGGAGTTGGCCGACTCCTGGGATGAGGACCGAGTGGTTCGGACGCCGAACGGTTTCAGTCTGTTCAGCAATATAATTCCGGAGAACAGGAATTGTTTCGAAGCGGGGATCGATTTTCAATTCTGCTCTTGCTTCGAAGCTCAGCCATACGATCGCAACAGCTCATTGGCTTCCCACGTAGCCGCCTTTCTAATCGGGAAAATCAATGAGATTGTGAGCAACAACTCTGCGACATCGAAATGCCATCACTGGGAGCTCGGATCAATCGACAGTTTTGACCAGCTTTCGGAAGGCAATGCCTGGACGAACTTCTACAAAATGTCCCTGAAAACAGAGCCTGCCGCTCAATTCGAAGCCGCCGTGGAACTTCACTCAGAGGAGAACCTGACCTTACTCTCAGACATCGATCGCACAGATTGGTTCAGCTCGCATGCTGAGTGTGTCAAGAGCACCGAATACGAGCGTTACTGTTACTGCAGATGACAAGTATTTCCTATGGTGGCTGTAGCTCTGATTGCCAAGTGATCGGGAAATCCATCCCTCATGAGACGATGATCTGTGAATTTCGGAAAGAATTGATTTTCTCCCAGGTCTTCAATATAATTGTACAGTAGATGTAAAGATTGGAGGCCGACGACCGAATTATATCTAGTCAGCGCGGAGGGTGTATGAGCCTGAAAGTCGAGATCGATGTTCAAGACACTCTTTGAATAATACACGGAGAAACTGTGATGAATACAGGTGCGCTGCTTCAGTCTGGATGCTTCGGAGACATCTGTGACGAGCTCCTCATGGATCCTGATGTCGAATAGAATCCGATGCCCATCCGGGCGCGATATCGTCAGTGCTTCCCGCAAGGGCTTCATCAGCGTGCCCGACGGCTCCTCGTCGGGACTCCGGGCCTAGGAGAGAAATGTGATGGAATCGCGGTGATATGACCATATGAGATCTTTGTCATACTCATTTTTTCATTCGACGAGAGGGTTCAGTGGACTCGGTCAAACAGCTTCGGCCATGTGGCTTCGGTCAAGCGGATTCGGTCATATGGATTCGTTCAAGTGGCTTCGGTCATATGGATTCGGTCAACAGAGAAGTCACCGATTCTCCGGAGAGCCTGACGACCTCCTGCGAGCTCTGACTAGGAGGCATTACAGATTTCATTTGTATTATTGAATTATTGAATATTTGGGCGGCTCCCCGTCCGGCTCTTGTCATCTCCCGTCGGCCTGATATGATTCAGCGAAGAGATAAGTGCGGCTCTCTCCGATTCGGGTTTCTGCTCGCTTTCATCAGCAGCTTCCCATCGGGTCACTGCTCCCGGTCAGAGCGAAAAACACTCCACGGCAGTGGTGGAGCCCGAAAAGGGTCTGGGCGATCGGCGATACTCCTCAGTTTCGACAGGATGCCGACGCTGGAAGTTAATTCGCACGAGCAGCTTCTAATTCTCTCTCTCATTGCGAGTCATCCAACTCAGAACCAAACCCCCGTCGCCTAAACCACGTCGCGCCGATAAGAGTCAGGCTTCACGCGCAGGGCGAAGCTGCGAGTGTTTCGCGAGCCACTGGGGCGTGCTCTTCTGGCTTCTCGCAAAACAGAGCAGGAGTAACGCAGTCGAATCAGAGGAATTATTCTCGGGAGATTTAGCAAATGGTCATCGAGCCGCCAGGCCACCATAAGCGACGGGAATCGAGTGGAGTCCGAACAGACTCGGAATTCTCAATGAAGGCTCCTCACAGCTGGATAGAATCATTCTGCCCGATCGGTCCGAGAGTCTCGTGCCGAGGAGGAAAATTACGGAAATCGCTGTGAATCGCCAGAAATCGCAGTCTCTGCGATCGCCGCGGAGTGCCGGAATTCTGCTCTGACCGCACAATATATCACTTTAAAGTTCCGTAAACACTCCGCATCTCTCTCTCGAATCCACACAGTTCTAGGAAACCTTTAGTCCGTTCGACGGTGCCGCTCCTCCACGAACTGTCTCACAATTGTCAGACTCCAGGAGCGAGGAGCGACATAAGTACCCTATGGAGCCTCATTTTCTACTATTCTAACCTCTCACGAGGGCCGTGATTCGTCAGGCGAAAGGCCGCTCGCGAGCAGCGGCACCGTCGAACTGTGAGGTTGGTTCCGACGAAGGGTACCTTCCTCACAAAGCGCGAATGCGATTCATTGTGTCTAGGCGAACTGTCAAGAGGTCCGGCAGCCGCTGTGAGTCGGGACAATGGCCAGCGCTTGATGAATTCATCATTATTGTTTCCCTCGTTTGGACGACATACAAGCGAGAAACGATTGAAACTTCACGAAGGAGCTGTTCCGGGCAGAGAGGGAATCTTCCACACCTCGATCAGCATGGTCTTGTCATTACAGTCGGAGTCCATCGCTATTTGACATATATTCTCAGACGGGGAAACGTTCCGCATGTGGCATCCGATGTGAGATTATCCTTGGACGGGCTGCAGATAAGCAGGTCCAGAAGCGGCGAGAGCGACGGATGTGTGTAGACACCAGTGAGAGCCGCAGACCTACGAAAAAAAGAATCCCGAATATGACCTGTCACTCGAAAGATGCGACTCATCATCCTCTCCCCTAGACGGATCTAATTTTGAGGGAACCAGTTCAAATCAGTGAGGGCGAGTCGGCCAGGAGTCTGTCGATCAGCGAATCGGAGGAGAAGCTCTTATCAAGGTACTCTACAGGTAAAGTTTTGCCCGTCCACCCTCGCACCTTGTCGCAGAATGGAGGGCTCCGTCATCGCTCACAGATGAGCCGCGAGCAGGGATCGGATACAGAACACGGCATCTTCGACTGCTACAGTTGGTTACGTGAGTAATTGAAAAGCTAGCCCCGATTAGGAGGATTGATGATCAGCGAGATTATTATTGAATGTTCTCATTGAGAATATCTTTCTGAGATGGCGGAAACTCGAGGGTTCCCGATCGATGTCGGCGATATCCATTGAAACCCCTTTTATATAATCTGTTGGGGGTTTTCCTTTAGGTCTTTGGCGATAGAGGTTCGAATCGATTCACTGAGAAAACGGATGGAGAAACGTTTCCCGATTCGCGCGAATTCCATCGCGTTAATTGGTTTCGCTTGTGTCTTCCTCTATTGGATATCAAGGATGCAACCCCATGAAAGGGCTATCTTAACTTCGTCCGAGACAACTGGCGGCGGACCGGAGACTCCTGGAAACTATAGCGCTTTGGACCCCGTTAAAACCTCCTCAAGTCAGGGAATTGAGGACAAGATGACAAAAAATTCGGAGAGACCTCCCGCGATATCAAGCCCAGAGACCACGGCTACCTCATCCGAACAAGATGGACTGTATATCCTGAACTTTGAACCCGATTTCGGAACGGTTGTTTTCACTGGAGATCCCGACTTGGAATATCCGCCTCTACCACTTCCAAGGTATGGCTCTAAGGGATACTCAGTATTCAATGAGAGGTGTCGGATACCAAAGCATGAAGCGCTTGACGTCGTATACGCCGAAAATGGAGCTGCGTCGACACCCGGCCCAGCCCCAAGAACCTGCCGGACCTTCCTAGCCGAACCCTTCGTTTTCCGCCGAGTCCCAGACGGGAAGAGATGGTGCTTCAGACCTGATGAGCGAGTTCTGAAACGATTCTATCCAGAGCTTGCCCTGGAAGAGTGGAACTGCTCTCTAAAAGTGACCTCGGAGGCAGGAGAGGTCGCCGGAAACGGAATCTATTTCAAATTCGGCGACTGTATCGAGGGCCTTCATTCATGGATCTCCTGCACGATCCCGTCCTCTCGGCTCGAGTATCAAGAGATTCTCAGCGAGCCCGATCTCAAAGTAGACCTCGAGACGGGGAAACCTCTGAGTACGGAGAATGGGGCTCCTCTAAATGTTCTGCTCGTGGAGGTCAGTGCCATGTCAAGGGGCGATATCGTGGACCAACTTCCGGGATTTTCGGAGCTCTTGGGCGGCCTCGGGCATCTGGTGATCTTTTCCGCTTACCACACCATGGGAGAGAACTATCTAGAGAATCACGTGCGACTCGTCAAGGGATCGTCTCTGGAGCCCGGCTCTGTTTTGGGGAGTTCTCGCGGAAAATCTAAGATTCTGGAGAGAGGGGACGTCTGGGAAAGCTTTAGGACTGCGGGATACGGAACGATTGAACAACCCGATGAAGAGCTCTTGCCGGGTGTCAAGTCCACGCAAGTCAGACGGCCAGCAGAGGTGAATTCCCAGAGATAATTACAAGTCGTGGATCAGATCTACACCAAACACATCACGATCTGATCGAATTATCTGTTTCCTGATTGCGTCAGAGGATGCCTGGCCTGAGATAAACGAACCTAGGTTCCTCTTCCAGGGCCCGCGTCCCTCTCTCTGGCATCTCTTGGAGGCACCTGAGGAAGCAACAATGGGGGATTCTCTTACCTGTGTGAAGCAGGAATTGAGATCAAAATATCACTTCAGAAATATTATTGAAGCATTGGAGGAGCTGAAGCAGCACGAGAGACCGCTGTTCTCCTACAGCTGGTTCAGGAACGTGAGCTGTGCCGTGGTGAATGAAACCTCTTTCGACTCTGACCTCGTTGAGTTCTTGAATAATTTGAACGAAGACGCTGCGCTGAACGATACCGCAATATTCCTCATCTCGGATAGTCCATCGCAAGCTCCTGGATCTCCGAGTCTAAGCTCCGTGGAAAATTTACTCCTCGGCGGCTTGTGTTGGTTCCCAACCCGGTTCGCCGTGGAGCATCCAGAGAAGATGGGAAATTTGCTCGTAAACTCGCAGAACGTCATCTACGCCCAGGACGTGCACGCAACATTATTGGATCTGATCGATCTGAGTGACGAGAACAGATTGGAGGAGACCCTGCCCGGCCGCAGTCTGTTCTCCGGCATGGCCCAAGACCAAACGTGTCAGACAGAGCTCGCCGCAGAGTACTGCGCGTGTTACGAGAGACTCCCCTTCGACGTAGAGAGTCGACTCGCGACCTCCTTTGCCCAGGCTGTCATCCAGAAACTGAATAGACTGATCCCTCTCGAGCCCATCGAAGGATGGGAGCTGAAGCGAATTAATGAAATGGTACGGTTCTCGGAAGGTGGCAATTGGACAAACTTATTCGAAATTTCCATACGGGTAGGACCCAGCGCCGACATCGTCGCGATCTCCACCTTCTCAAGACCAACCCTAGATTGGAAGATCTCGCCTCGGGTGCGGATAATTGTTGATGGAGACCCCCGACAGTTCTGCGCGGCCTTGGATCGTTGGAGGGAATTTCTCATCGGGGAGAAGCGGTGCCTGGATTTCTCGGTTTCTCGGACGATGCGCGCACAAACTGCTCCGATCGGCTCCGTCGATCCTCCGCGATAGGGACACTCTCGCTCCTCTCCGAGAAATTCTCCCTTTGTCTTGGATGGTATATTCTCGCTCCTGATTGCTCCGCCGACGAGGCTTGTACTGGCGCTCGGATTGACCAAAATATTTCACAGCGGGGTGCGACGCTAACAGATTAGATTATTCTGGAGAAGGATGCTCCCCTCGGATTCGTTGGATGCGAACTTCACGACTTCTGCGACGACTAAAATAAATACGACTGAAGAATTCCGGGTGACAGTGTCATTGATTCGAATCGATTCGTCGGGAGTACTTCACGAGATATTCTTCTCGAAACTATCTCTCTGGGAATGAGTGGTCGACTCATAAGTTGAAGCGAGAGCGATGCTTCCCTATCCCCAGAGTCATCGAGAAATACTGCTCTTTCATCAGTTATCAATCGCACCATCTTCCGTAGAAGTTCCCCCGCCACAGGACGGGACGTCTTGACCTCCCCCGAGGGAATCAGATTCTCTTTCGAATGGAGCGTCGACGTCCAGATCAGCGTCTGATTATCTCTGCCTGTTCTCTCATTCCCGGCATGGTGCCTTGCAGCCCGAGCAGTAATCGCCTGTGCTTTCCGCGCGCGGCAGTAGTAGCGTCCGGTGTTCGAGGGAAAGAATGTGTAATAGTGGCGCATGCGCTGTATGATTAGTCCGTCGTCGGTCGGTCGGTTGGTCTGTCTATCTGTGTTTCTCTGGATACCGCGGCCTCCACCACCGCGGCGGCGGCGGCAGCGACAGCGCAGCTCTAGCTGAATCCACCACCAACAGTCTAAGCGGCCCCACACACCACCACTGCTAGCTCTGGAGCAGAACGCTCGCTCGTTTGCTCACCGCTTGGGACACGGACCGATCACAAACAGAACCCCCAACCCTCGACGGTGCATGCGGTCGTCGAAACTTCCCGGAATCGAGTGCCCGTCTAATTGAGTGGATTCACCGAAATTTTGTGCTTGCGAGATTCTTGTGCAAGTCAGACGATCACCGCATCGAACCCGCCCGCCTTCAAAACTCCTATGATTACGGAGTGTGCGCAGCAGCTCAAGTGCTCTCGCTACGATCCTCTGGTGAGTTGTGGGCGAAAAGCGCTTAGTCATTACGTCCAGAACTCCACGGAAATCATTCCGTTCTTTGGTTTCGTTTCCTTTCCTCCGTAAATACGAAATTTCCGAGCGATCGGGGGATTTCGCGCGCGAATGAGTAGCATGCTCCCCGGACTCCTTTGCCGAGAGATGCTCTCCAGGAAATTTCCGCCTGAGCACTCGGGTTTTTGTGGAACACCGTCGATAATTCGGATCGGGTGTTGTCAAATGCCTGCAAGGATTTTGAAGTTTTGGCTTTTCACCTTGGCCTCTCTTTAGAATGTCCTTCGTTTTCTGTCGGGGTGATGGTGGATGGATCGTTCGCCGACTGACTGACTGACTGGCTTGCTCGCTCACTCGCTTGCCTGCCGGACTGGCCTCCTCTTCGACTAGCGCAGCTCGCTAGCTGCTAGTCGTCGCTGTTGTCGTGGATGTTGTATTATGCTCACTTCCTTCTAGCCCTGCTCTTGCTTTCACTATGACCATCATTTGATTTACCGCGGGATTGACCGCGAGATGCTCGCATCGCCCCGCTTTCCTGAAGTCCTTTTCATGGAGGTAGCGGTGCAGTGGTGCGCTGTTTTCCAGAAGACGGCCTCTCGGAAGCGCCTGAGAGACGGAGAACCGATTAGATCTGATTAGGATCGAGCTCGCTCAGACACCACCCGCTCTCAGTTTGGGCTCTCCGAATTTCCTTCTTCAGTCAGTCTCCTTCCGGAGCTCCACCACTCACCCGCGAAGAGAACAACAGAGCTCCGGAGGAGCTTCGTAACGAGGGAATCATCGGCTCGATGACGTTTCGTCGGACGCTCCCTACACAAAAACTCCCGTCGGTTACCAGTCAGATCACAAGACTCCATCCTTGGCAGCCGAATCCAATCGCCAATTCTGGAGAGAGATAATACGAAAAATGTTGAGGTATTCCGGGATCTCACGGATCCGGCGACGGGTACGGGTAGCCGGTGGATCCGGAGTTGTCATTCTGCTCCGATAAACTTTGGCAGACATTGGATTTGAATTCGAAGCAGCGTCCGAAATCTCCCAATCCATACCCTGGAATGTGCTACTGATACCACGCCGGGGCGACTTGGGTCGATGGTAGGTCGTGCAATTGAAAATCGTCATTCCCCTCCCACGACGGGTCTCTCGGGAAGATCATCACGGCATCCCGAAATCCTTCCCTGAATCTCCACGCGACCGATACCCTCATCCGGACGAGCTCTCGCCCCGTTATAAATCTAGATTGCCTCGAAAGCCGCGTTCAATGAGCCTCCGGGGAAATATAATCTCTATCCGGGGAAATTCTCTGATCCCCTCGAGTTACATCGCGTGTGGAGAAATTTTCTCGGGGAGGAATTCGTGAATGAGGGACTCTCATCGGGCCGAGCCCGCAGAGATTCGAATCTCGTAACGGCACTCTCCTCGCGGGGAGATTAGAAGACTCGCATTTTTCCGTATGAGGGCCGTCACGCTCGGTGAGTTCCCCGTATTATAGATCTTGCATTCGCGATTCACCGCATGCCGGTTGCACTCATGAATCAAGAGATGCGTCCTCACGACCCTGTCTGCCTAGAGCACCCCGCGCGAGTCGCCATATTTGTGAAGTTCGCCATGGGGAAGATTCTCGCTGAGGAATGTTGGTCGCGGGGATATCCGGCCCTATGAGTCTTGTTTGAGGACGCCTGACTCGGTCCTACTTCCGGTCTGCCATCTTCCTGTGAGGCAGCCATCGTCTTGATCGACGCCCACGAGGATCCCACGGATTTTTCCTGGCTAAGATCCATCGCACGATAGTTGCCATGAACTCCAATGAAAAGAGCGGGAAATCTCCAACGCATAAGAGTGTCTGAGGATGTTCCAACAATAATGAAGATTATACGTACCCATCTTATAACGGACCTGATCTTATTGCCTTCCGATATTCCAGTCAAGACGAACCGACGGAAGCGTTCAAGATGAGCGACATTCACAGAGATGATGTTCTGAAGAAATTCACCGCGACTCAGATGCTCGGTGTGCATTCTTCTCGAGCGATTAAACGTCAGCGTCTCGATCGATACGCGAAACGCACACTGAGAAATGTGGAGAACTTGCTCAAATTCCAGAGGACCGGCATGGCGAGCCGTAGAGAAAACTTCGTAGAATGCATCAGCAATATGGGTGAGACAGAACTCTCATCAAAAGAATCCGTAGCATCCTCCGAATCGGCTTTGAGCTTCATCGTGCCGCATGCCTACATATGTAGCTCCGTGAGACAGCCATGACGGCCGATTTCAAAGCGTGAATAGTAGTTCTCAATACCGAATGTGATTTCCCAGGAGCTCATGCTATAAACGTACTGTCTACTGCGGAGGTCCCAGTCGCGCCACCCCCGTCGAGTCCATCAGAAATCGAAGACCAACAAGTACTCGCCTTGTGCGCTCCACAGGACGACACGAAGATCAACCTTGACAACATAGCAGGCAACGTTTTTTTCGACCTCTTCCGAATGACGCGCGAAACTTTCTCCTACGTCCTCGACGAAATTTCACCGTTCATGATGGCTGACGATGAGGAAGTCGAAGTAAAAGTAGGTGAGTCTGTCGATGCCTCTACCTGGGAGAGTCTTAGTAGCCTATCAACTCCAGGAAGCTACATCCTCTGCGGTAGTGGGTAATTTTGTGTTGATCTCCCGATGTGGACCCATTAAAATGATCATCAAACCGGATACCTCCGTCTCTACGCTTGTCCTCGTGGACTCTTGATGCGCCGCATGGAACGTCGAAGAAGAGGGGGTACTCTGATCTCCGGCCGTAAAGCGTAGGATGGGGGAATCGGAATATAGACGGTCATGCCATCCGCGGCATGGAGATGCCGCGCCTCCTCAATCTAGAATTAAGTTCTTCTTCCCGCAGCTGTCGCTCTCTGGATTCTTGGGGGTTCGGAGGCGGTATATCCCCCACTGCTCAAGGTCCCCGAGGAACAAAGAATTCAGTATCTGCTCGAGTTTTGTCGCCAGGTTACAAAATCTCTCATGCCCAAGGTACGTTTCCAGTCGTTTCATTCGCTAATCATTCCGCAACACTCAGAGTTTCGTTCCTCATTGTGCCCGTACCTCTTTTTCCCATCAATCAGCGAAACGTCAAGCCCCGCAACGCTTGAAACTCCCGGGGTTGGATTCGAGAATCGCGAATCGGGATACCAAATATTTCCTTGGTTTCAGGAGATCTCGCTTCACGATCGGTTAGATTCGTCGATGTGGAACTTCCAGTGTAAATTCGGGCTGAGGAACTGCGCCGGGGCTCTCAATTTCACCCACATTCCGATTTACCTTGGCGATATGAAAGACGATGGTGAGCACAGTTTCTGTAATCATAATCTCGATAGTTCTAATCTTCTTTATCATACACCGAGCGTCCTGATCCGGCCGGGGAAGCGCTGGTTGTCCCTGACCATGAGCTTGATGATATACTCAAACGATGACGACTTCATGCGTCCTGCTTTTCCATTCCAGCCTGTGAATATCTCAACAACGCCGGGTTCCGATCGATTATCATGCAGGCGGTCGTGAGCTCGGATTACAAATTCTGCGACCTCTCGATAGGATATCCAGGCCGAACTCCGGTCGATCATGTTTTGTACAACTCAGCAGTCTGGCGAAAAGCGGAATCCGGCGTACTGTTCCCCGCCGAAGGAGGTAGGGGAATTCCCTTCAGATTAGACCTGTACCATCAACGAGCTCGGGGAATAATTTTTGTCTTCCGCAGAGCCCGGCCCTAACCAAGGACCCCATCCATATCTCATCGCCGGCACGTGCTATCCATTGTCGGAAAGGATCGTTACTCCATTCCAAGCTCCAAAATTCAGCGATATGGAGAAACGTTTCAACAACTCGATATACAATGCACTCAGCGTGACTCAGAGGGCCTTCAAGCTCCTCCGCTCGAGGTTCGTGATACAATGAAGTTTGCGAAGTTTCTCAGCAATTTTCCCTCTCAGGCATTCTAATCTAATATTCCAGTCTTACAATCTGATCTTTCTGCGGTCTAATAGATACTCAATTCTACAGGTTCCCGTTCCTACTCGACTTCGATAAAGTTACGGTGGAAGACACGCCGGCAGTGGTAGCCGCCTGCTGCGTCTTGCATAACATCTGTGAGAGCAGACGTGAGATAACGAGAAAGTCGTGGGAAAACATAACCAAAACGAAGCAACACCTCATCCTAGCTCAGGGACAGCCCGCGCTCGTTCACGAATTGTCGCCGGAAGCTGTTGAATTCCGTGAGCTCGTTAAGAATAGCATGATACACAGTTACGATCGTAGGTTCTGAAATTATTCGAGCTCCAGCCGCTCCGGCGTCACACGTGATATCAAAGATACTGTTCCTGTACATCGAAAACAAGAGAGAGACTCGGTGGGCCGCCAGATCGAGGATTTCCAAAGGGAGCATCCACTCGAGCTGAATATACTTTGTACCGCATTTGAACAAAATATTCATCTTATAGGCTATGAAGAGTATCGATCAATGAATAGTTGATCTAATATAAGATATGAAGATGAGGTATACTTTAAAAAATATATAAAAAATACATACTCTTGAGCAATGTCAAAAATCATCGGGAAAAGCTCCCACAATGAACTAGATCACCCATTTAGACCCGTCTGCACGCGGATCCGTTCGCACCTCTGGTCGACATGAATAAAGCTGTTGTCGATTCATAATTGGCATTTTCCATCGATTCACGTCAAGGAAGGATTCCTCTGGGAGTGGCGTCAGCGTTGATGCAAATAAGGCGGAACAGATCGAAAAATCCGCGTCTGCCAGATGAGTCCATCAGAGCAAAATAATATCCTCGAGTCTCTTAAGTCGTCACCCTACTGAGCCTTAATTTCTTACGTATGACGACAATTTCGATCGGTTGCAAAGCAATCGTCTCAAGTCAAAGATCGCAGCGTATGTGAATCGAGTGTTTGTATTGTGTTTTGCGGAAGAAGGTCAGATGCAAGTGGATGAGGGAGAGAAGTACTTCGCGGCAGGAAAGTGCACATCATGCCTCGTGCCAACTGTTTCGGCATGTTCCGCGCACGTGGCCCGAGCAATCAAAGGAAATTCACTTATTCCGCTGATGCCTTCGAACATTGCAATATAACTGAGGTGTTCCATTAGCCGAGCTTGGAGCTCGCGCTGTTCTCGCTCCATCCGAGTCTCGGCTTCCCACGGCCGAGCTCTTGCTTCTTCCGCATCGGGCACTCATCGATATAATTGAACAATAATCATCGGTAGCTTCGAGGAAATCAGCTAAAACGTATCTACTTTTCTCTTTCAGGGAACTTCCTACGGCATATCTTGTTAAATCTTCTCTCACCCGCGATCCCTACCCGGTCCCCAGTTCCTCGGGTCTTCCGTAGTTTTTCTCATTCTATAAGGAGCTGATTGCGTGGGCTTCGACCGGCCATAGTGGAAAATCTGAGCGGAGCGAACGGCATAGGGTGTTGAAAAAATCTTTGGCTTGGCTGAATGGAGCGAGATGAACGCGCCCGGTGGCAGCTCACACCCGAAAACAGATGTTCGCTCAGAGACGAATTTCTTACGGTCTGAAATATTATCCGGTAGCTTCCCTTTTCCTGGGGACATTCTGTCTCCTCTGCTGCACGATATCGGAAACGAGCGAGCTCGGCTCCGCAATCGTGGTTGATATGAGCGAAGAGATTCCCTATTTCTCCTTACGTAAAGCGCAAGAAAGGATACAATTAGGCCGTCTGGAGCGACGATTCCTGAGCTGAAAGCAGGGAGCACCCAAGTCCGAACGGAACAAGTTCAAAAAGATACCTACCTAACTGTAATTAGTCACAGTTTTCATTGGATTGTGATGGGTTGGGTCGGAACTTTCGAGTAAGATGTCCGACCGAGGGTCTCAAGAGATGATTCAGAAGACGAGCGCCCCGCTCGACGACCATCATTTGACAGAAGCCGATTTTCTGTGTTTGGGTATTCCTCCTCTCCCTTCTGGAAGGAGGAAGCATCGCGATCGCGCGCTGTACAAGCCGTACGCGCCGGGGAGTCACACAGGAGCTATGCTTACAATTTGACCCGTGTTTCGGCTGGATTCATTCTGTTCTCCTGTCTTTGTTCCTGTTCACTCGTCGAGAATAAAGTGATGTTCCAGCAAACCCACTGGAGGGAGAAATCGTGATCTCCGGCGTGGGCTCCCCCTCCCGGAAGAGTTCCTAATGCACAAAGCTCGCAACTCCGGAGGATTACGTGGTTTTGATTGATTTTACAAGAGGTGAGTTCTCTTCTTTGCCAGTCTAGACCTGGTGTGACAAGTTCCCCTCCCTGAGCGTGGGGGAATCCGGGAATATTATTCGTTCCTCCCAGACGAGTACGGAGGTGCTTGGGTTCCCGAGCGATGTGCCAGGATGGATGAAGTTTCATCCAGCCGAGCTTATCCCCCATTTACGATTCTCGTTGCGGAATCTGATTCCACACAAAACAATGCGCGAATAGAACAAGCCGACTCGCCATCGATTATTCCGAGATGCCGAGCCAAAATCTATACGAATCGCGAGTAGGACCTAACCTGCGAACAATCACCCAATGAACTCAGCGATGAAACATGGATTGTCGAATTTCGGGCGCGGTGTTTGCACATGGGTGACTCTTCTTCACGCTATCGATTCTGTAGACATTGAGTCTAGCATTCGCAATGGTTGTTACGAATTAGTCAGTTGTCATGTTTCATGGTGGCTTCATGGTCACAGTCAGGGCCTTCGATGCAGCTCAGTCCTCCGAAATTCATGTCACAATGAGTCGCCCATGGGTCTCCATAAAGCGCTTGTGACTGTTCAGCGAATCCGCAGAGGGGACATACTGTGGTGAATGCCTCTTTTCCGAGACATATCGGATCAGCCGTCGAGAGTGTCACTCCAAATCGAAGACCCTTTATGCATTTGTACCTGAGTGCTTTTCCATGCTGGAGATACGCAATGTTCCCCTTCTGTCGACATCCTCGAATATTTTGAAACATTCTCTCAGAGAATCGTACCCGCGGGTAATCGGATCAGCCCCTCGTTTCATTTGCCACCTGCCAATCTCTCCAATCTCTATGTCAGCGAGACTAAGCCTTGTTACGGTGTTGGTAATCGCAGCAATGCGGAGCGGCAAAAAAAGAGTCTCACGCTTCATTGAATGCTCCTCATCAACCCCTTGATCACAGCACTCAGACAGCGTGTCGGCGGTCGCTGCCGTAATGACGCCGTTGACATTGGAAGCTGAATATGCTCGTCGCTACGAATTATTATTCTTCTCTCCTGTCAAATATTTCCCACTCTATCCGGGACTGGACAAATCATCAGCCTCGCGCAAGGTTTCCATAGCGTAAAATCTAGAGCCCTCGGAATGGCGCCGTGGGTTCCCGTCATCGGTGCGGCTTTATCGATCAGCGGGTGTCTCTTCGGACGTCGTGATTAATCTAATTCGATTTCGGGGTGACGGTTCTCTTCGTCGCATTACGAACCGCTAGAATTGATACTTAGAATTTCACTACAGACATTGATGAGGGTAGCTCCAAGCCTTTAGTTCACTGCGTCGACAGATCACTGCTTTTGGATTTCCGCGCGTAGGCGCGCTGGATTCGGGGATTCGGGGCTCGTTTTTTCACTGTGACCGTCGACTTCTCTATGTTGAAGACGCCTCCCAGATAATTTCGGAGCTTTCTCGATACTTCGCTCCTTGCGTCTTGCTTCTGATTCTCGCCGTTCCCACACGCTGAATGTTGACTTTCCGAGGCGATTAGAATGCGACGAAACTTGCATGTCATCATGTGATACGCCTTGATTTTCAAGAGGGCAATCGATGCTGATGGGTCTTCGAATATTATTATCACTATCATCAAACCACATCGAAACCTCATGGTGTCATAGCTGCCTCCTCCGAATGGAATTGTAGTGAGCGAGGAGGAGCGGAAAAGAGGCAAATTCGCTCGCGCCTCTCCTCGGGGGCGAATCGACAAACGCGATGTGTGCACTGCTTGTGTACCGAGCACTCATCTCAGAATTCCCGTGAATGCGTCGACCTCGTTTAACATCGGTTGCTCAAACACCCTCGATATTCGAAGACTGCCGGCGATGCCGGCCTGGCGTTCCGCTTCTTTTGCTGCTTTCCCCGAGCGCTCAGTCTCTCTTCACCGGATCCCTCTTTTCGGCTCGGTGTGGTGTCAGGTGCCTGAGACGTCGGTGCCATATCGTTCCCTAACTATAACATGGCACCGATGGGAACCCCAATGGTCGAGCTCAAGGACACGTATTGGGAAGAATTTTGGGACGGGCGCTTCCTCGCAGCGAGAAATTGCAGTCATGGGAATGATCCGCTCTATGCTTCACATCTCAGAGCACGATTTAGCGCCGCTCTGTGGCAGTTGTTACGCGGTGTGGTGATCCTTGTGGTATCGCTGTCGGACAGGTGGCATTACTTCGAAGCTAATCAGGTATTTTGGGCAAGAGCGGCTGTACGCTCCGCTTAGAAGCCTTTTCAGATTACGGCTCCCTTGAGAGGCCCCGTCCGATTCACGAGTTTGTAGTATCGTTCGCGAAAGACATACACATAATATCTCGTGACGTCTCCGATTGTTGAGCTGCTCGAGAGACGCTGAACTCCGGATCTGAGAAATAGCTCAAACGCTCAATGACGGAAGGAAAATCGTTGGCAATCCGAAGAACTGAGTCTGATGATTCGATATCGCGGATTAGATGCAGCTTCTAATCCGATAACAATTAGACTGACTGAGCGAGAAGCTACACCGCTAACCCGGAGCTGCTAATGATCTCCGTCGAGTTAGTTCCTATGAGTCGTGAGAGCTAGAGGAGAACAACATTTTTTTAAATCAGTTTAGTCACCGCCTCCTCGTGACGAGAGCTCAGAATCCTCTCGCATATTGCTCCGACCCATGAAGACGAGAGAGAAATGGCAGGATTTGGGATTCGTCCGAGTAGGGAGCTCCGAAGAGTCCGAACCGAACTCGTCAGAGGACAGTCGCGGAGCGATCAACGATCACCGACCCTGCATGGGTTTCGCGCGTTCCCAGTCAAGTATGTGGCACTGCACGAAATTCCCTTCCGCGCATTCGATACGACTTCAGTCATAGTTTCGCGTTAGAGTCGATTTGTGCGTGAGTCGATGGATTCCACGTTCCACGCAATAATAATTGACGAAAAACTGGCCGAGGAACGTCGTCCCCACGATATTGACTGCTGCAGCTGATGGTGTCAAATTTCCCGGGAGCCCTCCCTATATCTGGATCAAGACTGATTGTCAATGTCGGAAGGCTTCCCATCTGAATTTACAATAATTCGCCCGTCAAGTTCTGCACAGAAGTTTCCGATACATTTGTCGGATCCGAACAATGGGTATACCGCCCGTCAGTGAACAAAAGTCCATGCTAAGAAATCTGTCTACTCCCACACAAAAATCGCTCAACACTCGACAATGATCCGACAGTTCCCGCATTCGTCGAGGGAATTTGCATGTTTGAATGAAACTCCTTGGCAGTCGATCGAAGGCTCCCTCTTGATCCCGACCATGCACCGTCAGCATCTTAATTCCGGCTTCGGAAATTCTGTTCGGATCGTTCTTCAAGATTTCCCCCTCGAGAGCTCGGAATTTCGGTCCGATACTGAAGCAAGGAATGCTGTACGGGTCAAATCTAGGATTTCCCACCTTCTCTCCGAATTGAGGAAATGTGAATTTCACCCTTCAAATTAGCCCGAGGGAGTTCCTGAATCATGGGCTGTGACCATTCTATTGATCGTTGTGAGAACTCGACATGTGTTAGGATCGCTGCGAATCCTTGTCCGAGTGAATTCTATGGTTTGTCGTGCCCAGGGTCGATGGACATTGTCGGGGAATACTTGAGATGATAGACACGGTCGCACGTCATTCTAATGTTGCAGAATGTATGGGTTTGAGTGATTTAATTTTTGACCGATCCCAATTACAAGCATCCGAGAACGAGTGGGTAGCGGATAGGCGGCAGCGGTCTTCGATCAGACGATTCGGGAGAAAGGCCGAATCCGATGTATCTACTTGGCCGACTTGTTCGACTTTGTCTTCCCCTTAGTCTGGATAGCTTGGAAACTGATGCGAGGTTTTACCGGATGGGCCCTGAGCCTCGTGAAACTTGTCGCTGAACGGAAGATCTAAATATCGAATCGAACGTACCGATCGGACCGTTTTGTCGCGCCTCTGATAATTGTGCTCGAGTACTGCCTCGCTCACGGAAGCTCTTCCGGCAAGGCGTGGGGTAAATTCTGAAATCGATTTTCAGAAGTGGGTTCGCAAACTTAGGGTCCAAAAGTCGGATCCGCGGAACGGGATAGCATGGGAAGCGTAATCGTCGGAAAGAAGCTCACAGCGAGACAACAGCTACTTTCTCGGGGATAAGACCTCGACGTGGAGTCCTTTCCGAGGAGACACCTCAGGAAGTCGTCACGCTCTCGGTGCATCAACAGGGAGAACGTGATTCCTATGACGGGAGCGTTCGAAAGCGCGATCATTCTGATCGATCATCGGATGTGCGGAGCGGTGAGGTTGGGCCTTCCGGACTGAGCTTCTTCGAAGAAGTCGGCAAGTGAATCCTCGCGCTTGAATGCAAGTTTCGGTTCTGGATGCACCACCCTCTTGACTGGCTGGTAACTCGGAACGACGCTTTTGGATGTCAAATCGGGTTCCAATAATTCTCCCGCAAGCTCACTGCAATACGCAATCTCTTGTCCATCGACATCTCTCTCGGTGTTCCCAGGATGGAATCCGCGACGCTTTTTCAGGCTCTTCGCTTCTCCGCAACGAGTCCGCAAAGGGGCAGTTTGACGACAGATTGGGCGCAACTCTGCGATGCTCGCAATAGAATCCGTTGGTTCCGCTCGGGAACTGCCGGAGTCGCATCCATGCGCAGCCAGCGCTCTCCAAAGATGACGAACCAGTATAATATGGCGATTCGGAGGCTAGGAGAAGCGGTAATGAAATAACAAGCCAACGAATGGAAGATGGATGAATCGAGCAGTGGAGGAATTCTTAGATGCCACATGTGGAAAGAGCAATCATCGGGAATCTTGAGATCTCATGCAACCCCCTGAAAAGAATGACCGCATCCTCAAGCTTCGATCAGAAGATCGCGGCAACTCATCGTCGGCACCGGGAAACTCCATCGATACTCAGCCGGGGCGGAATTATTCACAAAACTGAATTTCCGACGACAATCTCAAGGACTCCCGCTGTTAGGGATCGAATGAAGCACAGCGATCATGGTGAGAGATGATTTCATTTCTCGTACAGAAGCAAGCGAGTCCGTCATTTCGTCTTCGGTGATCTTCCGCGTGAGAGCGAACACCGACGCGGAACCCCGAAGAGAAGGGCTTCCATTCTGTTCCCGAAGCGAGTCGGCAGTCGGTGTGTTCTGAGCCGGACGGAGATCTCGATATTATTCCGATGACGGGCAACGTCATCGTTGCTGACATCATGCTATTTGCGATTCGTCGCCTTTTCCCAAGAACACTTCTGCCTGGCGGTCCATGTGTCCCACAGCAGGGATTTCTAGACGACGACTGTTTGTGGATAGTTGCTTGACGGTCAAGTGTTACTCGAGGAGGATCTCTCGAGGAATACTCTCCTCCTCCTCGGCGCAACATTCCGTTTACAACGGGAACGAGATTTAGCTGAAGCAGCGAGCGACCACTGTTGGCTTTAGATAGCTGACTCGCAGGCTGTGCGGCCGACCGATCGACCGACTGACAGACGGACTGACGAGCGGAAGAACTGGATAGCCGACTCGCTCGCTTGCCCGCCCTGCAGGTAGCAGTGGCAACAGCAGTGGCAGGAAGTTTCGAGTCTGCCCGTCGCGCTCATTGACGTTCGGAAGAATATTCAAGTTCGATATGACGGCTCTCAGAATAATCGCGAAGCGACCTTCTCCAGATGAAGGTGAGTTCCGGATTGAGGGTGTCATGCAATTGTCGATGTGCATATCCGTAACTTTCCGTTGGAGCTGTCAGTTCGGAGGCTGTTCAGTCAGAAGCTCAGCCAGGCTCGCTATTCGTGCGGGCCGGGCGCGGGATCACAACGACAGCCGCGCGTTGTTACCTAATCACACTCCGATGGCTCGACTCGATCACAACGGAAGCTGGCCCGGTAGACTTCCCGGAATTCGATCGAGCCTCTCGCCAGGCAGCATAGAACTCATCGTACGAATTCTGAGCTTGATTCGAAGCGGTTTAAGTTTACTAGACCGACTGCGGTCGAGGAATTCGTGAGCTGATGGCCCAGCCGAGTCTGCCCTAGGGACGAGGATCAGCTAGCAGCGTGAACATCCTCAGGAGTTCCGATTTGGTCCACGAATAGAAAATTCGTGTTTCCGGATTTCGCGTGGGAACGTGTGCTAGTAGACTCTGAGCACACGTTCCCATTACCTCGTGAGCTCATTCCCGACTGAATACGCTGCTGGGGGGTCGGCTCCCTCTTCGGGGAATCTCGGCCGAAGAATCTCGAAAGATCGGCCGGCTCCAACATTTGAACTAACGGATGCAACTTCTCTGTGAATACAATCTCAGACGCTGTCCTCTCCAGATGATACGAATGGCATTGGTCCTTGAAGAGTCCAAGACAATGTTCAGTTCGGAAAAAAATTCATGACCGAGTAAGGGCCCGACAAGTCGATTTCGAATGCCAGTCATGGTCGATCTTGACGGCTGTAAATATTTGTGAGTTTCACGGTCTCTACGACCGCGAAAGTATTCTCATTCGAGACAGCTAAGCTTCCCGACTCCTCTGTTCCCGGGAAATGAGGGACAACTAATGTGGCAATCAATTGTTATCTTTGTTAGCTTTGGATCTAATCGCCTTGTCTCGACATAAAGTCGAGGATCATCTCCCTCGTCGAGAGCTTTGGGGTGGTGACAATTAGGCCGAATGACCCACCTTAGATAATATCCGAGAGGAGTGTCGAACGGAGTCGCTAATTAATCATTTGTCGGAGGATATGTACGCGCGAAAGAGGCTGGAGCATCGACGAATACGAGCGTCGGATGGGTCGATCAAACCCCGCACTCAGAAGCTATCCACTGACGATAAGACATGCACGGGCCAACTTGAGTACGTGTCCCGCGTGCCGAGACCAGACCACAGGTTATTTGGCCGACTATTACCCGTGTATCGAGTTCGGAGGACTTTCGAACAATCGACGAGTGCCTGTCGAGAGGAGAGACTGCCTCTGGACACCGACTGTTCAATTCTTCCCCTCCTCCCGATCGTGGGTGGCTCATATTTCGTCCCGTGTCGTTCCATCAAGTATTCGTCATTCACCTCGACGGTTATTTTCCCGTACCAGGAGCGGGTACTTCCACTTTCGGAACCCATACTCGATGGATTTATTGTACTCCCAGCTGGAGATTGTATTGTAATACGATATTTGGAGATGGCCGTGTTCTCCTTTCTCGAGCTCTTCCCTTGTAGCTGCTGCTAGTCTCGGATTCAGTACACGTCTTCACCGAGAGCCTTTGTTGTTTCAGGTGAAGCCAACCGGTTCGCTACGATTGGACGCCACACAATGTCTCGGGCCCCGCTAGCGATGGCTATCGAAACCCCCATTTGGAGTGGATCTCCTCAGGGCGTCCTATGTTATCCATCGCCCACAAAAAGCCTCGATCGGAAATATTCGAAGCGATGGTCTCTCTACAACAGGAAAACGACTCCAAAACGCAAGGAGAAAAACAATCAAACAGCGAATCGACATCCCAGCCAACAACAACTGACCTCGGAACCCGACGACATAACGGATCGCTTGTGCGTTCGCCGCAAGTGGACTTCGAACGAGAACTTCCGCGCGGTGAATATCTTCGAGGAGGAAACGAGCCCCTCCCGAATCTGGAGGCAAGAGACACAACTAGACACGAATATGAACATGTTTTCGTGGAGAGGCGAAGAGTGTCCGGACGTGCCAGACTCGCGTCTCGTGAAGGAGCCGAGTGTTCAATCTCTGAAAGCGTCCGGCTACGAAGTACCGATACCATGCAGTATAGGCCTCGCCCCGAACGACAGAGCGAATTCTCTGAACTCGTTCATGACAGACGATTCCATCAGATTGGCTTCGACAGGTACGGCCACCCTCCGTCGACAGACCTCATTGAGGAAAGTGGAATTACCGAAAGTGTCAGGAAACGGTCCGAGTTTGAAAGAAGTCAAAGCCCTCCTGAAAGAGGAGGCGAAGAACCTACCCCCTCCATTGAAGCTGATTCCGATTTCGCCTTCGAATCACGAATCGAAAGCCGGTTTCGCCAAGTTCCTCTTGAGGTTCTCCTCACGAGGCTCTGCCGAACAACAGAAAACAATATCAGCCCCGATCGTCGAATCGATCAGGGCTCCGGTCCGGAGGAACCTCTCACTCGGCTCCGTGGATCGTCGGATCAAACCTCCGATTCCACCGAAACCTCAATTCCAAAGGAACAGTCTGAGCTCGAGCTCGGGGGACTCGCACTCAACGACGTCGTCGATCGCATCCGACCAAACCCTCACGGACGAGGACCGGAGCGTGGACATCCGCTGCGACCTCGACGACGTTCTCATAATGGACCTGTTGAAAACGTTGGACATCGACGACGACGAAAAAGTCAAACTGGCGCGGCGGGAATCACCGACGGCAGAGGATAACGCGCTATCGGAACTGGACGCGGCGATGGAGAAGGTAAGGGAATTTCTCGCCTAAGGAGGGAACCGCACCATTCGCCGCTGCCGGTCGCTCACAAAAGCTTTCGCCTCGAGTAAATTCTTCGGAATCGAATTACATCGTCTATGCAAATTCGATGCCGGAGGAAATTCTCTGCAGTTGATCGCTGCTACCGCTGCTGCTGCCGCCGCTGCCGCTATCATCGACGACTCCTCTACCGCCCCCGTCGCCAGTCGAGCTAGATTGCGAATTCATATCGTTCAGACTTTCTATTCGACGTACCAAGCGCGGAAAAGAGTGCGAATGGCTTGTTAACAACTCCGACAGACACTCGCGGGACTGTATCGAACAATTGTTACTCTGGGGCTTGTGATGTAAAAAAAGTCTCCAAATGGAAAGATTTCAGAAGGATGATCAATACACAATGTTTCGAATGACTCGTACCTCGTGTTTTCCATTCGAGAATCATTTAGCTAAATTGATGAATCGCGCATCTGCCATCTCGGCTCGGTAATGGAGCTCCCTGCCTTTATTGGGATCACCGCATATCCCACGACATCCTGAACGCAGAAGAGTTGGACTAAGGGGGAGCTTTCTGCGGGTAGACCTCAGGCGTCGCGTGGCTGCTACGTGAAAAATGTTCAAGTCGCACCTACGGGGCAACACCTACGGGATTGAGATTGAATGTGGCTGGGTGATGGGTGTCAAGATGAGCGGATCCTCTCACTCACTCAGTGGAGTGTAATCGTGGCCGCAGCAAAAACGTGGGTCTGACCCAAGAGCTGTTCGGTAGATGCGTGACTGGGCTGATTCTTGAAGAGATCCTCAACTACCCGATTGAAATTGGGATAGAACCGGATGATTCCCAAGACGAAGAAGAAGAGAAAAAGCTCCCCGCTGTCTGGATGGTGAATTGTGGACGGGATCAGAGATCAGATGTCACCCCATGCTATTTGTTTGCTCATACTCTAGCTGGCCATGAACCCGGAGCTGGAGAGGAGTGAAGCGGTGGAACGGAAAAATTCCGTGCGCAGGTAGCGAATCGAGGTTCTACCGAAACGAATCTACTCAAACCTCTCGATTTTTTTTCCTCTCTGACAAGATCCGATCCGAGAAGCGGTGACGCTCGATGAAACGAACATGTTGCAATTTGCGATGTCATCATCTTGTTCCTCCTCCGCTCTCAATTTTCCGAGAACTCGGAGCTCTATCTCAATATTCGCTCCCAAAGTTTCGCTGTTCAGGGCTGCTCCGCAGAGAGCTCGAGAATCTCTTTAAGCGCTCTCTGACGGCGCGGCGGCAACGAGGAAATTGGTCCCTTGCGCGCGTGATGTTGCGTTCGGACTGACGTAAATCCCGACCTAGCAATCTGTTATTGCTCCTTAGAACAAGTTGTTCAACGTTGTTCACGTCGTGTCTATTTGTGTGCCCATGAGCCTAGGCCCACGCGGAGCCTCTCGGATGCCGCGTAGGCTCCGGACTCCGGACCCGACTTTCGTCTTCCTGCTTGCGTGGCTGTCCAGGCTATGTTGTTCTATCGGCTCTTTCGCAGCCAGAGGGCAACAGTAATTCATATTCTATCTCCTTCTCCCGGCAGGGTTCGGAGTCGTCCGAAACCGAACTCGTTTCTTATTTACCGTATTTCCTCAACTCCCAACGAGAGCTGCTCCGATACCGTAGCAAGGTAGAGAAAATGTTTTTTCTGCGAACATCCCATCGACTCGGACGGCGTACTTAATGAGCGGAAACGAATCGGATCCGGATGCGACGGTTTTTGCGACGTTCAATTAGGACGGCGAAACACTCGTCAGAATTGCAAACCAGGACCGAAGCGGCTGAACGAGCGAAAACCCGGCCATCTGAGTCTCGAGCCAATCCTTCCAGACGAAATTGCAGTCGGGTTCAGAGTCCGTCCAACTTCAAATATTTATCCCAGCGAGAGATCGTGTGTCATCGGATTCGACATCGTTCATACTGTATCAAACCACTATGATTGAAGCGAACGCGGCTTACTACACTGATCAAGGAGTTTAGGGCCGACTCTCCGAGGCCATACAGGCTGCCGGCGCCCCCGAGCCCCCGTCCTTTCGCTCGGCTCCGCCATGCTCCGGGGCTGTGCGAGTGCTGACAGGCTGAAGCGGCTTCGGAAAACTCTTCCAACGAGAATCCTATTCAATTCCCGCGATATTTGCGCTGTACGTCGCGCAAAGTACAAAATCGATGGAGCTCGGCCGCTGGAGTCACGGAGCACGATGACCGGCGGAGGTTTTTCGCCACGTAGGGATGACGAAAATGCCCGGAGTCGCGACTATCCGAACACTTATGCCCTCCTTCGTTTTCGCCCTCTCCTACGACGGACGGGGCCTTTCGAACGCTGGAATATAGGGCGCCATTAGGGGCTTCGAGACACCTTCAGTCTCGCAATCAGTACACCGTTGTTGATCATTCATTCCATCATATCCTGTACATATCTCGCCCGCTTGTGTTTTTAGCCCACGACACAATCCGACGCCGAGTCGTCGTCTTGTCACGTCAAATCATGTGTTCAAACATCGCGAGCTGCATTTAGCCTTCAGGCTCAGCGTAGTTTCGGTTGCTGGTGCTTGCTGCATCCGAGTGAAAATGTGCCGTGTGCTCACACTGAAGTCAAAGTCCTCCGATCCTGGATTACCTCAACGACCGACTTAGAATGATTTATAGGAAATTCTAGAAGCAAGAATCTAAGCCAGCATCATGCTTGCAAAGGCCACCAGTTCGCCCCTAGTCGCGAAAAAGGTTTGTGAGCCTCAACACCTACGTTAGCCAAGTGAATCTCTCGATTATCCTCGGGTCGGGGGAAAGTCGGCCAGGTTCGTTCGCCCTAGGGGGAACATTCCGGCCAGGCATTAGCGAGGTCTGGGAGTGAAAACTCGTGGGAAAGTCTGTGGAAATGCGCGGAGAGTCGAGCGCACGAATCTCAAGGCAGAGGTATCCCGGTCGACTGTACGGCGCGGCGGGGAATACCCTTAATCTTTCCTCTTTGGTTCCTGTGCAAGACAATCCTCTGACCTGGAGTCCTGTACTCAATCTTTCATTTTTCTTCGTGAGTTCCGCCTACATTATGCAAGATCGTGCAGGTTCTCACGGGAAATTGCTTTGCCCATGTAAACGTATCTCCTTGATGTATGATCCGTCAAGGCTTCTCCCACGGGTTGTCTACCCCAATACGTCGGGGGAAGAGAAAGAGAAACACTCAGAGTCGCGGGGAAACCGCTGCAACCATCTCTCTGCCTTTCGGCCGCGAAAAGTGACTGAGGAGGCGAAATTTTGAAAGGACTCTGGAATTCGGCGGGGGGCCGCTGGGGCCCACGACAAGTGGAGAGCAATCTGAGGCTCACGTTTGCGGCGTCGGGAGCTGTTCTCCGTTAACAAGACCCATGGAATGCGAGCCATTGTGAACACATATATCGTAATGGATCGCTTTATATCCGGGGGGCTGATAACACTGGCAAGGGACACCGGCTGAAACACGGCAAACAAAAACCCCCGTGACAAGCCCCACCTCGGGACCTCTCTGCGGAGAACGGTGGAATGTACATTTGCCGAGAGGAGCAGTGCTCGTTCGTGTAGCGAAAAAGAACAGCTGAGCTTGCCGGCCGGTTTATTTGTTCTCGCCGTGAAATTTCGTTGGGGGCTGGAATCGACAGCGTACCGCGTAACCTCGGTTGGGAGCAACAGCCATCGGCAGACTGTACCTGAAGGTCCTCCTGATCTTGAGGTTACAAGCCAAAAAAATCGTGTTTCGCTCTGCGTATGTATCCACCCACTTGGTTTGCTACCCCTAATTTCGGTCCGTGTTCTCTTGGTGGAACACGTGATTAGGGAAGCGCAAGAGTGTAGGTTGAGTTATTCTAACTGCATATGGTGTATCCCGGCCACAGTCCTCGTTTTTGAGAATAAGCTTGCTCAAAGCGTCGCTTTATCGCTGTGGTGTTGGACTGAGCAAAGAAACGGCTTCCTAAAGACGCTTGCCCGTGTTCCCGACGGGGTAAAAAATGAGCAGAACCTCGTCTAACGAAGGCAAGAATACCGCCACTGCGACAAGCCCAACATGGTTCAAAGGGCGTTAAGCGCTTGCTCCTAGGATCGGGTCACCCTTGTTCCCCGGGAAGAACCTGGCTCTGACTGAGGAAATGTTTTGACTTCACGTACAATGTCCGAATAAACGTACGGAACGTTTGGAAGCTCCTTCCAATTTCCGCGAGTTGGTTCCCAGATTTCGAGCTCTGTTGCGACGCCTATGCTCTTCTATGCGCAAGAGATCAGCGTCTCACGTTTACTCTTCCCCACAGCACAGGCGTGCTCCGACCCATGTCTCGCAGCTTTCGCGGCGTATCTTTTCCATTCTTCCCTGGTCTCCATTGAATCGGCTCCATTGTCCGTTCCTTCCCTACCTCATACTTCTCCTATGTTCTTGCTGTTCCCAGCGTAAGATCCCCGCGGTGGCCTTCCAGCTAATTTTTTGATCACATGGTGCTTTCCTATTCCCTCCTGCTCGGTCCGGGGCTCGCTGTCCAGACCTTCAAGTCCCGATTCCCACGTGGAAGTCTCATCTATTTTCGTCCCAGCCATTATACGTTGAGAAGAGTCGGTGGAGATAGCTGCATCAATTAAGGATGATTAGATTCCACGTCCGTTCGTCACCCGCATCATGCTCCCGAAGCGTTCACTCGGTTCCATTCATCATCATTGCCGGGCCATGATTGTATCAGCTCCGTTGTATGACACCGAAAATCTCCGTGTTGCTACTCGCTCAGGGAAGAACCCCGAGGAGCGCAAACGACGAATGTATCGTCTTTCGAATGATTCCGAACCGCGTCGGGAAGTCAGTCGAGCACCGCCTCCCCCATTGTCTTGCTCGCTCATTTTATTATATGTGCTCCCTCGCTTTATCCCGCACCGTCCAGTTTCCCGGGAGGAAAATGTCGCTCCCCGCTCCAGAGGAGAATGAAGGGAGGAAATCGATGCGAGGAGCACTTTGGGAGCTGCCATTCAGGGAAAGATTCTTGAAGGACCACCTCAGACAGCGATCAAAGCCACGTGGTTTCCGTGCCTCGGAAACCGGGAGCTCCGTGGCCACTCGAAAAAGGAGCTCCGGGAAGTTTCTCTCGGGATCCGAATCGCGGAGTCGAAGATTCCATCCCCTGAGGGACCTAATGACAACTAGTTGAAATTTTCAACACCCGCGTGATCACTCCCCTTGACGAGCGGGCCTTCCCGATCGGGATCGAGCGTGGCCGACGGGGTTGAGCAGACGGGCGAGTAGGTGGGTGCCCTCACAGAGAGCTATTTCGGGCTGCGGGGTGAACGGGAGGCTTCCTTTCCTAATCGCTTAGTTGGGATGAGCTCATTTCGGTTTCATTCGGATGAGCTGTGTGGTGAGATACTCAGGACGAAAATGATGGGAAGAAGGAATTCAATGAAAAATTGCGGTTCCGGGCGCATCGTGGACGAGCAGGACAGCGGAGAATCCTCGATTTTTTTCCCTAAACCCAGTTAAAAGTTTCGACGGAGTCGCCGCGAGCTCCATCGGTCTCTGACATGTCCGCGACAAGGAACCGCTATGGGAGAGACAGTCACAGAGCTGATGTTCGTTGACGTGGCTGTCGTCAGAACCTTCTGATGCGCCGACCAGCTTGAAACCCCCTTCCGTTTATCGGTAAGCAGCTCCCTCGACACAGCTTGAAATCTGAAACGCTCCGCATACCCGAAAGGATTCGAAGCGCTCGTCCGACCGATTGCGACTCGCTCCATTCAAGGTCGCTGAATCGGTCGGGCTCGCTCGGCGGAGTCAGTCGATCAGCCAAATATCTCGACCCAAACTCATCAGCTCATCACCACTGGGAGGGACGATGCGACCGAGTTCAGTGATCCTGAAGTAGACGATCGGAATTGAGTTGCTCCCGCTTGATACCCGACCAAGCGAGCGCTCTGAACGACGAAGACGTCCGCATTCGCGAACAACTCCAGAGATCGGAGTTTTGTCGGGGCTTTGGGTCAGGTCGTGGGTCGTTGTATCAAACCACGAAATTCCGGAAGAAAAGCTCAAGCTCTGCTTCCGCGGAGTCCCCGGCCCCCTGGAGTAGGCAAACCAACGCCACTCGGATACCGTCTGCCACGTAGACTCTATCAATCGTGATTCGTTAGTGCGGCTTGGTAGCTTCGAAATGATTTTGCGAGCATCGGCGAAATTGCTCGTTGAAGGAAAGACTTCAGCCCAACGATTCCTCCTCCACCCCCGCGGCCCCGCGTCTCTGAAAATACATCACTGGGTCGACACGTCGACGGAGGACGCTGAACTCACGCGAAAGACCTACGAATCATTTTTAGCACCGAACTCACTGGTGTGACTCTACATTCATCCATCACGTGGCTGGTCCGAGTGCAACTCTTTTCGGAGTCCCCTCGGCCACCCTTCAGAGACACGAGTTTACGAGTGTAGATCTACGATCCGAGACCTGTCTGCAGTCAAGTGCGGATGATGGAAATAGAGCACTGGGGGGAGCTGCTACACAATCATTAACGCGCCAGGAGACATACGAGGGGAGGAGGAAGCCGCGGCTCGTGAGAGCTCCGAGTTCTCCGTTGAGCCCCTCGAACGCTGGCACACGCAACAACCGTCCTCATGAGTTTCTTTCGGAGTGACGGTTTGTTTATTCAGCGACTCTGGGTCAGGTTCTTTTTCCCTTTGGACCGCTCCGCTCTCGCCGGAGTCGTAGCGGAAACACAGCGAGGTTTTGATCGATGTTGAAATGATTAATCCTGTTAGAGGCAAGCGGAACAAGAGAGGAACAACACGGAAAGCGCTGAGCCTGGCACTTCCATCAGAATCGTGAATTGGACGGAGAGAAACGTGCCGTCGGTTGACCGCGCCCTGGCCCACCGAACATACGAGCTAAGCCCACGTCGATGGCGTGATACGGCTGAGCCTCAATAGACCGAGTATGCCCTCCCGTTCCATTGTCTGGCCTGTTGGGTCCCGGTGGTGGTTTCGCTTCCCCGCCTCGTCGATTCGCGAGAGCCTCAGCGTGTTTTACGCGGTTGACGCGGATGGAACCGAATCGCGAGTATCTCCGGCGTTGCTCAATGAGGATCGAGGGGGTGCTCGATGAAGAACGTATCTGCCCGAAATCGGTGTCAACTAATAGGCATCCAGGACGTCATTGCGGGAGCTTTTCCGAAAAAATTGATTATTCGGAATGATTTCATCCCGGTGGGAATATCGGATGGCTCGAAGTCATCACGCCGATGGACTCGAAGTGTGTGACGAATATATTTTTTCCAGGACCAGGAGATCCTCGGACAGTGGCTTCGCAGCATACATTTCGAGGAGTACCTCGCACTGTTCGTTAATTCAGGTTACGACATGCCTACGATATCGAGGATGACACCCGAGGACCTCACAGCCATCGGCATCACGAAACCCACTCACCGACGAAAGCTTTTCACCGAGATTTCGAAGCTCAACATTTCCGATGGCATTCCAGGTAGGAGAACATCACCAGGTCGCGATGCCGCGCCAGCGATGCGTAGGGCGAACGTAGCTGCCTACATGGGGGCCTGTCTCTCTCCGAGAGCCGTCTCGCGCACTCTCGCTCGTTCCTGGCACCCAGACGGCCCGAAAATTCTATAAAGAAGTATAAGCTCGTCCGTTCACCACAGCATACATCCGGGCAAAAGAGAAGGGTGATCTAACGACGAGGATAAGGTGCTCCGGAGTCGGGGAGCTTTATGGGATTACGAGCGGCTACGTCGGCGGCGTTCCTGTGGAGGTGCGCTGACCCCAGTAATTTATTCACGAGAAGCCAGGAAGGAAAAACTCCGAACGTCAAATCCTAGATCCAGACGAATCCTCGAGAAAGGTCCGCGGGAGCTTTCCGCGTTTGACAAACGAGCTTCCGCCACAAGAGGAAATGGAAGACTCGAGCCGGGAACTGTATATTTCGCGTTGAGAACCGAAAATCACGAACAAATGACCAGAGGAGTACGAGTCATTCGCCTTGCCTTCAGCGACCGATGACTCCAACGAGCAGAGAAAAGTGAAGGGGCGAACTCTTCCCCAGAGACGTCTACCGACTCTCTTCTGGAACAGCCCCCTTGTTTACGAAGGCAGCAAGATGTTGCTGGGGCTATAAACGGCGATGTCCAGAGGCTCATTCGAGCCGTGGAACATTGAAAGGGAGCAGGGCTCCTCTAGTTACAGCCTCTACGGCGCGCGGACCTTTCGCAGAACGAGAGGCCGGTAGACGCTCACTGGTCGATATTCATGAAATATCAAGGCTCGATATTTCATAATCGGGCGCGTCGAAAATTGATTTCTCCGAGAGAATATCCCCAGGAGCATCGGGATCGAAGTGTGTCGGAATCGTTCCGGGACTCGGGTCCGCCATCCTGCCTCAGCGACCGTTTCGCTGAAATTCGGGGTTCCTTTCCCGAGAACATGCGATACATTTACACCGCGATTGGATGCTTATCATCCTCTAAACTCGCTTGCAGACTACAAACCAGACAGTCTCTCACTCATGCTGAAACTTCTACGTCTCGAGGAATATGAAACAACACTCGTGTCTCAGGGATACGACTCCGTGGATAAAGTCGCCGAATTAACATGGGAAGACATCGACGATATCGGCATTAGGAAATTGGGTGAGTCCGCGACTTCGATTGAGGGTTGGTGTTTCAAAGAATTTCATTTTCCGATTCGTACCGTCGAAGCTTGGTCTGGCTGTTGTCGAAAGGACGAAGCTATTTCCCTCGTCGGAGTGCGCTTCTGGGAAAAAAACGTCGTTTCGCCGAAATCAATGGTTGTCTGTGTCTCGCGTTGCAGGGCACCAAAAGAAACTCACTTTGGCCATTAGGAAAATCAAGAACTTTCCTCGGTTTCAACCGGCCTTTCGGCCTATACCTCCCTCTTCTTCGTCGCATCAATCTCTAGCGCGGCATTCTTCGATTGACTTAGGCAATCCCCACGCGAGACCAATAACCGTCCGTAAGTTCCTCGCTCTTCAATCTCCTCACGGATGCCCGATATGCATGCCTCTTCTTACGTGTGCCGCCTGCATGGAAAATCCCTGCGAGTATTCGTCTGCTGGCTCCGACTCACCGGAGTCCTTGCGTTATCCGCCAGCAGTTTTTCTTCTCAAGTTCTCTTCCGGTGTGAGAAATATGCCGTTTGCCGTTTTCGGGCAGCGAAATCTTTTCGAAAACAGCCGTTCGCTTTCCAGCTGTGCCGCCGGATCAGTTCGACCAACAGTGGACAACCATGCCACCTCTGCAGCATTCGGTTTCTCAAACAGACTCGTTCACGTTCCCGCATCTTCGTCAAGTGAATTCAGGAACCGATCTCCACAAACAGGATATCGACGAGCAAATGTACTTTGCGTGGCAGCAGCAAACCGACAATATGTTTGCACAACAGCAAGCTCTCAGAGGTCGCTCCCTCGAGAGCCTTGAGCAAAATTTCGAATGGTAGGCCCGAGGTCGTTTCGTCGACGAACATAGGAGGAAAATCGAACGAACGTGGAATTTTCGAAGGAATCCCTGAACCAGGTCCAATGGCCGAGGATAAACCAACTTGAGTCGCGTTTTCAGGTACGACATGGTGAACAGCTGGCGGACGCAAATGATGGCGGATCAGAGCCAGCTCATAGAAGGTACTTCAACTCTAAATCGGCCGCGAGGTCTGATAAAGGCCCGACCAGTGGCGAAGGTTCAAGGGACGTCAACTGTTTCCATAAGAGACCAGATCTCACTGGACGGCGAGGATATCTCTAAGCCTGATTTGCTCGCGGGTCAGGTACGTGTCCGGAACGACTTCGCCCAACGGAACTCGAGGGAAGCGACCCTGACTCCGGTCAAGCGAACACCTAAAAAACGAGGCGGAACGATGATGCATTCCTTTTTCGGGAAAATTGGGAGCGGGCTTCTTATTCCTGATCCTGGTGGGGATGGATATATATGTAGCACTCAGAATAAGCATGAGGATAAAATAAAATGAACAATCGTTGTCCGGACAGTCCAGGTTTTGAGCTTGGCTCCAGCCCTGGGATAAGCTGGATGGGGTCCGGACAGAGGGTTCATTACGAGATATGGAAAATCGGAAGATAAGGAAATCCGGAGTGTCTCTGCATCTTGCAATCCTCTCATGAGTTGTGTGTCTCTTCCCGCAGGGCCCTATCCCTCCAAAACGGCTCATATCTTCCGGCGTTGTGAAGGCGCACGACGTTGGCGACACTGCGTTCGCGACTTGTGTTCAAAGTCTGACATCACGTTTCACATTGGACACTCGCGAAGACCAGTTGGACAATATAGATGACGAGCCGGCGCTAGCTCTTCAGCTTTCCTCACCCAATCAGATTCCCAGACCACCGCCACCCGAGCCACCTCCGACACCTACCAAGCCATCTGCACCCCAGAGGGACAAGTCTCCAATACCGTCCGGGGATAATTCGCAAGTGGCGCCGCAGGTGATCGAACTAAACCACGCAATGCAAAGCGAACTCAAAATGAAGCTCAAACAGAGAAACCACCTTGCTACGGGAAGCAGCTGTCTAGTAGCGGCAGCATCGGGAGCACCGTCAACCCTACAAGCAGCACCCCTGAAACCCGGTCAGGATCGATCGTCGAAACCGGTAGCAAAAAGCGACGCCGATCTTGAACGGGAGAAGTTCTTAGCGAAACTGGAGTCCGTTCGGAAGAAAAGCGAGAGGAAAGAAGAAGTCAAGACGGGCGGCAGGAAGCTCGCCGCCGGCAAAACGAGCGAACAGCCGAATCAGAACTGCGTTTCTGACGCGAGCGACAGGGATAGGTCCAAGCAAAGTCAGGAGACTCCGAGGCGGAACGAAAAATACTCCAACACGACCAACGTCAACCACGCGGGCCGCCACAACGGCGGCGCCGGCGCTTCGATCGATAGAGAGATCAGATCCTTGCAGGAATGTATCCAGGCGTCAGTCAAAGATTCGACGACGCAGAGTGGAGTATCAACGGTGGAAGACGACGCGAACGATTACGACACGAACCCTTTCACCGCTCTGTTGAGTAAAATCGAGAAAAACATAGATAAGGAATTCTTGGAGAGGAAGCGCAACGAGAAAGCCTCGGCTTCAGACGTCGCCGGTCCGACACCCCAAACAAGAAATGTTTCTCAGACATCAGCAGTGACGACGATCGCGTCCTCGACAGTTTCATCGTCCGCATCAACGTCGAAGCCATCGCCGAGTACAACGTCGAGTAATAATCATACGTCATTGCCTTCGTCAGCAGCCATTCCGTCAGTGTCCGCGAAAATTGACAGAATCAAATCCATTGAAGTGAAACTAGACGCGTCCGCAGCAACCCCCGCTGCTGCGGTCGTTACATCATCAGCAACAACAACGGCCTCCCCTATCAACAACCTCAACAAGGAACGCCCATATGAAATTGCACGATCGACGAAAACCGAACCTGTGATTCAGAACAAATTCTTCAGCACCATCGGAGTCGAGACCAAGGTCATCAATCTAGAGGACAGACCGCATCGTAAAAGCGACGCGGGCCTGCCTTCGGCTCGTTGCAATAATATTGGTGACAATCAGCGCAGGACCTCGGTCAGCGACATAAAATCATCAGCTCATCAAAACGGAGTCAACAGGGTGTCGAACGACAAAACCGTTCTCGACGCGGCGCAACTCCAGGCCGCTCAAGCTGAATTCGACAACAAGTTCGGGAATCTCAACGTGAGCAAAGAGTCCGAAAAAGACAAGAAGATCATCGAGATTCAGGAGGCGCTCGAGGACCAGCGGGAGGGGTTGGTCAGTTCGGCCAGGAGAATATTCGAGGTTTGTGCCTCGAGAGCATCTGCTAGCAATAGTGTCACTTCCTCGCCGACCGTGCCCAGACGAAACTCAGTACGGAAAGAAACTCCGAAGGAAAGTGCTCCAGCCGCGAATCCCCCTGTTCCCCATCCTCGCTCCAGACCTCCTGACGTTCCACCCCGTATCCCGAGGAACGTGGAAGAACAGAACAGTCCACCGGTTCCGATGAGACTGCCCGCTAAAAATCCCCGCAGGGTACCGGAAACACCGAAGGTCATCCAAGATATCGAACACATGCTCTCGAGTCTAACTGATCAGTTAGATGCAATGCTGGACTAGTGGCTGCGAGGTGTCGCGACTCAAAACGCGGGTTCAGTATTCGCATCAGGACTCGGGACGTGTGGCTAACACACGAATGAGCGAAGCTTTCTAGACAGAGACGTACCTACGTACGTATCGTTCATCAGGCCGTTCAACCAGTCAATCAATCAATCAAGCAACCCACCAATAATTTTACAATAATTCTACGCCCCCCCTTTTGGAAATGAGGCAGAATATATTAGTTATCGATAGAGAAGATAATATATTGAACTCATGGCGAAGGGAATCACAACTACCTATCAGAACGGAATCCGAATAGTTCAATCGAGGGATGCTAGATAATCAAAGTGTTGTTAACGCTTGACGAATGCTTGGCTTGTTCTCGTCGACAAGTTGTATCAGCAGGGGAAGACCTGACCGAAACCTCATTTTGTAAATTATCGTGGAGGGAACGACGACAATATCCAGACTTCTTTATCCAAACCTCTGCGGCTAAGCACGATCAGCTTATGTACCTTTAGGGTACACGACGGCAGAAGACGGGCGATGAACATATCCAACACTCCAGGCAATATATCCAAACTCTGGAACTCATCTTGTAAGAGCGTTTATCCGATAGGGTCATCATATATCAATGCGGATCGCACGAAACCCAAACTTTATCGATGACCGCAGACAAAACCCATAGAAAAATTTGAGGATCCACAGCTGACCGATTAGATGGATTCTCAGCAAGCTACCGCAGGAACCTCATAGGTTTCCAGCATTGTTTTTACCAATAGTGTTGTGTTTTTATCTTGTAAATAAACGGAAACAAATCTCGGAGCAATCCATGCTTCTACGATTAGTGTGTTGAATCAAACTGAAGATCGAGGTCTCTTCACTCCAGCCGATAGATAAACACCGCGCTAATCTGTAGAGGCACCACGTGGGGGAATATGAGACCGATCTTGTCGAAATCGTTGTCGATTCTACTTTTGCGATCGAATGGGTAGGTGAGCACGGACACGGACAACTGGGCCAAAAACCAACTGGGCCAAAAACCAACTGGGCCAAAAACCAACTGGGCAAATGAGCCAACTGGGCCAAAACCAACTGGGCAAATGAACGAACTGGGCCAAAACCAACTGGGCCAAAACCAACTGGGCAAGACTGAATCGGACCGGGAAATAGGTTTCGATTGGAAATGCCCTCTGTTCGGAAACTATGATTAGGAATTCGGAAAAAGGGGTGATCTTTACCTAAATTAAAAACTCATGTTTTGTCTTCTTTAAATCAATCGCTGTGACACTTGACTCTTTTGTGCCATCATGTGAGCGCTCTGTCTTTCTCGGCCCTTCGGTTATTCGCTCGCCCAGCGACCCAGTTTTATTGCGCGAAAACTACCAACGACCGTGGTGGTAGTTCGCTTGCTGTTGAGGACTGGGGAGCGAAACTACGCGTCCATGAGGAAATTGTGAGCTATGCCTCGGAGGTATTCTACATGCTGTAGATGTTCGGCACGCTCGACCACTCCCAGGATTCGCTCGTCTGCACGAACGTACTTGGTCCTTTTTGTTGGAGGAGCACCGCCGGCTACGAATGATTCGACTTGTAGGTCACGGCCTTTTTGGACTTTCTTAAGCCCGTCGATGAACTTCCAAATTGTCGGATGCTGTATCCCGAATTCAACCTGGAGTCTGCGATGTGCCGCCTCCGCATAGTTATTCGTGCGGGCTTCTCCGTCGAGCGTTCTCTGGTATACTGACCACATCTCGACCGGGAACTGCGGTGTTCTCCGGTCTACGGTACCGTCGGCTCGGATCCGGTTCATACGCCCTATGTAAATGTCCTCGAAATAGTTGAGAACTGGAATCAACTCTTCCGGCAATACAGGCGAAAGCTCCGCGACTGCACTATCTAACTCTGACGGCGGAACGAATGCCAAAGCAGCTATCATTCGGGCTTTCAGTGCGAAGTCGTCATCGTTGGTATAGCGACTCCAAAGACCTTCCTGAGCTACGCGTAGTTTGGTGTTCTTCACCAAGTGGAAGAAGCATCCCTGAATGCGTGTTTCGGGCGGGAAGCAAGCCCTGACCGCAATCATCATGGCCCGCTCGTAGTCCATGACCACGCTGGCGGGACAGAGGGCCGGCCAAGCCTCTTTCAAGAGATTCAGCATCCGAGTGTACGATTCGGCTGCTTTGTCTGGGAGCAACGCGTAGGCGACGGGCACAACGCACTGAGCTCGCTCGGCCAGAACTACGAACACCTGTCAATTGAATCCGAGTTTCAATAATCAGGAGCTTGAAATTGTTTCAATAAGACATTCGATCATTCTGGAATCGACCAATAGAGACCTGTGAGAATTGCGGCGGCGCGAGACTGAAAGTTCCATCGACATACAATTTGTCGACGAGGCCGATCCAGGAGCTCGACGATTCTCTGCCGAATACCAAGATCCGATTCGGATCTCCGACGCCGCTGTCCGCCACCAGGAAATTTTCAGAAACGCCCGGCTCGCTCTCATAGATCCTGTACGCTTCGGGTATGACAATGGAACCGCGAGAGTCCGGATTCGATGGAGCCGCAGAGCGGGCGTTCCGATGACGATTGATGAGACGAGAAATCGACTGGGGTCGATTCATGCGACCGAGCGTAGCCGTCGTCGCTGTGACCAAAGCCGTGTTAATCAAGGAGGAAGGTGCCTCACTTGTTTCTTCGCAACGTCGTTTGATCGTCGAGGTGATTTTGGCGACCTCTACACCTGAGGGATCTGGCGGATCAGAGTGGATGCCACTTGTGCGGATAACTTCCCGCGTACTCATCAGAGTATAAGCTCTCGCCTTGCATGGAATCGGTGCGGTTTTGTACATACACCGCCAAGACTGCAAGCCGCTCTTCAGGGCGTATGCTTTGACAAAGAGATGGCCATCGTGGGCCAATTTCTCCTGACCTCTCTGACTCGTAACGCCCGAAGTGGATTCCATTTCTCATCGAGCTGGTGATAATTATAGAAAAGAAAGAGACTAGTTGATTTTGAAAGGAAGCAGCTGGGATTATGCGAATACAATTTAATTTTCTGACGACGATCTTTATCCTATTCCACGTTGCGCCCAGATGAGTCGATCGAACATACTTGACAATATGGAACTAGAGTCTATCCTTATCGGGAGGTCCACCAGTCGATCACAAATACTCTCCTCACTTCAACAACAAACAAAAGCGGGGAGAGATCGACGTCGGATCTTCGTGCGACCAAGTCAAGTCGCGAGTTGCCGTGCGAGCGACATCCCCTCAACTCACTTTACAGCTTAAAGGCGTCTCTCGATGGTCGCCAATATGAGCTCGGTATTGTCTCCGATCGTGTCTGTTCGTGTCTGTTGGGTCTTTGGCCCAATTTGTTCTTGGCCCAGTTGGTTTTTGGCCCAGTTGGTTTTTTGCCCAGTTGGTTTCTTGCCCAGTTGGTTTTTGGCCCAGTTGGTTCTTGGCCCAGTTGGTTTTGGCCCAGTTGTCCTGTACCGAGGTGAGCATGTATTCAGCTGCGCTCCCTCGCCCGCCGCTCGGGTAGGTCACGGATACCGCTTGAGAGTTAGTGTGGAGTTTTCAGGGCACAGAAGACTCATTCATACTTTGCGTAGTGCTGCTCCGCAGCTGCACGCTAGGAATGAACTCGATGACGATTGCCCTTTGAGCAAGATCTCTGTTTTCTATCAGATTCTCGGAGCAAATGAGCTTCATGATTCTCAAATCAACATCTTCGACTGATGGGCGATCATCGTTCGTCTTTGAGATCATAACCGGATCCGAGAAGACCATCAATTGTCCTGAAGAAACCATGGCTTCAGCTCTGCGATTATTGCATGTCTCCCGCAGAATCATCGCTCGTGAGTCCACTCCCTCGGAACTCTGCGCTAATACATTCCCTCAGCTGATCGAAATAATCATGGATAATCGTCGCAGAGGCAATATCAGCTCGCTGAGAACATTCCGATGAGCCCTCAAGAGAATGCAGGACGTCGATATTTCCGGCCTTGGTAGGTGAAGTCTCGCCTTCTGCGGACGGACCGGCGGAAGCGACAGCACTCGAAATAAGCTAGAGCTGGAGGCTCTCGTGCGACCGATCGCTCAGTGAATCGCCCCAGAGAACAACAGGACCCCGAGGGTGATCCACGTAGGTAAGCCAAGAATTCGCTAGAGCATTCCGAGAGATTGCGATGCGAAGATAGCAAAGCAGCATCTGTCCTCACCGTATGCGTAGAGCTGGGTCAGACGTAAAATGACGCTCGATTACCCTACCCGCTTGAACTGTAACAAAGGCGAGTTGAGGACCGGACAGCCCTCCCATGCGATGTATGCACTCAGGAAAGGGCAGCGCGCTAGCGTCTGTAATTATTTTGCCCCTTTCAAGTATTCCCCGCGGGAAGTTCACCCCGGGAACTCGGGGCGATTCGGGAGACTTCAAAGATCCCCACGGATTTCACCGAGAACGATAGTTCCCTATTTCAGCCCTTGGAGCGCATTAGCTCAATCCTAAGATACCGAAGCCAAGATTCCAGAACATCTGTCCTCTCGATCGTCTTTCATCAGGGTCCGGAATAGATCTACATCAGAATTCGACATGATCCGAACAAACGGAGTAGTCGACCGAGGAGGAGTGTCGGAAAAGATCAGAATAAACCGAAATTGATAAGGTCTTAAGTGCTGTTTCTCAGTTGAATATAATTATCCACCAACCGGCGATTGAATCCCTTCATGCGAAGAGGCCAGTGCGCAGCCCTTGAGGCGAGCCGTTCGCCATTTCTTACGAATCCGAATGCCAATGACATCCGTAAGAACAGCGAATTTCTGGTTCACTCTCGGTGCACTACTTGACTCGGCCGCCGATGGGATCGAATTCATTCGCTCTGCCGACATCACAACATGGGCACATTCACAGGGAGAATTCTCAGCCGGTACCGGTCATGCACGCGAAGTTCCTCCAGGGCTTCGTAAGTCGTCAATCTTCGATTACCCGCTATGCATATCTTGGATGAGGAGTCTTCAAGCACAAGTCATTCCGATGGAATCTCGATTCCCTCAGAATCCGCTAATCCGAATTTCGCAGATGGTCAAGCTGCGCGACAAGTTGATTGTGCGGTCAGTGAAATTCAGGGGAATCTCATCAGGACATCGGATCGCCGCTCTCCCGATTTCTCTTCACGATGACCTCGGAGCGTTTCGGTCCGAATGTCAAAAAGACGGCGAGCTTGCGCCACATTAGTAGCGAGCGAAGAAACCCGGAATAGGTGAGGGCTGTAGGAGCACGAGTTCTGGAAGCTCGGAGAGGGCCCACGGGAAGTGCGCCTATAAGAAGCCGCTTGCAGAAATTGTCCCGTGGGATTTGATTGTGATTTGATCATGAAACGAGCAAAGGTAAGGCGAGGCGAATACCGACTGCGAATCGATCAAAGAGGATTGCGCTGCTTGGAGAGCTCACCCATCACGCTGTGCTCGTTTTCAGAGTTCGGTGGTGTATCTCGCTGTTGTGCTCTGCTCGCTATTCTGTAGCTGGGCGGATGCTTTCGGACACAAGAAACTCTTGAAGTACGGGGCCTTCGGATTGGGAGCTCTCGCACCCTACGCCGCTCTAGGCGCATTCAGAGGCGGCTTTCCCGTGGGCGGGCATGGAGGATATGGTGGCTACGGGAGATACGGTGGCTACGGGAGATACGGTGGCTACGGTGGATACGGTGGCTACGGTGGATACGGTGGCTACGGTGGATACGGTGGATACGGTGGATACGGTGGATACGGTGGCTACGGTGGATACGGTGGCTACGGTGGCTACGGTGGATACGGTGGATACGGTGGATACGGTGGCTACGGTGGTTACGGATACTACGGCTGATTATGTAAATTTCAAAATGTTCGGACCCGAAGCCATCGCTCCGTAGGATCGGATGCGCGATCTCTCAGGACAATTCGAGCTATGTATATGAGCGAGAAGCTGCTGTGATATATGTATGTATGTTGCCGCATATTTGCACACGTATAGACATTGGGAGAGCTGAATAAGTTTCCTCGGAGGAGAGTGGTTCTCATTGTGTGGACAAGTGACAAAAATAAAAGTTTGGGATTTTCATAACTAGAGCTCGGAAGTTCAAGGCTTTTGCCTTGAATGCCTATAGCCGCCTCTTTCGACGCTTTTCGATCGAAGACGCCTATTTAGGTCCTCTCGTTCCCAATGAGATTTTTTGAGACACAAATGCTGAATTCCGGTTCTCCCGGTGAAATTTAGGGGCTCTGAACGGATTCGGCCATCAATAGAGTCGGCCAACCCCGGAACACATCTTGCTCCCGATAAGATTCGATGATCCGCCTAGAGGTCAATTTTGTTTTCGACGATGTAGAATTCTCCTATCAGACCGGCGACGATTACTCACTGGCGGAACGAAATTACATGTGAATTGCTCATGAAACGGCACTGACGGGCGGTTCGATGCGACATTTGTCTGCCTACCATGCCTACTTCGCCAAGTTTTTGTGCCTATCCTAAGGTTTTCCAGTGCCTATTCGCCTGCCATTTTCGGGAATTTTTGTTCCCTAACTCCCTAGCTCGAACGATATAGAATATAGAATCCACAGATATGGGCACCGCGCCAGAATCTGAACTGATAAGTTCGAGGCAGCAGACAATGCTCTGGAACGAGGAACACTGTCTGGACATCGCACCTGGTCAGCAGAGAACAGCGCGTTTAATCAACGATACCTTAGCTGAGGAATTATCGTTCCCTGCTAACTCTCTGGGATGCGGCCGTCAGATTCCATCCGGAAGAAACACGGCAACGCGTCCGACAGCGTACACACGAACCTCGATTTGAATCGGGCGACGCGATCGCCGAGGGCCCACGCCTCATCTTAATTGAATACGGCAATGGAAATGCTCCGGCTCCGAGTACGAGGTAATACAGAGAATATGTTCCGCTGTCTACGCTCGGAATGAAATATTACTCGGGCCATGATTGGGGATCGGGATCACGTGGAAAGTCCAATTTAATATCAATCGAGCCGTCTTGGAAACGATTCCGAATTCCGTTCGATATCGGGCCTCGAGGAAGCGAGATGCATTCAACATGAACCGCCCGTCCGGAGAATCTTCTAGTTTTTCGACCATCGGCGCAAAGTTAGCACATGTGGCCGAATTTACTGGGAATTCAACATCAACTACCCGATGAGCTCGAGAATCTTGGAACGGACATTGGGTTCGACGAGCCAGAGGAGAGAACCCAGGCAGAAACTTTTAAAACTAAAAGCATCGAAACTCCGAAGAAGCGAGCTTCCTGAAGGGCCTGGCATTATATGTAGCTTGACGTGGCCTGGTTTTGATGACTTGACATCTAAGGAACAAGGGATGCGGACCGTTGTGTGCGTAAATTCTGTGGAGAGATGGACTCGATATCATGTAGCAGGATGTGCGGCCTCGGGGACAGAGCGCTAGAGAAAACGGTGGTAGATTTTCGAGACCACAAGGCCGATATATTGAAAAATTCTAAAACTCGCGGGTCTCTTTTGAAGGAATAGGAGCTTCATGAGGATATATTATTTTCTTGAGAATTCCATTGAGCACAGCTCTGATTAAGTCTCTGTCGCACTCTCATCGCTGGAGCTGCTTTCACTGGCGGCCAATTTTTGTTGAAGGCCGATATCAGATCGAGGGCCTCTTGTACCTTCAATCGGCTCATCATGTAGGCGGTGAGTTCCATCAGATTTTGAGGGTTAGCGTCAACGAGCTTCTTCAGATCGGGGAGCACGCCGTCATCCTTGATGCTTTGTATATTGTCCAGGACAAGACTTGAATGATGATTAGTGGGGTATAACTGTTCGTGGAGCCACTTCGTTACAACCTCGTCATTGTCCCACAAGTAGTTGTTCACTGCGCCCTGAGACTCCAAGAACCAGCGTCTGAACGTTGATTCGAGTTCGGCTTCTTTCAGGTGCACCTTCGCCGACAGGATGGCTTTTTTCATCTCATCCTGCAGAAGCAGACGCCTCATCCGCCAGTAGAATACTTGTCGTGATTTGGACCATTGCACAATATCTCGAATGACGTTCTTCTCCATCATCCGGACGGGGGTATCGTGGAGATCGGCGTAAGTCAACGCTGCCTGAAGGTATATCGGGTCCAACTGCTCCTCCCGCACTCGCAACTGTTTTTCGAGCGCGGACCTCTCTCCGCCTTTGGATAAACCGATTTTCTGGAGCAGTCTGCAGCATTCTGTATCAATGCGGTGCATCATCTTCACGCGATCCTTCTTTCGGAAACGAATCTCGACCGTTCCCTCAGGTTCTAAGACACCTCCACGAGATTCGGGATCCGCATACATTTCCATGTGGCATGGATTGATCGTGGCATCCAACACCGCCCACGCTCCTCCTCGGAGCTCACCGAACGGCGGGATGTACACCAGTACGGGCTGTTTGTATTTTCGGAGCGCATCAACAATTAAGGCACCGAATTTCAGAACCTGATCGTACATGTCTTTCATGCCGCCGGAGAATCCACGCCAATTGGCGAATATGATGAGCGGCAGGCCTTCGTGGTTGAAATCATTTATGGCCTGAGCGGTCTTGTACGCTGAATCCGGGAACCACACCTGTCCGGCTTGTGAGATGATTTTCGCCTCCGACTCGAGATTGGCGGGATCAGCCGGGTACGCGATCTCGACTGTACGGGTTTCGACGGCAATCACCCCGACGGGAATTCCTCCGAGACGGGCCCTTCCGACAACGACGGTCTTCGCCCAGTTCGCCATGATTTCCGAGAAACTCCCTGGAATTTCAATGAAATAGACTTTAATCGTATCCGGCTTGATATTCCGGCGGATGATGATGATTGATGTAGATGTCTGATTTTCGCGAGCAGAAGACATACCTCGGTCAAAGAATCCATCCTCCCAGAAGCCCGGTAGATTGGGACTCTCTCGACCGGCGAGCAGCCAGCGAGGGTCATACGGGGCCTTGGTCGGAGTGAAAACTACGTCTCTGTCATAGGGATCGATGCTTTCCATGATAGGCAGCTCGCTGCCCTTCGACTTCGGCATATACGACAGCCATCTCAGCATCGTACGGCAACCTTCGAGGTCGTCGGATACCGTCACGTGCGATACGCCGTTCTCGTACATGATCTGGGTGCCACCGAGCTGATTGTTCGACGAGTACACTTCTCGACCCAGAAGCTTGTTCAGGGCGCCCGCACCAGTCAGAATTATGTGGGACGACTCCAGTTGGATCGTCCTCTGGCCGAGTCGGACGAGGTACGCGCCGATACCGATGCCTCTGCAGGTGACCAGAGAGATGGTGACAATGTCGTCGTAGGCTCGAGACGTTTCTCCGGCTATCATTCCTGCGTAGCTCAGATTCTCGACGCCGATACCGTCCTGTTTCCCGATGACGCTCGTGATCCTGTATCGCGACTCACCCTCGTCCTCGATCAGCTCTGTATTGACCGAATTGAGTGCGGATACCTGGAACGACGAAAATGCTCAATGTTCTGAGAGAGGACGATGGAATTGGATCTCCAACGTCGAAACCACGGACGAGATAGTCGAATACCGATCCCAACGGATCAATTACCTTTTTGTAGCTCTCCGGCGTCAGGTACAGATATTTGAAGCCTCTGTCGGGATCTTCGGGGTCAATCCAGGCAAGTTCGACGAGCTCCTTAATTTCTTCGGCGAGTCCGATTCGAGCCCCGGAGTTTGCGGAAACGTATAGGCGTGGAATAGTCAAGTGACGAGCGCGTTCAGACGCCTTGCAGAACAGAATATCTTCCTTGGGCCCGAAGGTTCCCAAGTTGTAGGTGATATCGTTTGCAATGACGATCACGTCTCGTCCTTCTGGGTACTCTGGAGTGTAGAGACGCATTCGCCAGGCGACCATCCCGACATCATTTTCTCCAGGCAGCCTCTTCGTTTCGACGAGCTCGTTTTCACCGTTCAATACCAGCTCTACAGCTTCAACAAAAATATTCGGGACCTCAAGCTCGGGATGCAGGTCGATGTGGTCCTCCCACTGTCCGTGCAGTGCTTGTCTGAACATGTCCGGAAAGTCGTACACGTACGTCGTGCCAAAAGACTGTGCTTGGAATCGTTTAAGTTGCAGGTAGTCTTTTGTCACATATGGCGTGGAAATCGGCAGACCGTTGAAGGGGCCTTGTTTGCTTCCGGGCCATGCTTCGAATCGCATTATGCCCGTTTGTGGATCCACCACTTCTTTATAGACGGAGACGTCGAGAAAGTAACCGCTGTCATTGACCAAAAAAAGCCGCACGGGGATGAACTTCCCACCGGATCCGGGAAGACGGATGACCATTCTGACTTCGGCGTGAAGCACGCGAAGTCTCAACAGTCTAGGACTGTAGCGGAGGACCATGGATCGGACGTTCTCGGCGATTTTCATTGGATCCATGGTGACTTTTGGCAGGAAGTTGAGGAAAATATGATTTCCGTCCGTCTTCTTGGCGTCCGGATGAGTGAACGCCACTTCGAGCTCGTCCATAGCTTCGAGCAGGAGCCTCTCTCCTTCGTTCTGCATGTACTCATACGAAGCCTCTTCCGTTATGAGGTCCGAATGACGGATGATCGCTCGTATGAAGAAGCGGTAGTCTGTCACCGCTTGCCCGTCGGGCACTTTGGCTTTGCCTATGTAAAGGTGCATTTTGAGGGCAGCCGTGGCAATGGCCTCGAGGTCGTAGTTCCTCAAGCGGTCGATTTCCAATTGGAACGCAAGCGCCGGTTCCAGATGACGATAGATCGCATCTTCCCGGAATTCGTCACGATGCCTGGAAAGGAGAGAACCTTGAGAGTCTGCAAGGTTCGAACGGGATTCAGAAGCAACGAGTTTCCCAGAGCGGGTGAGTTCCCGTCCTACCTGAACGTGTAGTATTGAGGGAATCTCCCCTTTTGCAGGACGAGGAAAGTTATTCGTCGTATCCGTCGGTCCTTCAACTCATCGCGTCGCTCTTGACAGAACTTGTGGAACTTCTCCCTGAGGTCGGATTCGAGTTCACCGTTGTACCTGACAGCGACGGACACGATGTTCGTTGGCTCGGACTGCTTTTCCATCGCTTCTCCGCTTTCACCGAGCGAGCCCGAGCTCCGTTCGCGAGCTGCAAAACATTATCCGTTTTCCTGAATTCGAGCATCACGCCGGACGCTTGAACCTCCTATAGAGGTAGACGGCATCGCATGGGGTTTGTCTACGATTCAGCGCACAGTCCATAGAATCTCGCTCGGTGCTTTTTCGTCACAACTCCTTCAGTTCACTTACCTCCTGAGTTCTCTGTTGATGACTTCCAATTCAGCAGATCAAGAGTGTTATGGAACTCGGCCAGGAATTGATCGAACGTATTGAACACTGCCATGACTCCAATTCTCAGAGAATCGAAATCCCGCGAGGGCGCCTCCTCCCACGTGGCCTTTTCCCCCTGCTCCGATAGGTTAGCCAGTCTGCAAGCGGAGAGGAAATTGAAAAATCGATTCCATTCGCTTCCCGATCAGCTCCAAGAGACGACCAACGAGGGCGAATGGATCGGAGCGTCCGACCCTCGAACTCGTGGTTCGAACTCCGTGTCGACCGTTTCAATAATAATAATCAATTCCGCTGAGTTGGTTCGAATAATGAGTTGGTTCGACTTTGCAGGCAGAAACTCTACATCATCCGCAGGCATGCATTCAAGAATTGAAGAAGGCGCTTGCCACGCATTTCAATGGACAAAATACCGCAGCGGAAGTTCACTCATTCACTGCTGCTCAGACGACAACTATGACGGTCTTCGTAGCGGACGGTAAACTTGTAGCGGGAGCAATGCCGGAACCGGCACCATATTCGAACTAATAGGGGGCGACCGAAAGTTCTGGGCGTTTTCTCATTAACTTCTTCCAGAGGACGAGCTCGCAAGGTGGAGCATCAAGGAGGAGCTACTCTCCATACATGCAGATGACTAGGGATATGGAGGAGCCTGCCTACCGATTCGGATGAGAGCTTGGCAACAGAAACTGGTACTGGGCTGCGCGGACTCCGCTCCACGATTCTAGATGCTCCAGGCCTGTCAGATGGTACGAGATGTAGGCTCGTCGGATATAGATCTCGAGAGCGGTTTTCCTCACTCTGTGATCAGAGTGATCGAGGAAGTCCTGGAGGACGTCGAAGATCGATGTTTCGGACATGATGAGTTTCTGGAGGATTTCGGGACGGAAGTCCTGTCCGTACATGTCGATGGCAGAGAGGAAGATCGATTCCATCTGGTTGCGCCTCTTATCGTAACTGGGCTGGTGGGTCGCGATGAGTACTTGACGAGCGCGGAGAGCAACCCTCGCGTTATCCTGCTCGCTCAGCGTCGTGAGCTCGTTCAGGGTCGCGCTCAGCTCGTCAACGAGTCTGGGCTCGTGTGCGCGAAGATGGTCGATGAGTTTGATCATGAGATGGTTCTTCCTGCCTACGTTGTAGTGCGAGGAGATCTTCTCCACGATTGTCTTGATGGAGTCCTTATGTTTGTCGCGGAGCATCGCGACGCACTTGTCGTATTGTCCGTTCTGGAAATCCATCTCTACGCTCAAGTACTTCCCTAGGAGTTCCTGCAGCACGACCTTCATTCTGCCGCCGATTCCGTTTCGGTACCTGAGAAGGAATAGGAATGATACGAAAATATATAAGCGAACGAGAAGGGAAAGAGGAAGCATCCGGAACGTCGGGGAACCCACCTCTGAACGAGCTGGACGATGCCTTGCGTTCTCAGAAAGAAAACGTCTCTATCGCTCCGCTTCTGAAGCGTGGCGGCATGTCCGTCAATCGCCGAAGCGATGCCCTGCGAGGGAAACTGGGCCATGACAGAAGTGATGTTCTTGTCGTAAGCTTCCATTAGATCACGTATGTTAGACTCCACTTGCGGGGGGATTCGGCCCGATATCGAAGCTATGATATCCTTGAGCTCCATGAGAGGCAGCCGTGGATCACGGAGGGTCCGCATGAAGATCTCAAGCGACCTCTCCACTCGCTGAGACAGATACGGTTCAGGTATGACGTAACCGTCGAGAATGTTCTCCAGGTCGCACTTGGCGCTTGAAAACTGCTGATTGAGCCGATCGTATCTGTGGCGCTCCGATTCGATCGAAGGAAAGCCGTGAGGGTAGGGCTGAGCCTTGTTCACCCGGCTCGGATCGTCCAGTTCAAGTCGCGCCAGTTCAGCGCCGGCTTCTAAAACTGCGCCAGGCCTCTTCATGGTGAACACCGTACCGGTTTCCTCGACAGTCAATGTCATAACCATCTTCATCACCTCGATCTCAGCGTAGGGCTGACCGGCGAGAACGTGGCTGCCGTCTTCTACCAGGAACTGGAGTAGTTTGCCCGTCGATGGCGATCTCAGCACCGAGGGATCTTTCTCTTTCTCGAACACACATGTCTGATTGCCGATGACTACCCGATAACGGTCGACTTCTTCTCTCATATAAGTAGTGTAGGAGGATCCGTCGATGCTGATCAGGAGTCGGTCATCGGAGAGCTGGTGAGCTTCGAGCTCCCGGTAGCTGCCGTTCATGAACCAAAAAGTAGCCGTTCGGCCCGCTTTGCGAGACTTCCACCGAGTATTTCACACCGTCGGCTACAAGATCCACAGCGTAGGTCTTGTTCAGTGATGACATCGGCAGTATTTGACCTTTCTCGAGAGCTGCCTGGAATCCCGAGAAATTTTCGCGGATGGTCTTGTAGGCAACGTGCAGGGCACCGCTGGTCACGGACAACATGATGTCCGGCTTTTCGGACTTCACTTGCTCAGCGATGAGTTGATCCAACCATCCGGTGTCGCACGTGTTCTCCCTGAACGCTTGCGTCTCCAACAGAGTGATCAAGTACTCCACAGTGGTCCTGAAGTCACCCCTGATCGACAGTTCCTTGAGAGCGATGACGAGATTCCTGGAAAGCATTTCACATCGATGAGCTATGCGCTTCGCCGCTGTCCTAGGAGCGCCGAAAGGAGAAGGATCCTGAAAGTCACGGGCGAGGACAATGAGTCGACGGGGAAATGAAATAAACTGGAAAACTCACTCTCGGGCTTCTTCGCGATCCTCTCCCCACGAGAAACAATGACCGAACTGGGAATCAGCGAATTCGTGGAGTCCACCGGATGCCCCCACCGAGAAGTAGCCCCAGACGTTCTTGTTGCTCCGGAAGTTGAGCTCCTGCAAGCCGCCCGCCGACGGTTTGAAACCCTCATCGGGATTCTCGGATGTGATCCTCGCCGCGATCACGTGACCCCGCGGCTTGCGATGAGGGTGATCGAAGTCGATCACGTTGCAGCCGTAAGGACTCTCGCCGTACAGCAAGCGGATATCTTTAATCCGGAACAGGGGCACCCCCATAGCGATTTGCATCTGGCACGCGGGGAGATTGACGTTACTGATCATCTCAGTGCAAGGATGCTCTACCTGGAGTCGAGGATTCAACTCGAGAAAATAGAAGTTCCCGTCTTCGTTGTAGAGGTATTCAACGGTTCCCGCCGACACGTAGCCAACCATTTTTGCCAATCGAACAGCGGCCCTCTCCATCTGGTCGAATACCGTACGGTCCGCGATTACGCACGGGGCTTCTTCGATGATTTTCTGATGCCTTCTCTGGATGGAACAATCTCGTCCGAAGAGTGAAATCGCGTTTCCGTAGTTGTCGGCCAACAACTGAACTTCCAGATGCCGTGAGTTAACAGCGAGCTTCATAATGAAAATCGGAGAGCCCGGCACTTCCGATTGTACCTGACGGAAACACGAGGGGAAATCCTCGACGCGTTCACATTTCCGGATCCCCTTACCACCGCCACCTTCCGAGGCTTTGATCATGACTGGGAAGCCGATCTTCAGAGCTGCCTCGAGCCCGGAGTCCACACAGCCTGGGGGAGAAAGGTGATTTCTATTCGATCCGGACTGTCTGTCGAAAGCTACTACGACCACTAATTGTAAGGAGCTCGACAACCGGCAATGGCTCTGAGAGAAAGCTTCGCGTGCTACTCACCGACGCAACCTTTCTTGTAGAGGTCTGGTTTTATTCGGAGTTTTTCCGCGTTACTGCCGTCCCAGTCAGCTTTCAGTTCAGCGCCGCTCCACGGTAAAGTTGGAATATCGGCCGTTTGCGCGACGATGCTACTAGCGATCTTGTCACCAAGAGCCCACATAGCCTTCTCTGGGGGTCCCATGAAAACGATTTCGTTTTTCGAAAGCAACTCCGGCAATCGCGGATTCTCCGAAGCGTGGCCCCAACCCGCCCACACCGCCTGTGCGCCGACTCGTTTCGCAATGTCGAGAATAAGGTCCACGTTCGCATAGTTGTTGTTGTTGGAGCCTCCGGGTACAGGGACACAATGATCGGCCAATTTAATGTATTCTGGAATATTCAAAGTATTGATGACGTCAAATCGAGATGGTCGAAGAGTTCCTCCGGAAACGCTCAGAACGGGAACCAATCTCCCCCAAAGGAAGAATACCTCTGGAGTAGCTCGGTTATTTCAGAAAAAAACTGAGAATCCTTGATAGCCAAGGACATCGGATGCGAGAGACTCGACGGCACGAGATTCGCGCATCAATATATTTCATAAAAGGTCATGGATCCTACTCCTCAGGTTGTTACGCCGCAATACGTCTTCGCTCGTTATCTGTCGGCATTCATTGCGGGGATAAGCTTTGTTTCCTCTCGGAGGATCTATCGCTCGCTCTATTCCGTCCGCAAGTGATTTCGCGTTGAATACGGAGAAAGCTAGGAACTCACCCGCGTTCGCTGCCAGATCTTCTGGCGTGACCATCACGACGAAACGGATCGCTCGGTCGTTATTGAACATTTCGTACGACCATCTTCGTATCGATCTCATGCATTTGACTGCCGCAATTCCGTTATTCGCTATCAAGATATTGTTGATAGGGTGAGTTCCTCCAGAACGGCTGACGAACTCTTCGGGTGTTGCGACGATGAAGTCCGTGGTCGAACCTTCCGCTCCGGCATCCCGACTGAGATTAATGCCAGACATGGATTGTCTGTGGAACGAAGAATTAATTTGATTCGGACAGACTTCACGGGGAGTCTCACTTTTCGGCTGTCGGACTCTTTTCCTTCTTTTTCCCTATTCTATCGATTCCTCTCATCGCTTCACTGGGGCTGTTTTCTCACGGGCAGGGAGGACTCGCGCATTGCTACTTGTTGGAAGCATGATAGTTCGAAGCAGACGAATAGAGTCTGAGGAGGAAAAATCAGGCAATCTCGACGCTTGGCTGTTAGCGGCAGCTTCAGCTCCAAGCATCGTGGACCTGGTTGAGCGCGCGGTCCGGGGATCGATATTGGAAATCGGATCGAAAGTACTTTCCAAAACACAGAAGCCGCCGCTATCGATTGAGATAGACCCGGTAGTCCCTCACTCGATCTCTCGCTATTCTCGGAAACGCTGACTTTCTGGGAAAAAGAGGTCAGAGACATCATTTTCGGATGTAAGATCGAATTCATGGCGGGGTCATGCATCGCACTCTTCTTCTCCGGACTTCTCCTCTAGGCCGTTTTCGAGAAAAAGAAATGAGGAAAGAATGTGATGCATTTTATTCCTCCATCGAGAAAATCGAGTTTGATGCTTTCCCTCGGAGGCGTCAACCCGGAGACAGCGGGTGAGATTATAACTGATGGAAATGCGGAGAGCCATGAGGGTTGTCCATCGCACTTTTTCCTGTTAACCTCACCGTTCCTGAGAGAAGCTCAAAAAAACCGAGTTCGGGACGAGCCTCGATATCAACAAAGAAAAACGCAGGAAAAAAAAGAGATTGTTCTCTGTTATTCCTGGATTCTTCCTACTGGTAACTTACCCAACCGTAGATGAGTATTGTGCTTTTGTCGAATCTCTCATGGCGATGAACGATCAAAAAGGTGATGCCTATTGAACAGGGAGAGCGGGATAGAACACAGACGAGATTGGGTAGAAGGTAGTAGGGTGTAGGTTTGTCTCCAGTCTCACCGAGGTGAGTCTTGAGCTCAGCTCTAACACCCGTGAAGAATCGAGCAAGTACTCGGACAGAGTTCCCACGAGACAGTATTTCTTTGAATGAGGGGTGGTCTTCTCACACGATTGTACGATGGAGAGGGGAACCCATCTTGAAGTGCTGACCCGGTACCCGTTGCCTAAGCGAAGAGCACACCACCACCACGGGTCGCCGTGAACGGACGCGGGGTTCTAACGAACCGAGAGCTTTGTCGGCGTTCACGGCCGCACGCGTATTCGGAGCCGCTCTTGTCTCGAGTAAGCGTTGCTCCGCGCACCCTTGGTGTCCGAGTGGACCCGGGTGTGAGGATGCGCGACCGATCGACCCCTCGAAGACGGCTCAATCCGTCTTGGATGGTTCTCCCTCGACGGCAGCAAGCTAGAGCGACCCTCCAAGCGGTCTCCTCGGGCTCGATGATGCGTCCTCGCGGGAAGACTCGGAGGCATCGCTATCTTCGTTTCTCTGAGCTCAAGCCTGGCACGCCAGATCACAGGTTCTGGGGGAACTTGGCTTTGAACCGGCTTAGGTGCGTCTGTGGCGGACCGCCCGGGCCGCCGTCCAGCTTGTCATCATAGATATATAACCACGACGTTCAATGAATACTCACTCGTTACACGGCGGCCCAGCTCGCCGTCTCGTTTGCCTCATACACTAGCCGAGTCGCTGGAGAGCTCCTTGTCTGGCGAGACTCAGTTTGATACGTCTCATCCAAGGTACCTACCTCAAGGACGAGGTTGATTCTGGGTGCCTGAATACAAGGGAAATAGGGAAACAAGCCTGCTCTATCAGTTGAATCCGAAAACGCAAGAAAATGGTACGATTCGATGCGCCTCAAGTTCGGTGAAGTTCGCGGACCGGACAGACAGTCAGAAGTTGCCGATTAACCTGCCTACGGATTGCTACTTCTCTGAATTCATCATCATGGATATCCACGCGAAGACTTGCTTCCATTCTCGCGAGGTGGCGACTGATTTGCATCACCTACGGCAAGATTATCTTTTACTGAGAGCGCGTCATCTCACGAGGCAGGTACTCTTGTCGTGTCCCTTATGCTATTCCTGCATGCTATCATAACTTCCGACTGATTGCGTAAACCATGCGAAGTTTGCCATCCACCTCCTGCAGCAGAATCGCGCCTATACCAACACAGCTTGCATCGGTTTGCTGCTCGGTTTCTCTCTCTGGATCGAATCTCTCCAGCACTGGGTCTTTCAGCAATGCCTTCTTTAATTTCAATAACGCTTCCTCCGACCCTGAATTCCACTGGTACCTAGCTTCCTTCTCAAGCAACGATGTTAACAACGATGGCATAATTTTGAACGAACCACCTGAAGGAGCCTGTTAATCCGAACCATTTCCTTGCTGCATGAACGTTCTTCGGCCCTGGAAATTCCCCAACTGCCGCCAGCTTTCTAATACCCGGTCGAACACCGTCCACCGATTCCTTGAATCCCCGAAATTCTACCGTCTCCATGATGAATTTACATTTGCTCAATCTCATCGTCAGTCCCGTTTTCTTCGATGTACGGCTTCTATCTGGCGCGGGTGCTCACGATAGTCGTCAGCCGCCGTGATGAGATCATCCAGAAAGGGACGAACCTGTTTCCCCCCGCCCTTTGCAGGCGCCTTCATCATAGGCTCTTGAAAGCAGCTCGGTGTTCCAGACAGTCCCATCATCATGACTGTCGGCTGATAGTGATTGTCGGGATTAACAAATGCCCCCTCCTGGGCCGCCTCTTCCGCCATGGGGATTCCAAAAGTATCCCCAAACTAGATCGAAGGTCAGATAATATTTCCGACCCCAACCTCATCGAGGATGTCGTCAATCATCGGAAGCGGATAATTGACTTTCACTGTTTGCGCATTCAATTTCCTATAATCCACGGTCATTCTTTAGCTCCCATCCGCCTTCTTCACTAGCATCACCGGACTAGCATACGGCGAATTCGACCGTTCGATCATTCCAGCCTCTGCCATCTGATCCGAAATTCCTTTTAGGTAATGCGTCTCTCTCCGTTATGGATAACCGAAATGGCTTGCATCGGACCGGCGCGCTCCCGGGGAGTTCATTAATGGTGAACTTCGTCCACTTAGTCCGACCCAACGCTGCCATAGTTGACGCTATCACCATCCGGTATTCGTTGAGTAATTCGACTAGAAGAAACTTGAATTTTTCCGGCCAGCAATCCAACCGGTGCAAATATCGGGGCTATCCTTCTGTGGATCGGCGATTGAAGATCACTGCAGTTCCAGCTTGAACTAGGGACACCTCTTGGTTTATTCTTCACCCCCCGACTCACTCCCACTCAAGTGTCATCCGACCGAAGTACACCCGGTCAGCCAGTTACACTACAGCGTCTCCGTCAGCGATCCGTAGCACAAGAACCCATGAAGGTCCTGCTCGTGGGCGTGAAGAGCTTGACGTGCTTTCACGCGGACCCACATGCTCTCTCTACTCCGAAGTCTCTCTTTCTCGGTATCCTACACTGGCTCGGAGCTCCCGGTGCTGCAATGTGAGTGGTGGGCATCGATTCCCAAATGAATTCGTGCTTCTGTGAAAAGCTGTCCTACAATTGCGAGGACGAAGTACCTCGAACAAGTGGCCAAAGCCTGGTAGATACCTTCTCACGTCAAAACAAGAGGATCATTCCGACGACGCGACGCTCATTCCGACGGCGGAGTGTGCACGCATCCCACGGAAATTCGTTCGGCTAATTCTCCTGGCTCAAGGAAGTTTGTGTCCTCATTTGTCTCCCGTGTTTTCTCCAATTTCACTCGGAGTTCCCAAATATCATTTAGATTACCAGTTACATCATGGCGTCGAGTTCAGGAATCAAGTCTCAGAGAGGGAGCTCCAAATTGGCCCACGAAGGACACCTCTACGTGAAAGGATATGCTTCGAAATCTGGCATACAGACGTGGCGTTGCATGTATAAGACGGCTAAAATACGCTGCAAAGCAAGTCTCCACACCTCGATCAGTACAGCAGAGGTGCTCGGAGCTAAGGGATGCATTCGGACCCGCCAGACCCTTCAGGTGTGGAGATCGCGAGGCTCACCACCGAAATCAAGCGGCGATGCGGGGAGACCAACTGGACCCCATCTTCTTTGATCGATGCTGCACTGTCGGGTGCTACGGCAGCTACGCTGGGCCGCTTACCGAGACCGCCAACTATATCTCGATTGATTGATCGGCACCGCAACGCGCTCTCGAATGCTCCGAGCAACCCTGACAGCCGGACTTCCATCATACTTCCGGAGCAGTATCGGGTGTATGAGTGCGAACCTGGAGTTTTCGAGAGCTTCCTATTGGCTGACAGCGGCGCAGGGGACTCCAATCGGATACTCATCTTCGGCAGAGAGTCCACGAGCTCTCGGATCGGTCTAGTCGACAAGTTGTACGTCGACAGCACGTTCAGCCCCGCTCCACCGCTCTTTCCACAGGTTCTTACCGCATGATTCGCGATCGAATATCTTTCCAGAATCATGTCGCGGCTCCTATGGTAAAATATGATTATGTTCTTAGGTGTTCGTAGTTCTCGCTGAGCGGTCGAGGTACGCTACGCCGGTCGCGTACACTCTGCTACCTGATGAGAGGGAAGAATCTTACGCAAGAATGCTGAGCCTGTTGAAAAACGCGTGGGCCGCTCTGAATCCTTCGAGCATCGTCATGGACTTCGAGTGAGCCATGGTGGGTGCGATCAGAGCTTGTTTCTCGCCAGAGACTTCCATTCACGGATGTTTTTTCCACCTCGTGAAAAACCATTAAGCTCCGCGTAGCCCAGGAGGGACTTTGGGGTCGATACAAGAATGACGATGATTTATCGCTGATGACAAGAATGATAGCTGCTCTTGCCTTTGTTGTGCCGGCAGAAATCGATAACGCTATTGCTGAACTGTTCCCTGAATTGCCCGCCGAGCTGATTCCACTCTGAATTATTTCGAGGATATCTACATTGGGCGTCCTAGCGGTATTGGGCCAGACGGTACTTCAATTCGGAGAGCACCGCAGTTCCCAATCGAGATGTGGTCGGTCTACCAGAGGACCATCGATGGGGAGGCTCGCACCAACAATTATGCCGAAGCGGCCCACCATCGGCTGCAAACCGAGCTCGGGACGCAACATGCGACAATCTGGAAGTTTGTTGACTGACTCAAAAAAGTTCAGAAAGGTCGCGACTTCCAAGTCGAAGCATTCGTAGCCGGCAATCCGGCTCCGAGGAAGAGGAGTAAATACGTGGCGGCCGAAGAGGAGATACTGAAGGTTGTTCAAAATGCCGAGGCTTTGACGCGTTTGGAGTATCTTCGAGGAGTTGCTCACAGCTTCTTCATGGATGCGTGATCCGTCATCATTCATACGCTCCTCTTCCTCCTTCGTCACGGTGAGATATACCGATACGGTCATCGGTATAAGTTAGGTAATTGCAGAGAATAAACTCCATCATGGCACTTCATAATGTCTCGATTTCTCCTCCAAGAGGATGCCATTGGAATCGAGCTTTCTGCCCAGTCCGTTTTTGCCCGAATGGTATATGCCCAGTTTGTTTTTGTCCCAGTTCGTATTTGCCCGGATTGTTTTCGCCCAGTTGGATTTTGCCCAGTTGGTTTATTTGCCCAGTTGATTTTGCCCAGTTGGTCGATTTGCCCAGACGGTTTTTTGCCCAGTGGTCCTAGACCGTACGCGGCGATTCAGATGGAGTTGTCATGATCAAGCACGCCCACGCCGGGGAGGACAGAACTCCTCGGGAAGAGCCTGCGTGAAGGAGACCCTCAGTGATACGAACGAATTCCATCATCTCCGATCGACCGGAAACAGGGCTCAACAGCGGCGGAGAATCCGATTCAGAGGCCAATCTGCAGAAGTTGCGAGAACCGAAGCGAACATGCCTACTTCAGCGTCCATCGAGCCCAATGTGATCCCTTCGCAATTTCTCTGAGAAATGGCAGACGCACGGCGTGGAAAGCAATGACTGGCAACTCGACTCATGTGATGAACGGGGCGTCGAGCGCATGTAGGATTCGTGGGGTCGTTATTTCGGAGAAGATCCCCTCAAGATCGGGAACGCATTCATGATACCTGGAAGGATATCGGAAGCGATCACAATTGTATTTCCGAATTCTCCTTTCAGTTTTGCTGATGAAATCCGAGCCAAGACAAGTAGCGAAACTGTGCGGTTAAACGGCTACGAGGACATTCACTTCTGCGGAGAAAAAACTGCGGCGTTCGCCTTGCCTATCATGGCCCTTCCGCCTCAATTTGGTGCCTGCCCTAAGGTTCCCCAGGGGCTTTTCGCCTGCCATGTCCGGAATTTTTTTGTGCTAGAATGATATAGAATCCTCAGATATGAGCACCGCGCCAGAATCTGATCTGGTACGTTAGAGGTGGCAGACAATGCTCTGGAAAGAGGAACACTGTCTGGACATCGCACCTGGTCAGCAGAGAACAGCGCGAAATTTAATCTACGATACCTTTTAGCTGGGGCTTTATCTTTCCCTGCTGATTTCCTGGGATGCGGCCGTCAGATTTCATCCGAAAGAAACACGGCAACGAATCCGACAACGTACACAAAAAGCTCATTTTGAATCAGGCGACGCGATTGCCGAGGGGGCACGCCTCATGTCAGTTGTTTACGGCAATGAAAATGTTCCGGCTCCGAGTACGAGGTGAAACAGAGAATGTGTTCCGCTGTCTACGCTCGCGATGAAATGCCCAATGTCAGGCTAAGCCCAATTAAATATCAATCAAGTAATTCGCTCCATACACCTATGCTCCCTTGATGAACTCACCGACGCGGAGGTACCCTATGAAGGTTTTCCCAAACGGTAGAGCTCGATGTCGCAAAACATATATGTACGCTCAGAGCTCTTATAGGGACGTACAACCGATATGCCTAATCGCATAATCCCATAAAAAATGCCTTCGCTGCGAGAGCATCATGAGGGAAAACCGCAATGGCACTCAAATGATTAACAGTGCATTCAGCTCCTTCTCTGACCATATCGGAACGGAGAGAACGCATCACCCGGCGTACAGACCTATCGCAATATTTTTATTTAGTATTCGTTGTGTGGCTCACGATGGCTAATGGCTCCGGAGAACCTCTCCCCCCTCTCGTGGACGACATTTCATTTGGATCGACGAACTTCACATATGGAACGGGTCCGGCTGATGGGATGAGACTGAGACGACCGAAGCTCGAAAGCGGGCGAGGGATCCAGCCTAGAACAGCTGGTACGGAAGTTCGGAGCTATGTAATTGATCTTCTCGTGCCTATATATACATTTAGGCATGAGACCCTGTTTCAGGGGCGATTTCTCAGCATATCCTTCGGGTTTCTCTTCCCCGAAATCGCCATCGTGTGCGATATCGAGAAGGCGTTTCTCCAGTATCGGATCAATCCGGATCATAGAACGTTTCTTCGATGTTTCTGGCCGCAAGGTATAAGCGAGAATCCGCAGACTCCAGTTAAGGAATTCTGGAGCACGGATCTTGACTTCGGCATCGTTTCGAGCCCTTTCATCCATAGCGCGGGAATCAAGTTCCATATCGGTCAACTCATAGAGCAGCACCCGAGCAGAGTAATTTCTGAGGGAAATAGACGAAAACTTCTATATGGACGATATCGTTTTTTGAGTGAAAGCAGTAGACGCGGAATTCGAGGCGTCGGATTTTTCGTTTGAAGCGTTCGGCGCGGGTGGCTTCAGGCTTCGGAAGCGAGCCGGTAAGAGCTCAGAGCTGGGCCGCATGATTCGGGATTTGATTTGCGACCCGGAAATTCAGATTTCCTTTGACCAAGTGGACGCGAAGTTCGTTGGCATTGGCTGGAATTTACGAACGGACGCGCTAGCGATATCGTTGTCGTCGGCCCTCGAGACTCTCGAGTCCAGCAAGCCTACGAAACGTTCACTCCTGAAAAGCACAGCACAGATCTTCGACCCGTTCGGTTTTAATTCGCCCATCACCATCAAAACAAAATCTCTTTTGCAATCACCCTGGAAACAGGAAATTGATTGGGATGTAGCGCTGACGGGATCGAACTAGGAGTGCTTCCTGGATTAGAAGAACACTTTCGAACGCGCGCAAGACTTTAGTCTGCCGCGAAACATAGATACAATATCTCGAGACGTCATCGGGAATCGGGAGAGAACTTCATGTGTTCTGCGATTCGAGTTTGTCTGCTCTCGGTTGTGTTTACAGGCGGGAAATTTCGAGAGAGGGTAGCGCGAGAGTTTCGTTTGTCGCCTCAAGGCGAGAGCGTTGCCGCTGAAGAGCGCATATCCGATCCACAAATTGGAACTGATCGGAGCGGTAATGGGAGAAGAGAAAATGCGCCATCTCAATTTCATTTCGATTTCACGTGTTCCTGGCGCGATAATTCGCCCACATTGAACTGGATGAAAGATTCACCGGAGTGCTGGAAGGTTTTCGTTGGGAATAGAATCCGTGAGATTCAGTCTCACACAGACTGCGCGGATTGGGACTATCTCAAGTCATCCAAAAACCCAGCGGATATATTGAGCCGAGAGATTAATATAGCTGATGCGGAATTCAGTTCGTTGTGGGGGTCTCCGCTGGTAGTTATGCTTTTCTTGTGGAATAGAAATCCCGCGACTCCCTCTCGGTCGTCTTTCCGGTACCGGCCTCTGGGGCGGGACAATAGGGGGGATTGCCTACGATGTTCAATCAGAATCAGAGCGAGGAATCGATAGAATTCGAATGGTGTTCAAGATGACTTCCTAACAGGGCGATATATATTTTGTAAGGATCCCATTGATCCAGGGCATGCGACCACTTCCTGTTCGGGCTGATCGGTCCTCTCGAGGAAGAAGCCGAGTACACCGATCGGCGCGAGCCGCGGCAATGAGAGTCCATGGCAATTTTCCAGGGCAATCAGAGTCGCTTCCATTTATGAACTTTTTTGACATCACATGAACTCTTTACACAGTCATAGAGCCTGGCCGTGTGACGGGAACTCAATCGCGTCCCGGCTTACGCCCTACACACACTTGAAGTTGCTGACTTCGAGTTCGTCCTGATCCTTAGAGATACTACACTTGAAGTCAGTTTGCTCGCGAGAGGTCTCCCCGAATTGCAAGAGAAGTTTTGTAACTTCAGTTTTGCGGAACGCTCGGGCGGATCTGTTCGAGTTCACGTTAACATTGACATTAACTAGATTCGAGAAACTCAGGTTTAGCGGTCGAAGTACACAATTTAACAAAGACGAATGCCACGGAGGGCTCGGCGTCGTTAGAGTCTCGTCAGACATCTCCAGGAGCTTTGCCCTCACTTCCTTTTCGCTACTAATTGGGGTGGCGTAGGCAGGTGGTGGACCTGAAATTTCGACGAAACTAGACGTCAGATTTTTCGTTTCTGGCGACTGCAGGCGAAGGGTCGCGACGGTCGCGACAATCAATCGCGGTGAAATCGCGTTTTGCGACATACCTATTCACAGCCCTAACGATGACGGCCCCATAACGCCCTCGAAGTGAGCTTCAGATTCCGAACCTGCTTCAGCCGGCACCCGGGATTGAACCTATCCCCGGATCTTCGGATGAGAGAACAGGAACAGAGCTACATAGCAAATGTATAATAGCTTACCGCTCGCCGACGAATAGAAGCTCGCCTTATGCATTCGACCATTCTATCGGCCAAACGTCTATGTGGTTTGAACGGTTGCATGTGCGGGTATGTACTGCGCACATGATGATATATGACACGTGACACCTCA